CCCCCTCTTACCCCAGCTCATGGAGCTCGCGGGCTTGAGCTGCGCGCAAGCCCTCGCCAAGTCCTTTCCCGCGCACACCCACCGCCGCGTCCTCGTCTGCTGCGGCCCCGGAAACCAAGGCGGCGACGGCCTCGTCGCCGCCCGCCACCTCCACCACTTCGCATACGCCCCCACGATCTACTACCCCAAGCCGGGGGGCAAGGAGCTGTACCACCGCCTGCTGCGGCAGGCGCAGAACCTCGGCATCCCTGTAGTCGACACGGATGCGTTCGCGGGCGCGCTGCGCGACGCCGACGTCGTGCTGGATGCTATTTTTGGTGTGTCTCCTTCCCTCCTCCACCTGGCTCGCTGACGCAGGCTTCTCGTTCCATCCCCCCGTGCGCGCGCCGTTCGATACCGTGCTCTCTGCGCTTGCGCAGAGCGCGGCGCCCATCATCTCCGTCGACATTCCTTCGGGGTGGGGCGTCGAGGCTGGCCGGCAGCCCCTTACGAATAGCGACGGCGAGGAGGTCGCGACCATCGACCCCGCCGTCCTCGTCAGCCTCACCGCGCCCAAGGAGGGCGTGCGCACCTACGCTGGCAAGCACTGGCTCGGGGGCCGGTTCGTGCCTGAGTACGGTGGATGTGGAGCAGGCTGACAGTAGCAACCTTGCGAAGAAGCACGAGCTGAATCTTCCGGCGTATCCGGGTGTCGACCAGGTTGTTGAGCTCCCGTCCGCGGGCAAGCTCTGATGTAGGCTCAAATCTACCCGTTACTATTTCATACTGTGATCCATTAAGCGTCATCACGCCCAAATGTACTGGCATTGCTCATAGCTACAAGTCTACAATCTATAGCCTACGCCTCGATCAACCGGTCGTCGCTCGCCGGCCGCCGCTTCGCCCGCCCAACAGCAAGCCCAAGCTCTTCCACTACCCCCGTCAAGATCTGCATTTCCTGCTCCGGGCCCAGCCCGATCTCCTCGCTCGCACCAAGATGCAGCCCCATCACGCTGCCCTTGAACGAGCGCACCTGCGTCCGGAACGCCGTCAAGTCGATCCGTACACGCTCGAGGCTCTTGCTCGTCTCGTCTATTCCCCCGATGGTTGCGCGCGTCAAGTCCAAGTCCCGGCTGATGCGCGTGAGCTTGGACGGGTCGCCGCCCGCGAAGAAGCGGCGCGAGACGTCCAGCGCCCGCTGCCAGCCGGGAAAGCGGTCGTGTTCCGCCTTCAGGTCCGAGTGTACTTCGCTGAGCTGGCGTAGCAGCGACCAGCCTTTGTCCCGCCCTCTAGCGGCGAGGGGGATTGCACTGTCGACTGACAAGTACAGGCGGTCGAGCTCGTGGTCGAGCCGGTTGATGAGGGAGTCGAGGCGTGCTCCGAGGCGATGGCTGCTGGGCCTTTGGGAGGGGGGTAGAGAGAGCAGCGAGACGAGGTTCGAAAACTCCCAGAAGAGCCAGGAGAAGACATTCACGCTCATCGCGTTGATCGTCACGACTTCGTCCGTTATGTCCGAGGCCAAATCGGCAAGCTGCTGTCAGCCGAAGAGAGGGTCAACGCTCACCTCGATGAGCTCGGCGCCGATGAAGAAGCGGTCTTCAAGCGTGGAGCCGGTCTGTACAGCAATACCCAGCTCGTGAATACTGTCGTTAGTCGGTGCTCACCTCGCAAAACTCACCGCACATGCCCCAAGCCCGCTGTCATCCGCCCGTCGCCAAGTGCTGTCAGACTCTCGAAAATATCCTTTGCCTGTCTCGCCTCCCTGCTCAGTCCCCGCGAGACAGCCGCAATATCCACCTCTGCTCCCCCGCTGGCCATTTGCCAGAACGGCCGAGCAGTCATATTCGGCGCAGTAAGCAGCGACAGATCACACCCTATCCCAGTGATGAAGCAAGCCGGAGTGGCAAGGGCGCGGAAAGGCAGGAGCGCGACGGCGCCGGGAAGGGACGAGTCGGGGGAGAACATGGCTGCCAGTGCACGGCGGAGCCACGCCTGGGCGAGGAAGAACGCGAGCGCGACGAGGCACACCATGATGGCGATGTTGAGGATGTGCCATAGAACAGGAGTAAGGATCATTTGCACCGGAGTGAGAAACAGGCGTAGGGGCGCGAGAAGGTAGGAGAGGGTGGCAGACATGCCGGGGCGCACATCTTCCCATTCTTCTTCGCGCTCCTTCTTCCGCCGACGAGGTGATGGGGCTGGCCGTGCGCGCGAGCGCACTATGAAGCGCTTCCTCGGCGTGCTGAGGCGGGCAGCCGTAGAGGCCGAGCTGTCCGAGCCCTCGTCCGCGGCTGTGGTGGAGGTGGAGGCGGCGACAGAGGGGGGGAGGGAGGGACTGCGGAAGACAGGCGGTACAGGGGGAGGGGGCAGGTCAGCAAGCGAGCGAGCGAGTGGAGAGAGCGGCGAGCGTGGAGAGGGCGGGGCTCTGGACACTGGAAACGCGCCGGGTGCCGAGGGCGGCGGTGACATTGATGCTGCGCGGGGTGTTTTGGGAGGGACGGGCGGAGGCGTGTCGCGCGCGCGTGACCATATAGAGGGAGGGCGGGGACCCGTGGGTCGCACGGGCTGTTGGGAACGAGTGAGGCCCATGCCCGCCGCTTTCTGAGACAAGGCCGACGTGGAGAGATCAGAGAGAAGCGTGGGAGACAGGAGATGGCAAGAACTGAAGAGATGGTGACTGCCACTCATGTTTGCCACCCGAGGAGGGCTTCGCAGTGAGTATTTGGTTCCGCCCGGTGGCAAGCCTGGGCCGATCTTGGTTAATGAGGCGGAACGCGGCGTGGAGCGTCGCCGAGCACATGATCAACCTCCGAGCTCAGTCCAGCCGGCAAAGTCTCGCAGCCAGGTCAATAATGGCATGCTGCGAGCATGCGCAGGGAGGCGCGAGCAGGCACGCAGGCGCGTGAAACGCTCATTGCGACACGCGCTCCCACATGAAATATCGGACCGAGGTGCTCATGTGCTCCATTGACTTGACGATTTCCCCGGCAATCACTGATCTCCTGTTTGCTCCATCATCACTCCACACCTCCCCTCGCCACCCATCAGGCTCTCCTCATCGCTTCATCTCTTCATCTCTTCATCTCCACGCCCCCCACGCTACCTCTCCACTCCTCGATCGCTGTCCCGCGCTCGACGTCACCACCCTGTGCCTCTCAGGGCCCCACGTGCGCGCTTCCCACTCGCGGCGATTTGTTGACATGACCGCGTCGAGTGCGCCGAGACGATAACGACGTCCGCCTGTTCATCTGTCTGTCTCACACTCACTCGTACTCCGGCGCTCCTCCACATCTCCTCACTCCCCACCCTCATCGCCCTCCCCTCCCCGCCCCCGCATTCCGCACTCGGACCCATCGCGCCACTATCCGAGCACCTTCCCATTCACACCTCACTCCACCGCCATGGCGTCCACGCCCATACAGAGGGTGGTGCCGCCCGCCGAGGCCAAAACGCCAGAGTACGCACTCGACGACGAGGGCCGCTCGACGCCCGTGAACGCGTACCCGTACGCGAACGGCGGCTTCGTTGGTCCCTCAAATGGAAACGGGCTCGCCGAGCAGGTGCCGCTGCTCTCGCCGACGCCGCGGCTTGCGGCTCCCGTCCCCCCGGTCAGTCGCGCGGGCTCGGCAGCGAGCGACCGGAGCGGGCGCGGCATCCTGCGGCGCATATTCATCGATCGCATCGGCACGCCGTCGCAGCACCTCTTGCGCCCGACGTTCCCGCCAGTCTCGCTCTCGACGTACTCGCCCGTACCCGTCACGCCGATGTCCTACTGGGACTGGGTGCGGCTCGGTGTCCGCCAGACGATCAGCCTCGTCATTTCGACCATCTTCCTCGTCGGCGTCGTGATATGGGCTTTCGCTGCTGAGGCTCTCATGCTGCTCCCCAACTGGCTCAGCCCGCCCGTCAGGCCCAAGTACGACTGGGACGACGCAGAGTACTGGACCAAGGCCGATGCCAAGGTCAGCAAAGAGCCGCAGTACTACGCCCGCCAGATCGGCATGGACATCGAGAACCAGACGGTCGAGACCGAAGACGGGTTTTATCTGAGGTGTGTCTAGGTGGTACGACCGGCCCGGCCGGCGTGCATCCAGTCGTGCAACCAAAACCGGCCATCGGAGCTGCCAAGCGACGGGCACACACAAGACCTAGCTGACGGCAGAATGCACCGCGTCATCGACCCCGACGCACGCCCACACGCCGACGGGCGCGGCGGCTTCCCCGTGCTCATCCTCCATGGCCTGTTCCAGTCCTCGGGCTCCTTCGTCACGTCCGAGGAGCGCTCGCTCGCCTTCTGGCTCGCAAAACAGAAAGGGTATCAGGTATACCTGGGGAACACGCGCGGCGTGTTCGACATGGGGCACCGGAGCTACTCGCGCAGCGACCCGCGCTTCTGGGGTAAGCTCGCGAATCCGCGTCTCTGACTCCAGACTGGACGATACGCGACTTGGCCATGTACGACCTCCCCGCACTCGTAGACCACGTGTGCCGCGAGACGGGCTACGACAAGATCGCGTTTATCGGACACTCGCAGGGCAACGGGCTGACGTTCATCTCGCTCTCGCTCGGCATGGTGCCGAACCTCGGCAAGAAGTTGAGCGTGTTCATCGCCCTCGCGCCGGCGGTATATGCGGGTCCCCTGACGCACGGCTTCCCGTTCACGGCGCTGAACCGTCTCGAGTGGCCGGCGTGGAAGCGCTTCTTCGGCGTCCTCGACTTCATCCCCCTCATGCGCTGGGCGTACGACTACTGCCCCGCCCGGATCTTCGCGACGTTGGGTTACATCATGTTCGCGTTCCTCTTCCGCTGGACGGACGCCAACTGGCTTCTGCGCCGCAAGACCAAGATGTTCCGCTTCACGCCGACGCCCGTCAGCTCGGCGTCCATCTTTTGGTGGTGCGGCAAAGGCGGGTTCGCAGACCGCAAGTGCACGCTCGACGACAGCCTCGAACGGTGGTACGACGAGCGGTTCCCCCCGCTCTCGATCTACCATGGCGGGCGCGACTACCTCGTGCTCTGTGAGCCGTTGCTCGAGCGCCTCAAGAACAAGGAGAAGGACGTGCGCGTGCTCAAGGTCACCAAGCTGGACGTGAGCGAGCACTGCGACTTCTATTGGGCGGCGGAGGCGGTCGAGTGGGCGTACGAGTCGTTTGTTGGTGAGTCCGCGAGAATCCGCGTGGATGCACGATAAGAGGCTAGAGATGCTCACGCCAGACGATATTGAGCGTACACGGCCACGATACCCTGAAGAAGAGGGGTATGTCGCGGACGAGCACGAGCATGTAGACTTGGAGCTGTAGAACACTGGGATGAATACATAGACGACCATTATACACTGCGTGCCGCTACTCGCCATCGAGCATGATGGCAATAAACTCCTCCTGGCTGATTTCGCCGTCGCCGTCCATGTCGAACTCGTCGATCATTGCTTGGCTGGTGTGAGCGAGTCCTCTGCGAGGGCTGGCGCTTTGGCCACCCTATCCGCACACAGCGGCGCTTGCCTTACGCCTAACGCCTAACAGCACACTCACAGCTCCTCGTCTCCAAGATGCTCGCCCAGTTCCTTGGCCACACGCCGCAAGTTCTTGAGACTGATCTTGCCTGTGTGGTCGTCGTCAAAGAGCGCAAACGCGCGCCGCAGCTCCTCCATTGGATCGCGCGCGAGGATTTTCTCCGTCACTGGTGTGAGTTTGGCTGTTCTTTCTCTTTCCTTTTCCTCCTCCCTCTTCCCCATCCCCCATCCCGACTCCCCTCGCCCCCGCCCCTTCAGATCACGCGACGCACTGATCTTCTCAAAGTCCGCGAGGCTCATCAACCCATCCCCGCGATCGTGTTCGCGCAGGAGCTTCAACACCTCGGGTTTACGCAAGTTGAAGCCGAGCGCACGCAGCGCAACCTTGAGCTCGTGGTAGTCGATAAATCCGTCCTTGTCCGTATCGAAGAGCTCGAACGCTTCGCGCACTTCGCCGCGCTGCTCGTCGGTCAATGTTGGGCGGGTGGGCGGCGCGGCGCGGCGCGGGCGGCCGGGAAACGCGGACATCGTGGCGTGGGGAAGGAGGAAAGAGATGGGTTGCGAGATTGTTGTGAGGTCGAAACACGTCAGGTCTCGACGCGTCGCGAGTACGTAATCCCACGTGCGGTGGCGTTGGGGGCCTCCACCTCCCAGGTCCATCTTCGAAATTCGTGTTTGGTGCGGTATGCACTGCGACCGCTGCCGGCGGCTCGCGGCTCGCGGCCCGTGGCCTGCGGCCTGCGGCCTCGCTTTCGACGCCGACGCATCACGTGCGGCGTTGACAATGCGGTATGTTCGAGTCGACGAGGACAGGGAGGAGAAACACGGACGCCAAGGTCAGCTGAGGGATCTTGAATGAGAAGCGAGATGTTGGTTAACAATGGCACGAGAGGCCCGTCTCCGCCGGCTGCCGTGTCCCACTCCCTATTTTCTGGTGTTGCAGCTCTGTCGCAGATCGCTCATGAGCAGCGTAGGGCTGCAGAAGCGCCAACATTGCACCGGAGAGGAGGCTGAGATGCGAATGGCATGAGGGATGGACGTGTTAATCCAGGTGGCCAGGTGGCCAGGCGGGCAGGCGGGCGAGACAGAGAACAGAGAGAATACGAGACAGCCACCGACACTCACCCCGTCCCCTTCGCTAGTCCGCTTCACATTCAATCCACACAGACTACTCAATTCATCCCTCTCCTGCATCGGTCCGGTGACGCTTGCTGTGTTATTCCAGCACGCCGTGCAGACAGAACAGCGAGCAGGACGATCTAGTCCATTGCTCTCGCGCCATTCTGTCTCGCTGGCCATTCAGTCCCTCCCAGCAATTCCCATTCACCGACCAGCTGTCAGCTGCCAGCCCTCCCGCTCGCATCTCACCCCCTGTAATCCCTCTCCCCATCTCCTCATAAGAGCAGCTTGCTCGTTCTTCCATCCCCATCTCATCTCTCTTTCCATCCCACTTCAACCATGTCCCAGTTAGCACTCGGCACCCGTGTCTTGTCTCCGCCCACTACGCGCTACCCAAGGCCCACCACGCCCGTGCGTGCGCGCACCTTTTCCTCGACATATTTCTCTCTTGAGACGTGCCAAACGCCATCCCCTTCCCCTGCAGGCGCCTCGACGTCACCCACTGCCGCTGTTGAACGGGTCATGGCCCCCACTCAAGCCTCCAACTCCCACAAGCGGCCGGCCCTGCGCCTCCGCATACGCCACGCCGCACGAGTCGGCCATAGTGACATAGGTGGCGACGTCGAGCGCACGGAGATCGTGGGCCCTGGTACTGGGGTGAGTGCACCGTGCGTCCCTCCTCGTGGGGCGGGGCGAGAAGCGATGGATTGATGGGGACGGGGGACGCGGCGCGTGACGTCGAAAGCTTTGGGGCTGACCAAAGGAGGCAACCACCCACATCTTGTGCGAGTCACCAGCTGAGATCGATGCATCGGACGACCATGCCGCTCCTCGTCCCACCGCAACCGCGTCAACATCAACTCCCCAAAAGCCAAAGCGCGCATCCTCGTTCACGTTCGGCGACCGCGCATCATACGACCCCGAGATCGCCGCGCGCGCTTCATCGCTCGCCTTCAGCAATAGAGTCTCACTCAACGACTTTGTTCCACTCAAGACGAAAGCCGACGGCAGTGTGACTCCCAGGTCCATCCTAAAGAACAGGGAGGGCAGAATCATGAGCGCCGACTCATCAACTGGCTCCCTTGGCGCACCGGCCAAGCGCGTAACCTGGAGAGACCAAGAGTCAGTTCTGACCATCGAGAAACGCAAGTCCCAGTGGAAGACGGGGCAGCGGATTACCACCCGGGTCGGCAACATGGGCCGCACACTCCGTCGACACTCGACCGACGCCGCGGCTGTTCTCCGTACCGCTGCTGGGTCCGTAGTTAGAGCCAGCAGCGCGATCCCTGGCCTTGCCTTCCTCCGCCAGCCATGGGACTACGACTACCCCCCGAGCGAGGAGGATGAGGAACGCGTGCGCCCCCCTTCTCCCGACATTGACTGGACGGCTGCTGGCCGTGCATATACGGTCGAGGACCTCCGCCGCGAGTTCCCTACGCTCACGCTCGACAATGAAGACTCGGTCCGCGCCCAGCCTCGCGGACGCCGTGGACGCTCGCCAATCATGGAGTGCTACCCGTCCTCCTCCATGTCCCGCACCAGCTCCGTTCCCATTCGCGGTCGTCACTCCAACAGACGTGGGCGGGCGCTAAGCGAATCCAGCGAAAGCAGTGAGGAGTCGGACGAGCTCCACTGGGACGCGCGCCGTTTCAAGATCCCGCCCTGTGTGCTGGGCAGCAGATTCCGCCCTCAGGGCCCGACATTCGAGGAGACCGAGGAGGAGATGGGTGCTGTCCTGCTGCACGACGACCGGGCTTCTTCGACGCCTAAGCCGTGCCCGCCCTCCTCCCGCCAGACATCTACTGCGTCGGACGACACGCTCCCGTCCCTCGACGCATCCTTCTCGTCCCTCGACAGCGAGAGCCCGTGCACGCCATGCACGCCGTGCGCGACCAGCAGTGTCGAGCTGCCGACGCTCGACGAGGCCGATGAGCCGACCGACGCGATTGTGATTACCCCCCGCCCCAAGACGTGGGCGCTCTCACCCTTCCGCGTGCCAGACGGTGCGTCGGTTGTAGTGTCAGCGCTCACGTACAGTATTATAACTCGCGTCCTTGGACTGATTTACGGCTTCCTCATCCCATTCAGCTACTAGGCCGACTGGATTATAATGCGCACGCCTCGGACATTGCCGCTCCGGACAATCACCAGCCGTATACTTCGACTTTGCTCAGTTGCCACATTTTCGACACCCGTTTGCCATACACGATGCTCCAGTTGCACAATTTTCGACAAACCAGTTGCCGTATATTGGATACCCCACTAGTCATGTTGTTTCTCCGCCGACTGTTAGCTGTAACTCACTTTGGTCGGCGGCGTAAGTAGTTTAAGAGATGCAGTAGTTTGTCTGTGAGACGGTCGTGAGTGCTAGGCGTGAGTGGTTACTGATGTACCGACAACGACGAGGACACTGTCTGCTCCTGACGTCGAGTACGAGCGATGAGCTTGGTAACAGAACTCACATTTGTGTGAGCTTCCCCTTGGTTTGCATTCTCTGATAGCTCGATCCCAGCAAGCCCACAGAACGATCTCCAAGTTGCGATTCGAGCCCCCTCCCAGTCCCCACCCTCCCCTCTCATGATGCCTCCACAATCTCGGTGAAATCAAGCTGCCGCAACTGTCGCCTCCGCTCCGCGTCGTCTGCCATCTTCCATCTGCCATCTGCCATCAGCCATCAGCCGTCAGTCAGCCTGCCCACATCTCCCCACCTGCGTACCGCGGCTCGGGGTGCCGTCGTCCGGGGCTGGTAGGTGAGCAACGTCCAGAGTTCTTCAAATCCTCCACATCTCCAAATATCCCACATGGCCCCGTCGTCCATTCTCCGTCCTGGCCGCCTCAGGACATCAGATGATGACTCTACTCCGATCCGCCGATGAGGACGGCCTCCACGCCTCCACGGATGCACCAACAACTAACTCGAGGCACCCCCATCGCCCCCATGTCGCCCCGCACGCCCACATTCCCGAATGTCCCGAATGTGGAGGCTATATCCGCTCTTCGCCCGGCCATCCGCCCCGGGTAATCGTTGCCGGGGCGAAATAGCCGTGGCGAGATGCAAGCAGCTCGACGACGAGCACGACGACGACGAAGCATGCATATAACGACGAGCGGAGAGTTGTGTGGTGCACTACTGTCCCACTCCTCTTGCACTCATAACCTGTCCCCTGCTCTCCCCGCTCCCTCCGCTCTCCGCTCGCTGCTGCTCCCTGGCTGCTCGCCAAATATCTCACCCATCTTGGAGGATTCGAGAGCCACTCGCCTATATCCTATTTGAATTAGCCCTATTAGCCCGAGGGTGGATTAATACGGCTCCCGCACTAGCCCCCGACCTCCACCTGGCCGCCCCACCCCACTGGCCCCTCCCCCCCCACGGCCCACGGCCGAGTGACTTTTAACCCCCTCGTACCCAGCCCCGCCGATCTCTGGCCCCCTCCATCCCTCTTTACATGCTCAGACACACCCGTCTCTCCGCCACCATCGCCGGGGCGTCTCGCGTACGTTCATTCTCTCCTCTTACCTCTCATCTCTTACTCACCCCTCAGAACTCCACTCGCAACCTCTCCACAACCATGGCCAGGAAGAACGCCCCCAAGTCCGACAAGCCGCTCTACGCGAGCCAAGGCTCCATCCCCCACCTCCCCGTCCCCCGCCTCGCCTCCACCCTCTCCAAGTACCTCGAGACCCTCCTCCCCCTCTCCGACCGCGACCAGTACGCCCACTCGGCCAAGGCCGTGCGCGAGTTCGCCAACAGCGACTTCTCCCGCGTCCTCCAGGGCCGTCTGGAGCAGCGCGCCGCCGAAAAGGACAACTGGATCTCCGAGTGGTGGAACGACGTCGCCTACTTTGGCTACCGTGGCCGTCTGATTCCCAACGTCTCCTACTTCTACATCCACAAGAAGGGGATCGGCAAGGGCGCCAGCCAGACTGAGCGTGCTGCCCAGCTCACCCGCGCCGTGGTCGAGTTCAAGAAGCTCGTTGACAGGTGAGTAGGTAGGCCGGTCGATCGGACGAGGTGCACGAGGTGCCGGGTGAGCAGCAGGGGGCTGGTGCATGGGGCGCCCGCCGGGGTCTGGGCTGCAGGCATGCAGGCATGCAGGCATGCAGGCATGCAGGCGTACACGATAGTGATTGCGTGTGCACGATTGCACGAAGCGCCGCATCGCAATCGTGTCGGTCCTACCTTCGGCCCCACGACCCAGCCCCAACGCCGGTGGTGGTCTCCGGTCCACTCCGGCAACATCGGGCCCGGAAATCGGCCACCGTGGTCGACTTTTTTTTTTTCTTTTTTCCATACAGCGCCCCCCCGGCCCGGCATTCGGTCATGTCCGCAGACTACTAGCAGATTAGAGTGACGAGAGCAAAAGTGCTGACATGCAAGCGAGAAGCTCGAGCCCGAGGCCGTCAAGGGCAACCCCCTGTGCATGGCGTCGTACAAGTACCTCTTCAACGCCGTCCGTGTGCCTACCTCGCCCGCCGATGTCCCCCTTGCCTACCCCAAGGAGCTCAACCACATTGTTGTTCTCCGCAACAACCGCTACTTCAAGCTCGAGGTTGGCGGCCGCTCGGCCTCGGAGATCGCCAAGGCGATGGAGGAGATCAAGCAGGTTGCCGACAAGGAGGAGGGCTCGTACATTGGTGTCCTGACCGCCGACGACCGTGACGTCTGGACCGACGCTCGCCGCCACCTCCTTTCCATCTCCAAGGCAAACACCGACGCCATTCAGGCTATCGACTCGGCCATCCTCCTCTTCGCCCTCGACGACGGCGCCGTCCCCACCAACGACACCGAGCGCGCTTGGTCGTACTGGGCCGGTGGCCTCCACCCAGACCAGAAGGGCAAGGGCCGCAACCGCTGGTTCGACAAGCACGAGTTCATTGTCGACGAGGCTGGCGAGGCCGGCTTCAACGGCGAGCACTCGATGCTTGACGGCACCCCGACTCTGCGTCTCAACGAGTTTGTTCTCGCGTCGCTCGACAAGGGCGTCATCCCTCTCGAGCTCCCGGCCAACGAGCAGGCCAAGGGCAAGATCGAGTGGTCCGAGATCAAGTTTGACCTCGACGCCAAGATGAAGGACATTATCGACAAGTCGCGCGCCGGCTTCGCCGACGAGATCTGCAAGCAGGACCTCCGCATGACCGTCTTCACCGGCTACGGCAAGTCGTCGATCAAGCCCTTCAAGGTGTCGCCCGACGCCTGGGCGCAAATGGTCAAGCAGCTCGCGTACTACAAGCTGCACAAGACGCCTGGTGTGTGCTACGAGTCGTGCCAGACGCGCAAGTTCCTGCTTGGCCGCACCGAGGTGATCCGCACCGTGTCGTCCGAGTCGCGCGCCTTCGTCGAGGCCATGAACGACCCGAACGCCTCTGACGCCGAGCGCGAGAAGCGCTTCCGCGCCGCCGCCACCCGCCACGGCCAGTACTCGGCATGGGCTGCCGACGCGCAGGGCGTCGACCGCCACCTCTTCGGCCTCAAGAAGCTCATCCGCGAAAACGAGGACGTCCCCGCCCTCTTCTCCGACCCCAACTTTGCAAAGTCGGGCCACTGGCACCTCTCCACCTCCCAGCTCACGTCCAAGTACCTCGACGGGTGGGGGTACGGCGAGGTCGTGCCGGACGGCTACGGGCTGTCGTACGCGATCCACGACGACAAGCTGTGCTGGGGCATCACGACGCTCAACGGCGACGCCAAGGAGATGGAGGCTGCGCTGCACGAGTCCGCCGCCGAGCTCAAGGCCATGATGGACCGCGCTGCCAACAAGCCCAAGCTCTGAGTGAGGTGTAGATCGGGCGCGGATGGTCGGGTCCGGAATATAGAAAAGTAGCTGCGCGATTGGAGATTTGTATGTCGAGCATGAGCATGCATGGGTGACGAGGAGCGGGATGTGGACGTGGCGCACGGTGTGGAGCGGCGCGGCGATCGGGGCGATCTCGCATATGGTTATCTCGCTTGTCTCGCTTGTATACGTCGCGTCTGCTGCGAGCTTTCATCGCGACTCCATCGCAATGCATCTGCCAAGCCCAATCCAACAACCATGCAGACCCAATCACATCCCCACACTGGCACACTGGACCGATGACTTGGACACTGGACCGGCCCGCATTGTTTACATAACAAACCTTGGAGAGATTCAAAAATCTGCGGTGGAGGTGGGGTGGATGTCCGCAACCCCGCAACCCTGGGCCTGCATAATTTCCAGAAGGCAGATTGAATAAATATTCTCGCCCAAAACACACGACCTCCCAACACCCACTCTCCCCCCCTCTCCCCCCCCCCCCCCCAATCCACCTGTACACTACATTCAAAATGGCCAAGGACAAGTCTGCCCCCAAGATCGACAAGAAGGAGAAGAAGGACAAGAAGGCTGCGCCTGTCAAGGTGAGTTGTTGCAGCGTTGTCACTGCATCACCGCTCACACCCAGGAGGTCAAGGAGGTCAAGGCCAAGGAGGTGAAGAGCGACAAGAAGGACAAGAAGGAGAAGAAGGACAAGAAGGCCAAGAAGGCCAAGACGCCCACTCCCGAGCCCGAGTCGAGCGAGGAGAGCAGCGACGAGTCGGACGACGAGTCTGAGGAGGAGAAGCCTGTGAGTTTTTACGCAACCGAGCAACGGGACTAGGCTGACACCCAGGCCGCCAAGGCCGCTAAGGCCGAGTCGTCGGACTCTGACTCGTCCGACTCGGACTCGAGCGACGACGAGGAGGACAAGCCCGCCGCCAAGGCTGCTTCGTCCGACTCTGACTCGGACTCGGACTCGTCGGACGAGGACGCTGCCGCCGAGGAGGTCCAGCTCCAGAAGGAGGACGCCGAGATGAAGTCGTCCGAGTCCTCGGACTCTGACTCATCCGACTCGGACTCGGACTCTGACTCGAAGGAGTCCAAGGACGCTGCGCCCGTCACCAACGGCAAGCGCAAGGCGGACGACGAGGCTGAGGCGCCGGCCAAGAAGGCCAAGGTCGAGGGCGGCGAGGGCGACGAGGAGGTGTCGACCAACGTCTACGTCGGCGGCCTGTCGTGGAACATTGACAACGACTGGCTGCGCTCCGAGTTTGAGAAGTGCGGCGAGGTCGTCGACGCACGCGTCATGCTCAACCGCGAAAACGGCAAGTCGCGTGGCTTCGGCTACGTCGAGTTCGCGGACCTCGAGAGCTCGGCCAAGGCGTGCGCCGAGATGAACGGCGCCGAGATCGACGGCCGCTGGCTCAAGGTCAACTACGCCGTCAAGCGCGACCAGACGGCGTCGCGCGCCAAGGCGTTCAACGACAAGCAGTCGCCGCCTGCCGAGACGCTGTGGATCGGCTCGCTCTCGTTCGACATCACCGAGGACCAGGTGTACGAGGCGTTCGGGGAGCACGGAGACGTGCAGCGCGTCTCGCTGCCGACGGACCGCGACACCGGCGCCCCCAAGGGCTTTGGCTACGTGCAGTTTGCGAGCGTCGACGAAGCGACTGCCGCGCTCACTGCGCTCAACGGCGCCGAGCTCGCCGGCCGCCGCATCCGCATCGACTACGCCCCGCCCAAGGACACGAGCCGCGACAGCTTCGGCGGCGGCCGTGGCGGTGGCCGTGGCGGCTTTGGCGGGCGCGGCGGTGGCCGTGGCGGTGGCCGCGGCGGCTTTGGCGACCGTGATGGCGGGTACGGCGGGCGCGGCGGCGGCCGTGGCGGCTTTGGCGGTCGTGGCGGCGGCGGCCGCGGCCGCGGCGCGCCCCGTGGCGGCGCACGCACCGGCGGCATCGTCCAGCCCACCGGCACCAAGGTGTCGTTCGACTAGTCCATCATACCCATACCAAAAGGGCTGCCGAGTGTCTGTACTAGCTCTTGATGCGCGCCTGGCATAGACGTTTTTCTGTATGCATTGTGGTAATAGATCGCGACGCGGTGCGGGGCGCAAGTTGGCAGGAGGCAGGCTCCACTGTGCGCGTGCGTGTTAGGCTGCGACGACGCCCGCTATCAACCAGACGCGCCGGACGTCGCTCGCTTTGCTGCGCGCCAGCTCCATAAATACCCGCCTTGTCACGTGCCCGCCTATGTACACTGGCACATGCGGTGGATCGGAGGACATGTGAGCTGGCGCAGTCGATCGCAACGACGTCATTAGAGTGGACGTTTGGACTCTGCGCAGTCACCGCGTACCCCACTACGCCGCATAGCTCGGCACCGGCGCCGCCTCACGCCTCACTCGGGCCTGGGTGCGCCTCGGGCCTCGCCGCTGATGGTATGTAGCGGAGGGCAGCGGTGATTAGGCGATAGATAATAGCGGTGAGAGCAGAGTTGCAGCATCGTCATCACCTACAGAGGACATCCCACCCTCACAACCCCACCTAACACGCCGCCTCATATACGTCATGGCCCATCTCCCCTAGCCAAGCCCTCCGTCCTCCCATCTCTTCACAATGCGTCCACGATCCTCTTCCTCCTCAGCCTCCTCTCGTCTCCGTCGTTCTCCCTCTTGGCTAGCCTCTCTCAGACACAAGCGCACACCCTCCAACTCGACATCCTCCGCTAACCCCCACTCCCCGCCGTCAGCTTGGACAATGGACGCTGCAAACGGCACGACCAACGGCGCCGCCCCGCACAGAGGCACAAACTCGGAAAACATGCCTGGCGAGCACGACGCCGCAAAGGCCAACACTGCCGTCGCGTCCGGCGCGCCGCAGCACCACAGCGCGCAGAAGGGCGACGGCCGCGGCACGGCCGGCACGATTGACTCGCCCCGCGACGCTACCCAGACAGGTAGCTCGGGCACACCCGTCGTCGTGCCCTCTGCTGGCGCGCGCTCATCCTCGGGAGCCTCGGCGCCCGGCAGCCCCACGACGCCGGCGCGCGCGACCGCTCCCGGCCCCCCGTCGTACGCCACCCCCGCCTCGCCATCGGCTCGCTCGGCCACCTCTCCCACCTCCCCTTCCCGCTCCCACCTCTCGCCGACCGCAGCCTCGCCGACCGCACCCACCGGCCCCGAGCTCTCGCGCCAGCGCTCCCCTGTCCCCGAGTTTCCCAAGCTGCCCGCTGCCCCGCCCCCGAAAGTCTACGGCATGGGGTACTCAAACTTCCGCCGCGTCCCCAAGGCCCAGGACTACGCCGGCATCAAGCAGGAGCACGAGAAGCAGGCAGACGAGTACGACCGCATCCTCCAGGAGCGCGAGGCCGCGCTGCGCGCCAACGGCGAGCTCGCGCACTCGAGCGGCAGCCTCACCCCAGAGGCGGCGCCCGTCGACGACGCCGTCGCCGAGCCTGGCGGCGGCGAGAAGACCTCGGCGAACATGGGCGCCAACGAGAAGGCGCGCCTTATGGAGCAGATGAATGCCAACCAGGAGAAACCAACCGAGCGCTTCAAGAAGCGCAGCAAGGGCGAGCGCCGCGTCCGCGATCCTATCACCGGCAAAGCGATCGTCGTCAAGGACGCCGACCCCAAGGGTGAGTACCAACGCGCTGTTCTGCAGCTGCTGGGATACCCTCGGCACCTTCCTCGCGAGCTTCTGCACTCCTCTTGGGTGCACTACTGGCTCTCACACCACTCCCGTTTCTCCTCTCTCGCTGCGCTCTCACCGCGGCGATGGTAGTACGCCTGCTGACCCTCGCAGACTTTGACTCGTCCCACACCCGGATCATGGGCACCAATGTGCTCTACTACGACTTCCCACCGCCTGCGCCAAAGGGCCTCACCGACATTCTCGGCTATATCGAATCCGCTGAGAAGCTCGTCGCCGCCGGCTTCGTCGTCCTCTGGATCCTCGTGTCGTGGGGCAGCTCGTGGTGGGGCTTCTGCTTCCGGTCGGCCGTCGTCGGAGGCGCTGGCGTCGCCGTCACATCCTTCATGTCCATTAACCGCAAGAAGATGGAGAAGGAGGTCATGGCCATCCGCCAGGACCAGCACCGCACGCGCGGCAACGCCATGGTGCCCCCCACGCCCGAAAGCGTCGAGTGGCTCAACCACCTCGTCCAACTCGTCTGGGGCCTGATCGACAACACCATGTTCATCCCGCTTGCCGACACGGTCGAAGACATTCTCCAGCAGTCGCTTCCGGGCTTTGTCGACTCCGTGCGCATCACCGATGTCGACCAGGGCTCGAACGCCCTGCGCATCACCAGCATCCGTGCACTCCCCGACCAGCCCGGAGACAAGGGGTACCCGAAGAAGGATTGGATCGACGACGGCCAGGACGTCAAGCTCAAGGACACGACTGGCAAAGAGATCGAGGAGGACCAGGCGGGTGACTACTACAACTTTGAGGCAGCATTCGCCTACTCGGCGCTTCCCGGCCAGAAGGACCGATCCAAGAACATCCACATGCTCATCCAGTTCTTCCTCGGCATGAACGACTGGTTCCACATCCCCATCCCTATCTGGATCCAGATCGAACAGATCTTCGGCATTATCCGCCTCCGTGTGCAGTTCATCCCCGACCCGCCGTTCGTGCGCAACGTAACCTTTGCCCTCTGCGGCGTCCCCTCCGTCGAGGTCTCGGCCATCCCCATGTCGCGTCACCTGCCCAATGTTCTAGACCTTCCCCTTATCTCGTCTTTCGTCAAAGACGGCATTGCTGCCGGCACGGCCGAGTTGTCCGTGCCCAAGTCGATGACGCTCAACATCAAGGAGATGCTCAGCGGCACTGTCGGCGACACGCACGCCATGGGCGTCTTCGTCATCGCCGTGCACTACTGCGAGGACCTCTCGGCTCAGGACAGCAACGGCTTCTCGGACCCCTACATTGTCCTTGCGTACGCCAAGTACGGCCGCCCGCTGTACTCGACCCGCATCATCCTGCAGGACCTCAACCCTGTGTACGAGGAGACAGCGTTCCTGCTTGTGTCGATGGATGAGGTGCGCAGCCAGGAGGAGCTTGTAGCTATGCTCTGGGACAGCGACAACATGAGCGCCGACGACCTCGTCGGTCGTGTCCAGATCCCCATTGAGGAGCTCATGGCCAAGCCCAACAAGATGTACCGCCGCGAAGACAGTCTCAAGGGCTTTGAGGACGGCAACGAGATGCCTGGCAAGCTCGTGTGGTCGATCGGCTACTTTGACCGTGTCCCGCTCGACAAGAAGTACGAGCGCCTGCCTACGATCGAGGAGGCCAAGGCGCAGCCCGCGCCCGTGTCCGCGCCGTCCAAGGAGATGCTCCCCGGCGATGCGGCACCCAACCCCGCGCGCGACTTCATGCCGCCCGAGGCGCCGACGCTCGACAAGACGCGTCCAGACCCGGAGTGGAACAGCGGCATTCTCTCCATCATTCTCCACCAGGTTACCAACCTCGAGCGTCAGCACCTAGAGGGCAAGAGTGGCAAGGACCGCGAGGGCGAGGCCGGGCAGGACACGGATGACCCGAGCGAGCAGACCGAGAACCTGCCGAGTGGTTACGGCGAGTTTATTGTCAACGACTCACTCGTGTACCGCACGCGCGTCAAGCAATACAGCGTCAACCCGTACTTTGAGGCGGGTACTGAGGTGTTTATCCGCGACTTCCGCACCACTGAGGTGCGCGTTGTAATCCGTGACTCGCGCCTGCGCGAGTCCGACCCGATCATGGGCATCGTGACCGTCAACCTCGCTGATGTGTTCGCCGACTGCTCCAGCATCAAGAAAATGTATCCGATCCAGGAGGGCGTGGGCTTTGGCAAGGCCAACATCTCGTTCGCGTTCCGTGGCATCAAGGCGACACTGCCCGACCGCCTGCGAGGGTGGGACACGGGCACCCTTACGATCAGCCGCGTGCGGCTGTGCGGTGACCCGGCCAAGCGGGACGTATGGGAGGCGCGCGAAGTAAATCTCAAGGTGGAGACGAACGAGAGCACAGAGAAAATGCGCAAGCGCGAAGCGCAAGACGAAGGCGGCGAGATCGTCTGGGACATTGAGCCGCTCTACATGCCCATCTACAACCGGTACCAGGCGCACGTGTGGTTCAAGTTCGGCTCGACGGGCCTCGGCAAGGTCATTGGCAAGGGCAAGCCCGAGGCGATGGCCGTGCTGTGGCTGCAAGACCTGACGGACCTGCAGGACGCCGAGGTCGAGCTGCCCGTCATCGTGTCGGACGACATGAAGCAGCTGCAGCAGAACGTGATCAACGACCAGACGCTGCGGACGCACAAGTTTGAGGTTGTCGGCACGATCAAGGCGCGCATGGAGTTCACGCCGGGGCTCGACCTGCACCACGAAAACCTCCGGCTGTCGCAGGGCCGCCGGCACGCATTCCAGGCGTGGATGGCTGTCGAGGGCGAAAGCGAGATCGCGTACCGCCAGCAGGCGTTTGACGACGACGGCGTGATTGACCGCTCGGAGAAGCGCGAGATGAAGAAGCTGCACCGCCGGCAGCTCGAGAGCCGCGGCCGCGGCATGGCGCAGGTTGGCGCGTACCGCAGTGCCAAGTGGATCGGGCGGGGTGTGATGGACCGGCTGCCGGGCAAGAAGAAGACACGCGAGCGTGAGTGCAACGAGAGGCGGAGCTGACAGCAGCGACGATCCAGACCGAGGCGTAGTCCAGACCGAGGCGTAGCAGCGTAGCAGCGCAGCAGCGTAGTGTAGCGTAGCGAGTAAATACATACATGCATGAGTATCAGTAGTCGTCCATCATATCCTCGATCTCGGCGTCTACGTCGCGCGCCTCGTCGTCGCTGCTCCGCTCGTCGCGTTCTTGACGATCCTCTCGTTTCTCGCGCTCTTGACGTTCCTCCCGCTCCTCTCGCGCTTCGCGCTCGGCAAGCTTGCCGCGCTGCTGGCCATTCGTCTCGGGCGCCCGCGGCCGGCCCACGTCGGCAGGGTAATGCGTGGCATTCTGCACGCTGCCGTCAGCCTTGGACGGGGACGTGTCGCACAGCGGCGTCCAGCTCGCGCCCTCGGGCACGAGGACGGGCGGCGGCGGCCGCCCGTGCTGCGCCATGTACGCGTCGTAGATCCGGCGTTGGATCTGGTAGACCCGGAGAGCGAGGAGGTTTGATTCCTGGTGTCAGCGGACGAGCCGCGCAGCGGCGAGGCGCGAGGGCTACGAGCGCAGCGAGTGCCGAGTCGTTGCGGGTCCGAGTCGTTGCGGGTCCGAGTCGTTGCGGGTCCGAGTCGTTGCGGTGCGGCCGCGGGTGCAGTGTGCGGCTGCACAGCGGCGGCACGAGCCGGAGAGGCAGCAGTGTGGGAGACTAGAAAAAGCGCTGCGAGACTCACATCCGACAAGTCGTTGACCATGTCCTTCAGCGCGCGGTAGCGGCGGCGGTAGCGCGTGTCGTCGCCCGAGAGGACGGGCATGATCTTTGGGTTGTGGCGGTTCATTGTGCGGAGGGAGGGGAAAGGCGGGGGGTGGGTGAGGATGGCCGGGGTGGTCGTTGGACGGACGAGAGGAGAGCTGGTGGTGCGACTTAGACACGCTGGCGCGCGTGATGGTGTGCAGATTTGTGGAGGAAGAGACGAGGCGGGACCAAGAGAAGTGGGAGATTGAGACGTCAAGGTGCGAGATTGAATGAGAGTGGCACTGTTGGTGACATAAGGAGAGTGGAGGTCGACTGCATCCTGACTGCAGTTTCCACTTCGGACCTTATCCCCATCACGTGCACACTTCGTACGTCCGTCGTAACATAGTTACATGTACACTACTCTACAGCGCTGGTGCGCACATGCTACTCTACTACTCCCCTACGTCCGGAACCGGCCGTCGGCCTCAGCCTGCTGGTCCTCAGCGAGCATGCGCTCGCGCTTGGTCTCCGCGCGCTCCGCCGCGATCACTGCGGCGATGTTGCCCTCGGGCGTGTCCGAGAACGGTGCGCTCGTCTCCGCTGCCGCCGCGGCAGCGGGCGCCGCCGGCTCGGTCTGCACGCGTCGCCGGCGCCGGCGGCGCGGCAGAGTCTGCTGCACGGGCATCGGGCGCGTGTCCAGGTCCATCGCTACATTCGTAGACGCTTGGAACGCCTCGATCCACTGTACGCACTGCCGCGCCGTGTCGGTCTGGAGCATAAACTGTTGCCCCTCGGCGCGCACGCGTACGCAGTGCAGCCGCTTCTTGTAGTCGGCAGCAAGGCCAGACTCGGCTCCGTGCATGCTGTACACGTGCAGAAGCTGGTTGTGCGCAAAGGGCATGTGCGAGGCGATGGGCGCCGAGGCCGTAGACGAAGCGACCGAGTCAGCACTGCTGCTCTGCCGCCGCTTCGGGATCTCGAAAAGCGTGGGGTCCTTGCCGCCGGCACCTTCGCGGCGCGGAGGCGTAGAGCTCCCAATCGTGCCCCTGCGCGCATTCGATATCGCCGTTGCGATCACGTTGATACGCGGAGCACCCTCTTGCCCGACTGTTGCGCGACGCGCCTGCTTGATTGCCTGCACTGGGTTCGGCGTCGAAACAGACGCGCGGTGGTGGTCCGGAGCAAGGTGTACATGCAGGTACTCCTGCGACTCGGTCTCATCCGCCGTGAGGTACGGCTCGCCCATGCGCAGCGGCACTTTGGTGGGGTCAAACTTGTACACGAACAGTGCTGTGCCGTGAAGCACAAAGTAATGCTTCTTCCATCCGCGGTCACGCGCTTGGACACCGGGCTGGACAAACTCCATCTTGCGAGAGAGCGTGCCCTCAATGTGCACACCGCACCAATAAGGTGGAAGGCGCTCGCAACCTTCCTCCTCACGCGGCCTGACAGCTGGCCCGTCACGCCCCATCCGAACCGACTCGTACCGAGGAGGTGCTGGATCGGCGTCGCCCGCAGACAACCGACGCTTGAGTGGTGGTGGCGACGTAACACCCCATGGCGTAGTCGGAGGGTGCGCCCAATCGCGATCAAGTGCGGGCGTAGTAGTCGGGAGCTCGTCGACGGTCTGCAGAGCCTCGGGGGACTCTGTTGCCGGCGCAACGGTGCGCTCGGCGTGCGGCGTTGACAAGTTGATCATGGACTGGGAAGTCTGGGTGTACAGCACCGGCCGTCTTGGGGCTGATGGTGGCGTTGCAGGAGAAGGGGTAGCGATCGACGTCAAGGCGACTGAGCCCGAGGCGTTGTCATCCACCGACGCGGAATCAAGACTATCGCCCTCCAGGCTCGAAGCGTCATCCTCTACCTCGGGATGGCTTGTGCCCGACGATTGCACCGAGTGCAGCCCGAGCGAGCTTGGCGTGTCGTCGGGGCCGGAAGGCAGACGGTCGTGGTCAAAGAAGCCGTGAGGACGTTGCGAGGGTGGTGACCCAAGCGAAGAAGTCGTCCTCGAGCCCGGCAGAGGTGTGCCAGAGCGCGATTCCTCGGTTACGGGGTCCATCACAAGATTCCTTCCGCTCCTGTTAACATAAGCCGACTGAGCGGGTGGTGGAGCCTGGGCGAGGGGCGGGGCGGTGCCGCCATGCCCATCGGCCGAGTCATCCTCGTCATCTTCTTCTTCCTCCTCTTCTGGCTCAACCGGTGGCTGATGACTTGGAACGCGGAGCATGACCGGCTGGGGGTTAGTGGCTCCCCTGAGCAGCACGACTCACCATTGTTTTTGTCGCTCGGCGGACCTCGGCGTCGGTCAACTCCTTACTGTTGTTGCGGGACGGGGTAGCAAGATGTGGGAAGGGGAAGCCGCCAGAGGTTGAGGCTCGTGAGTTGACTCTTGAGAGAGCAGGGGAGTGAGGGCCGCCCTGGAGCGCGAGGGCACCCCAGCCTGGCGAGCAACCTCCGCCGTTGAGCGAGGGCAATCTGGCGATGGGGATGGGCATCGGGGGTGAATGAAGGATCGCGGCCATGCGCAGAGGGGAACCGACGCTATGCGCTGAGACGGCCGACATGGCCGAGACAGCCGAACTCCGTCTGCGGGCCATGGCCAGAGCCACTGCGTCGCTTCCGATGCGGGCGTCGTAGGCCGGCGACGACGGTTCGGGCGTTGCAAAGTGTAGTTCAGGTGACGGAGGGGCGGAGGCATGGGGCGTGTGGAATGGAGATGATGAGGGAGAAGCGACGTTGGTGTCGATTGTCAATGGTGGGCGGGTGGGTGACGGCGCCGAAGTGGCTTTAGGTGGGCGGGTGGTGGCAGGAGATGGGGTAAGGGATGCGGGGTTCTGGGGGGGTGTGGCGGGGCATGCGAAGCGGGGTTCGGGATGAGTGTGATTGTCAGCGAGCATGGTTGTGGTTGGGTTGTGGACGACGGCCTCTGGCTCGGGCTCGGAGAGGGGCGTGAGCTCGCTTGGCGGGGTGGTGCTAGCACTACCGCTGTCAGGCTTATGTGCGAGGGCCGGCGGTTCGGAATGCGCCTTTGCTGGATCTGGCGTGGGCAGTCGCACGCTCTGCGGACGGCTGTCGTCACCGCCGAGTCGGAGACTGAGGCGCGACCCGCGGTGCAGCAGTGTGCGGAGCTTGTGCAGTGCGAGTGGTTCGACGGTCACTTCGACGTTTGGGGGAGTTCCGAGTGGTGTGGTGGCGCCGGGTGTGGAGATGGTACTCCGCCGTTTCTGGCGGAAGAGGGAGGGCATGGTGGTATGGTGGCGGGGATGCCTGGCCGGGAGTGCCGGCGTTGACGTGCCCGTATGCAAGAGATATAACTGCGAGTTGGACGAGGAGGAGGATGGGCTGCGAGGGCGTGAGTGAGTGTCAGCCGGGGGGATGACCGAGGCCGAGGGGAGGGCAGGAGGGCAGGAGGGTGAGGGTGGAGGGTGGAGTGGGGCCTGGAGAGCGGGGGGTGGGGGGGCGAAGGGGTACGGAGTGACGAAGGGGACAAAGCGAAGACGACGACGACGACGAGGAGGACGGCGACGATGATGAGGGGGACTGGGAGATGGCAAAAGAGAGATGGAGATGTTGATGGCGACGACAAGAGCGACGAGGTGGGCCATGGGCCACTCGCAAAGCGCAGTCGGGGTGAGTGGACTGGAGGAAGGTGGCTGCGTGCGTCGCCCAGCCTAATGACGTCTGCCAACTAACTCTAACCCCAGAATAATCAGGGTTCTCTAATCCCCTCTGCGCTCTCTTTCTCTCTCGTCTCATCTCATCTCATCCTCCTCAGCTCCTCTCTTTCTCATCTGCATGCGTATCCGTTCTCCATTCTCGGCTCTCCATCTCTCCGCCCGATCAACCTCGCATGCGTCGATCTATTCACTTGCCGGCCGCGCCCCGCCGCGAGCTGGCCAGGCGCGAGGCAATCCACGAGTGCCAGGGTCCGCCCCGCCTCCGCCCCGCCTCCGCCTCCGCCTCCGCCGCCGATTGTCCCAGGCAGGCCTCGCCGTAAGCGAGCCGCGTGCTCTCACTGCAGAGCTGCTATTCTACCTACCTGCTGCGCGCCGCGGCCACTTCCAGTTCTGGGACGCAGCTCGGAAGCATCACATGTGCAGACATGCAGATCCATCGCAGATCCATCGCATCGTGTATATCTATCAACACAAGATTTCTCTTCATGCCCTCCACAAATGTATTCCGGCCGTCCCCTCTAACACCTCAGCAGCGCCAAGTTTGGCACTGCACTAGAACCGGCACTAGCGGTGTTTGCTTGCATGCTTGCATATCTGCTTGACGGCGACCACGGGCGACACGGGTACGCACACTCAGCCGTTCATGCTTTTGCCGCGCCCGTCATCCCGAGCAGCAATAGCCCGCACATGCAAAACCCGCAGCACCAAAGCCGCCATGGCCCGCGCACCCACGCACGCCGCCCACGTCATGCCTCCCTACACTTGCCGTACGCTGTTTGTCCGTCCGGGTGTGCCCTCATTTCCGCACATGAACGGCGTTACCATTCCATCCTTATCAGCTGCACAAGTTTGCATTGCCTGGGCTCTTATAGGTCGCTACATAATACGTGTACCTGGGAACCATCACCGGTACGACGAATACCGTGTGCCCGCCGACGGGGGGAGCGGCACGCGGCGCGCCCCGCCCAGCGTGCTGGCGCTCGGGGCGTACGTGGTGTTCCGGCTCGCCGGGAGCGGAATCGCGCGTGGGTCGATGAGCGGCGTCTCGCCGCGATTCTTGAGAATCGAGCGGGGACGCGGCCGCTCCTCGTCCGAACACGACTGGTGTGAGCATCATGCCCGATCGTGGAATGTGCAGATATGATAAGCTGTGCGACAATTCAGAGTCCCAGACGATGTTTCCACCGGACGCTGCTCGGACCCGAACCTCGGCCGTAATGACACGAGGCCAAGTATAGACCTTCGAAACAGTCGCAACGCCCAATCTGACTCTTGACTCACCTCGACTGCTGTGCGCTGCGACTGATTCGACGGGACAGGCCGGTCGTGCCCATATATCGTGGCCGTGACGTACGATGCCCCCGGTGTCCGAGGCCGTGGATGTTGCGGCGCGGTGTAAGTCGTCCCATGCGAAGATGGGAGGGGCACGCCCGCGGCCTGCGCGACAGAGTTGGCGTACACTGATGCCGGGATCGGAGCGGAGCGGACGTATGCTGACTCGGGCTGACTCTGACTACGCCGCGAGGGCGAGGGCGAGGGCGAGGGCGCAGGCGAAGGGCCGCGAGTAGGCACTGTGGGTGCCCGCGGGGCTGGCGACGGAGCTCGGCTCCGCTGAGCTTGAGCAGGGACAGGGGACGGCATGCTTGAACGCACGCCTGACGCGTTGCTGACGCGTCGAGAGTCCAGAGGCGTCTTTGTGCTTGACTGACGTCAGCTTCACTGTTGGAAGCGCAGCTCACGGGTGGTTGCACAGTAATCTTCAGTCAGCTCGTCATGTGCGCAGACTTGAGCAGACTCACCGTTGGCGGGCGATGATAGTTGCGATCTGACAGCTCCGGAGCTGCGCCACCGACGCTGATGCCCAGCGCCGGTATCGGGTGTGGAGATCTGGCCGGGCTCGGCGCCTGTAGTTAGATCCAGCCTGCGTCGCTCTATCTCGCCACCCACCACCCCGTCATGCGTTGTGCTCCTTGCCTTTCCTCCCTCCCTATCTTCCCTCCTCCTCCATCGCATGACAGCTCAAGCGGCCCCTCAGCCCAGCGTGCATCTTCCACGGTCACGCACCGATGGCCCCACGCTCCGTGCTGGCGTACGTGGTTCCTCACTGATCCGGCTGAGGTCGTCCCGGATGTTCATGGAGCGCGACGGCGCGCGACGCGACGGCACTGCTGACGGCTCAGAGTCAGATCTGGGGTCAGCTTGTCCGCAGTAGCAGCTCACGGAGGCAGTTGCACCGCTGCAGCAGCGGCCAGGTCATCGCTTCCCCCCGCAAAGCTCCGCTTCACGCGCTCGGCTTGCTCCTTGAACGCCTTCAAGGCCATGACGTCGAAGTCGTCGTAGTTGGGGTCTGACCCGTGCCAGACGGGATACTTGCTGTCTTTGTGCGGGCCTCTGCTGCCCAGCACCGATGCGGCGGTGAGCTCGATCGGGTGGCTGACGCTGCGTGTGTGAGTGCGTGCGGGGTCGGGGAGGGGTTTGTTAACCTCCACAACGCTGTGCTGTGAGCGGTGAGTAGGAAAAGGCCGCTGCGACGCTTGGGATGGCGCGGGAGGAACCCGTGGGATCGGGGTGCCGCCTTCACACCGGTCGAGGAAGGACTCGGCGACATGTCGCTGCCGGCTCGTGCACTGCGACGTTTGTGACGTGGGGAGTGGAACGGCGTACGGGTCAACAGAGCCTGCAGAGCGCTGTGAGCGCGCCGGTACAGTCGCAACGGGCACGGGAACTGGGTGCAGCCTCGACGATGGTATGTGGGGAGACGGGACGTGAGCGAGGGCTGGGTACACTTGGGGCGTTATCGACCGCTGTGTCGCGTACGAAGGTTGAGCTGGCGCGCATTGGGTGGGCGGTTGGGACGGCGTGATTGGCACCTGGGTTCTTCCGTTCGTCGTGGCGGCTATCGGCTGTGGCTGGACCTGCGCCGCGGCTTGCGGCTGCGGGGACGGCTGCAGCGGCGGCTGGTGTAGCACTTGTGGCTGGATCGGCGCCGGCTGCGGCTGCAGCGGCGGCGGCATAGTCTGAGGAGGCTGTTGGAACGCCGGCGCCGCCGCCTGTGGTTGGGGCTGCGGAATCGCCCGCACGTACTGCTGGAACTGCTGTGCGGCCGAGCCAAAGCTCGGCAACGTACTGGCATGCACGCCGAGGGGGGAGAGCGAGAAGTCGTTCGGGACGCTGACGGCGCCGCGCCCCGGGTCGGTCGTGTACTGCGCGAGCGGCAGCGGGGGATTATTCCCCATCCAGCGCCCGGCCTCTTCAAACGCCTCCGTGCGCCCCTCCTGGTGCCCGACGCGGCGTGCGTCCCGCACGCGGATCTCTTCGTGGTATCGTACGAGGCTGGATCAGCCTGCTGCGGGACGGACTCACCGGCTCTTCGCCTCCTCGAAAGCGCGGAGCGCGCGGCGCCGCTCCTCCTCCGTGCGCCGTTTGTCGTCTTTCACGCGCCGCAAAATGCTGACGGCGACCGCGAGCTCTGCCTTGTCCGCGGCGCGCTTGGCCTCGGCCTCGGCGGCGCGCCGCTCGACTTGTCCCGTCCGCAGCTTTTCGACGACAAGCCGCGCTTGCAGGTCGCGCACGGCCGCCTCGGCCGCCTGTAGCCGGTCGTTGGACTGCGCGAGCTGGAGACTGTTGCGGAGCTGTTCCGCCACGGCGGCGGCTTGGTCCGCATCGCGCGCGTCCTGCGCGTCCACGACGCGTTCCGCCCGCCTGTGCTGCGCGGCGAGGAGGGCGGCGCGGTGCGCCTTCATCGACCGAAACTGGAGGCCGTGCGGCTCGTACTCGGCCTCGTACTCGGCCTCGTCTGTGGGATCGGTACTGCGGCCGGGATGCTCAAACTTTTCGTGTCCCGACGGAGTCGGGGAGCTGCTCCGGCTCCGGCTCCGGCTCCTGCTTCGGGGCTTGGTGGGAGTCATCGCCGCGCGCGAGGTATAGCTCTGCGGGACGGGTGTGGCGGAGCGCGAGGGCCGCCGGGTGTGCCGGCTCTGGCGGCTGCGCGGGCGCTCCGTGTCCGAGTCGCCGTCCTGGTTCGTCCCGCCCCGTCTTGGGGGATGGTAGGCGCTTATGCTGTCGTATGGGCCGAGCGTGTCTCCCCCGCCGCGGAGGTAGGACACGTCTGTGGTGGGAGAAGGGGGGCTGGTGGGGTGCCGGCTGTGGCCGCGTGTGCGGAACGGCGAGGCGAGGCCGCGCTCCGGTGGCGCCGAGTGACGAGAGCGCGCGGCCGACGGGGGCATAGGTGACGCCGGAGTGCGAGGTGTGCACGGAGAGCGCGGGGTGTCCTGCTCCCACTTGTAGGCTTGGAGGCGTGCGTTGAGTTCGTTGGTGCTGGGGTGAGTGGGTGGTGCTTTGTGGCTGTTGTGGGTTGTGGGATATAAGGGGTGGAGAAGGAGCGAAGCAAGTGCACGGAGAATCAGGCGCGACATTGTATTGATCGCTCACGATCTCGCGAGAACACTGCGCCAGCGCGCGCACATGCGGCGAAGCAATCTCGCTCCCCTCTAGCTCGCTCGCCAGCCGCCGCACGCGCCACACATTCAAGGCCACTCACTCGATCTTGTACTTTCCTGGGGGAGGCGCGCGCGCGTCCTGGTCCTGGATCGCGTCCTGCAGGACTGCCATGGCCTTTTCCACTGCGCTCATGTGCGCGGGTCTGCGGGGGCGGGGGTCGGGCGGGGTGTGGTATGGGTCTTCTGCTGGGTGGGGCATGATGAGTGCGGGAGGAGATGGGGGATGAGTAATGATGTGAATGGGAACAAGGTCAGGCGCGTTCAAGAGCTCTGCCGACTGCAATGTTTTGCGGGCACGGGCCTCGTAGGGCGAGCGGCTGAGGGATCAGAGTGTCGGATGGCTGGTCGCGCACAGACCGTCGCGGCGCGGCGAGACGAGGCGACGATGTTATGTCAAGCGCAAGCAGTGGGATCAGTAGAGCGACGAGTCCGGGGATCAGTAATGGTGCACAATCAGAGCAAGCAATACATTATCCCATTGTTGCCACATCTTTGTCCCCCTCGCCTCCTATACTATGCACTCACCGCCGCCCGCACTTTGTGACTCACGCTCTCTCATATAGCCCGCTCACAGCTCCTCCCGGCTCTCGAGCCACTGCCCGCGCGCACCCCCCGAGTCGGCCTCGGCCTTTGCGCGCAGCGTCTTGTCCAACACGCCGCCCTTGACCGCGGGCGTCGGCACCTCCTTGGCAGCCATGAGCGCGAGGAACTCCTGCGCAAGGTCGGCAGCCGCCATGGCCGTGAGCTCGGCGTTGGTGTCGTACGCCGGCGAGACTTCGACAATGTCCGCGCCGACAATGTTGAGGCCCACAAGGCTGCGCACGATGCGCTTCACCTCGCGCGTCGTCCAGCCGCCCGACTCGGGCGTCCCGGCTGCGGTCAGCTTCGCTCCTAGCAAGACTCACTCCCTGGCGCCATGGACGGGTCGATCGTGTCGATGTCGAAGGAGAGGTAGACGGGCCCGCTGCCAAGGCGCTTCTTGAGCTTCTTCGCCAAGCCCTCGGGGCCCATCTCCTCGATGTCGTCCGTCGTGAATACCTGGAAGCCCACAGCCTCGTCGTGCAGCAGGTCACGCATCGACTGCGTGAGCTCAGCTCTCCAGATCACTCACGTTCAACCGCGTGCGGATACCGGCGTGTGCCGACGTCTTGTCGTTGATGTACCCGAGCTCGTACGCCTTCCAGAAGAACGTGCCGTGCGTCTGGTGTCAGCGCTTCCAAGCCCGTGCAGAGACTCACCACCTTGTGCCGCTCGGTATGCGCGCCACCGAGCTCGTGGCCGTTCCAAGTGTCGAGGTGCGCGTCAAAGTGCAGCACCGAGATGGGGCCGTACACGTCCGTCAGCGCCCCAAGAATAGGGAGGACAATGGTGTGGTCGCCGCCAAGCGTAAGGATACGGGGGTGCTCCTTGCCGTCCTTGGCGAGGTGACGGGTATAGTGCGTGTTCTCAGAGGTGGGGCGGTTAAGCAGCGTCGCGTACGCGACCTGCATCTCGTCGATGGCAAGGGCATTGTCGTACGGCGAGATCGGGACGTCGTTGCAGTCGACGACCTGCAGCCCGGTGTCCTGCGTCACACTCGTGCCCCAGGGGATGAGGAAGGAGCGGGCGGGGCCGTGGCGGCGCGAGCCGCTGCGGATGGCGTGCGGCCCGAACCGCGCTCCGGGGCGGTAGGAGACGGAGGTCTGGTGTGAGCAGCGTCGACGAGGTGCTCACGTCGAACGGCATGCCGAGGACCGCGATGTCGAAGCCGTACCCCGGCTTCTCGAGGCATCGCTCCCACGGCAGCCGCCCGAAGCCCGCGACGCCAGAGAACGCCAGGTCGGGCGTGCCGCCGTACTTCTCCTCTGACGTTAGCTCGCTCTCTCGGCAGACGCACGCCATGGCTCGGTCTCGGCGACGACGGACGCGACGGCGCTGAGCGCTGCAAAGAGAGCAGTGAGGCGCATTCTGAGCGAGTGAGTAAGTGTCGAGTGTCGAGTGTCGAGTCGAAAGATACGGGTGTCATATAACTCGACGGGGTGGGCAGGCGGTATGAGATCTAGCGCCATAAGCGACGACAAGCGCCGGCGCTTCGTTAAGCGCTGTCTTTATTTCTGTCGCATCCGCGATTCGAGTGCGGGGTCTCCACCGCACCGCGTGCTCCTTCCGCACGACTTTGCACGTCCTGCTCGAGCTGCTCGCTTGCTTCATCACCCTCATGGACCGAACCTCGCCAGCCTACGCCGCCGCCCTCGCCGGGTCCGCGCAGTGGGACACGGCGCGCAACGAACCATACCTCCAGCTCCCCTCGTTCCCCGACCTCCGCCTCATCCCCTATCGCCCGGGCATCGCCGGCGATCTGGTGCGTGTCTCCTTCTTGGCACTCTTGGCTCCGATAAGCTGCTGGCCGCTGGCTGACTCCAGGTCGCGCTGTTCAACCACCACGTCGTCGGCAAACGGCTGTTCACCCTGCCGTATCCGTGCGTCGTCGGTCTGAGGCACACTGACGGCAGCATGGACCGCGCGTTCGCGGAGAAGATGGAGGCGGACCTGATTGCCAAGCAGGCGCCGGTGCTTGCGCGGCTGCGTGCGCGGAGAGAGGGGCAGAGGGAGGGGGATGACGAGGGCGAGGTCGCGTGGCCGTTCAAGGCGTTGTGGAGCGAGGCGGAGGGACGGGTCGTCGGCGACATCTACTTGTGGCCCAATACACTCGAGCCGGTGTGGGATGAGCGGGGAAAGATGGAGGGGAGTGGGGAGACACAGATCACCGAGGCCAGCGTGCTCGCCCTCCCGCCTGCCCGGCAGAGCTGGATGATCGGGTACGTGCTCGAGCCCGCGCTGTATGGGCGCGGGGTCATGTCCGAGGCGATCGGATGTGTGCTGCATGGTTGGGTGCGGCCTGTGATGGGCATTGGCGAGGTTGTGGCGATCATCCAGGATGATAATGTCGGAAGTGAGGCTGTGGCGAAGCGGAACGGTTTTGTGTACCGCCGCGAAGAGGTCACGCCGTGGCCTGAGGAGAAGGGGGGCGGTATCCATGTCAACGGGTATTACACGCGGGATATGAGGGCGTGATATGCAAAGCGATGACAGGTTGGGCAGCAGTGTGGACAGCAGTGTGGACTGGACAGAGAGACTGGGTCGTTAGCGAGGTTCAAGGACTCGTATGATATATGTTGCAAACGCATACATGCAGGGGCAGCGGCTAACGCAGACTATGAACTCGAAAGCGGGCAATACAGGCACCCCTCGCGACCCACCCACAGCGGGACTGGTGGTGGACGGTCAATACCCGACAGCAGAGCTGCCGTGGTATCGTATAGGGCCTGAAAGCAAGCACCTCGCGACCCATCCACAGCTCGCGCTGCGGATGGACGGTCAATACCCGGCAGCAAGCTGCCGTGGTATCGTATAGGGCTTGAGGCAGAAACACGGCACCTCGCGACCCACCCACAACTCGCGCTGCGGATGGACGGTCAATACCCGGCAGCAAGCTGCCGTGGTATCGTATAGGGCCTCGGGATCCGCCTGTTGATCCGCGGTTGGAGCGTGCCGCCGGTGTGAAGTCGCAGCGAAACCAATGGAGAGCGAAAACGAAGATATGCTGAAATGGGAACTCGATGCGGTGACTTGCCGTTCTGAGGTTGGTGGGATGCGCGGCCCGTGGTGCTTATGGTGGCGGCGATGGGCGCGTGGTGCTTGGTAGTGATGTTGGAGTGCGCGGGCCATCGCGGGCATGCGGCGCATAGTGGTGATGCTGAGGTGTGCGCCAGCGCACATAGGTGATTGTGTACGACGCCTGGCCGTGACACAGGTAGTGGTGTATTATTGCTGTGTATGTATCCGGATTGAATGTCCGACATTTGTCGTGCACTGAGAGCGTGCGTCCTCCCTTGTGGTGTCTCGTCAATGGTAGCTGCTCGAAAGTCACGGCGGCCCGCGCCGTGTCCCGATCAATCCTTCCGCCCTTGCATGCGAATCGTAAAGCCCTTCGACCTCCCCAGGAAGCGCTCACGCTCAGAAGGGATTACGCCGACAAGCGGTAATATCCGTCCGTCGGGTAAGCGCGAGGTGGTCTCAGTCGACAATCGCTTTCTCAATGCCGAGGGCGACGATTTCGACCCTTTCTCAGCGGAAGCCCCATTCCGCTTTGCAAAAGCGTTGTCGCCGGAGGGGCCAGAGTACCTGGGAGCGGGGCGCTCTTGCTTCGGCTCAACCTTGGGGCTTGGGGTTGGGGGGGCGGCCCGCGACTCTGGACTCTCAATGTCCTTGCGGTTGGCGGGCGGCGAACTGGAAGCCTCGGACGCCTGGGAGCGCGGAGAGGTCGGGTAACTGCCTGGCATCGGACCAGGGTATGGCGAAGCCTCTCCGTCATCCTCGTCCCTGCCATCGTCGCTGCTACCATAGTTGGCCAGTCTGGCGAGACCGCCATTTGGCACGCCACTGGCGTACTCGTGAAGAGCATCATTCCGCGAGGGTGTTGAGGGTCGCTTGTGCGGCGATGGACTCTCCTCGCCCTCGTCCTCGTCGCGGCTCTTACGCTTCCCCACAGACGATACCTGTAGGTTGGTGGACTTGACTTTGGGAACCAGATAGACAGGCACAGTCTTGGTCGCAGGGGTGGGACGCTTGTGGGGCTCAGAGGTGTCGTCGTCGTCGCGGCGACGCTTGCCTGGAGAGTGCGGAGTAGGCGCTTCAGGGGCCACAGCGGCATCAGTCCTCGCCACTTTACGCGCATTCCAAAGGGCGATCTCCTCGGGGGTCAAGCGGACGTAATTGAGCAGGTACGCCCCGGCGTCGTTGAGGGCGTCCTTGGGGGAGACGCGACGGACTTCTTCATCGTCGGCCCGGAACCAGGATGTGCGCTCTGGACCGCGTACCCAGGCAGTGTAGTGTCCGGAGTCAGGCCCTCCGCCACGGTGGCAGACTACTCCGTAGAGGCGGTACAATGCCTCACCCTGTGGTCAGCACACGCGCCGACAACTGCAGCTTACGTCCTCGCCGCCATCGACCAAATACGGCTTGAGATCCAGAATGGTGGGATACACAATTGTTGTGTTGATCTTCCTCGCCGATCCTCGCCAGTTGTAGCCGAATCGCTTGAGATGCAGAGTGAGGACGGGTGGTGCCTTGTCAAGCATCATCTGCTTGGTTGCAACAACCTTCTTCTTGCAACTGTCGCGTTAGCGCAGACCACTCAATACCACTCACTTGTCGCACTTGTACTTGTTCTCCCCGTCGAGTTTCTCCGTGTGCACAAAGTGATCCAGGAGCTGGAGCAAGGTTCTAGCGTGACTTGGGATGTCGAGAGAGAGGTCCAAGACCGAGTCAAAAGTGTCCGACGGCTTCTTGCAAGTCAAACACAGCACGCGCGAGCGCACCCTGCCACCGAGTGCGCGATTCACCCAGCTGAGGCGCTTGTATTTCTCTAATTCGACCCTAGGCGTCAGGCATTGCTCGGGGTGGGTGTGCTTCCTCATCGGTGCTCACGATGGCAGGCCAGCGATGCCAGAGTTCTGCAACTCAGAGTTCTGCATTGCGTCCGTCACGAAGCGCAAGAACTCGTGGGCGTCTTCTTGTTTCTTGACCGAGAAACCTTTCTTAATGCCTACATGTTAGACAACGCGACGACGCAAAGGAGTGCACTCACGCCCAAGGTTGCCGTGGATTGCCTGAGGTCTGTACACGCTACGCTTGCCAGACCAGTGCTCCAGGGCGGTCTCACGCAAGGAACATGTGACGCAGAACTTGTTTTCGCCTGACAAAGAACCTGCTGTCAGTGATGCGGATAGAGGGGCACAACACGTACAGTTGCCGGGGGAGTGTTGATGGAAATGACGGAGAACGGGAGGGGTGTGCATGAGCATCTGAATGATGGCGTTCGAGTAGCACGCCATTGACATGTTGACGAGCCCGGCTGCCACATTCGCCTTGAGATCAGACGGCCACGCCACTACGATGTCTGGAGGTCCCAGCGGCTGGGATGTGGACTCGGGCTTGGTGGAGTTTGACGCCGACGCGTTCTTGCGCTCGCCGTTGCTAAGCCCATTGACGGCATTGAGCGCGCTAGAGCCATTCGGCGTGGGCTTGCGTCCCATCGAGGCGGTTGAATGGGGGGTCTTGGGCGAGGGCGCGGAGGACTCGGAGCTGGTGGACCCGACGGACTGGGTGGAAGGGTGCGGAGATGGAGATGCCTGCGGGAAGAAGGGAGGCAGATGGCGGGGAACCGGGAGTGGGGAGGGACGCGGGGGAGTTGGGGAGCGCGAGGTCATTTCAACCTTGTCGACCTGGTGGCCAACTGGGACAAGTCGCTGCCCCGCGAAGGGGGTAAAGCTGAGCGAGCCCATTGTTCTGCTGCCTGTGATCTGATGGATCGAGTAAGGCGGTGAACACAGACGAATGATGAACCGAGTGCAAAAAGAGGGAAGGGTGGACGCGTAGAGGGAGGTGAGAAGCGGGGGGGAGATGGGCGCGTGGGAGGGGGCTAGGTAGCTAGCGAGGTAGACGGATGAATGGATGGATGGATGGATGGATGAGCAGAGCGAGAGTAGAGAGGGCAGGAGAGAGAGAGAGAGAGAGAGAGGAGGAGTGAATGTAGTTGATTGATGGATGGATGGATGGATGAATGGAGAAGAGATGAGAGAGATCAACTTGTCCACAGGTTGCTCATGAAAATCAAACGCAGCGTCCTAATGTGCAGTGGCCAATACGGCGCGGGATCAATGCTGGGCGTCCTCCACTCAATCTTCAATTCAATCCATTCACCACGACGCCAACCTTGTCACCTGGCCACCTGCCCCCACACGGTGTGCACATGCCCGTGGCGGCATACACGGCGGCACGGCGGCACTCGATGGCTGGACGCTGGACGGACTCGTTTCATTGTCCATTGTCCATTGTCCTCGCGTCTTCTCAACACTGCATGCACGTGACACACGTGAATGCAACATCCGGGTACCAAATCATGCGATACAGAGCTAGATACTTATGATCCCAATTCTCCCTCTATGTCCTACTTGTGTGCGGCGACAGCGGCGCGAGCGGCACCGCATCCGGCTCATCTATAAAGCTGTCGTCGTCCGTGGCGCGTAGACTGGCGCGGGACGATCTACGCGCTAGTCCTGCCTTTGGAGGTTCGTCGCCGTTGCTGCTCCGATGCCGACTGATGGCGCTCCACACAGTCTCCCCTCGTCCCTCGAGAAGGCCGCGCTCTTCGGGGACCGAGAGGGACACCACAGAACTGGCTCTAGATGAGGCGCTCAGGGCGGCGCCCGACGCCCGTCGGCCAGCCACACCCTGCTCGCGCGTCGGCACGGCCTCGTATCCGTCCATCTCTTCCTCGTCGTAGTCATCGCCCGAGCGTTCCTTGGCCTCGGCGCCCTTGCCGGCCTTGATCACCTGGTCCATGACGCAGAACTGGAAGACGTTCATGATGACGGGGAAGATTGCGAGGACAAAGACGACTTGCACGTCGAGGGAGAGGTAGCCGAGCATGCTCTGAGACCAGCGGATGAGCGCGCCACTTATCCCAGGAAGAGTGAGCATCAGGAGGACGATGAGTTTCATCGTTATCACTGCGGCCAAGTAGGGTTGGAGCTGGCGCGCCCAACTGAATGTCAGCACGGATCAGAGTGGCTGGGCCAAGTGGCGCCGCAGCGGATGCCAAAAGGCGCACCAGCATGTTGGCACTTACATCTCCCATTGCGGTGGGCGGCCGTAATGTCCGCTTGTGAAGCCTTCCGGCCCAAAGTGTTTGACGAACAGCTTTGTATACCCAATGAGCCCGACGTAGAAGATGCCGACACCGATAGTGGTGTCGATGAGGATGTTGAGAAAGTAGAGGGAGCAGGGGTTGTTGCTGCTCGAGTTGCCCGCAACCATGGAGATCTGGGTGAGCGTCATACATGAAACGCGTGGCTTACGAGAATGTTGAGGGCGTGTAACGTCGCTTGCCCGACAAGCTGTTTGGCGACGTCAAAGCCCCACACGCGCCACGGTCGCTTGCGCTTTTCGAGGTGCCGCTTCACGACTAGTGAGGACAGTACCATGACGCCCATGACGGCTTGGACGACAAGGGCGGTGGGGCCGAGCAGGTGGCAGCGCTCGGCGGTGGCGTCGGGCGGGGGTGGCTCGGCGACGGGCAGCCCGGGGATGAGGGGGGTGGTCTCGTTGGACATGGCGCCGGAATGGAAGGGAGTGGACGGATGTAGGAGGGAAGGGAGGGGGTGGTGGTTGAAGATGGATGAGAGAAAAATGAGTGGAGCGGGCGAAGGAAACGAGGGCGAGGTTGGAGACGCGTACGCCGACAGAGGAGGAGCCAAGGCCGAAGCGAGGCGAGAGGGGGGTGGACGGCGCTGCCGTCTAGGTCATGGACGCATGCAGGAGATGTGAAGGTGTGATGAGGGTGTTGTGGGCGATGGAGAAAGTGGAGGAGGAGGAGGAGGAGGGTTGCCAAGCGGCCAGGTGAGGTGCGCAGCAGGCGACCGCTCGCGTGGTCACTCATTCCGCTTCGGGGTCTGTGCACGCCATGTGTCCACCAGTGTACAGTACACGGACGTCAAGTCGGACACACCCTGATCTCCGTTCTCTATTTCGTTCCATAATAATACAGGATCATCTTGCCCTGTGACATGACGCGCGCCTGTGGCGTCCACGGCGAACGCGCCGCCGACGTACGGTGGAACGGGAGTGGGGACATGGGGGAGGGAGGTTCTCGCGATGAGCAGAAGTACAGTAGGTGATCGTCCAGTTCACAGGAACCAGTCCGGTCGGGAAGCGGGAGTGGTGACTCAAGAGGAACATGAAGGGTGACCGCCAGCGCGACTGATGTTCTGCGTCCATAGTGTACTATAGGTGGCCGATAGCGCCTTTCTATGAGGTCACGGCCGCCGACTTGTACACCGAGCTTGACGCGGGATGCTGGGAGCTTACGGATCGGGTGTGATGCTCAATACCACGGGCTTCCCATTGTTTGCGACATGAAACGCGACAAGAGGGGAACCTGTAAGAAGTAGTGAGTAATCATAATTTGTCCCTGTGTTGGCTGTCATTGTTTTCGAGATCTAACACCCATCCGCAGATCGCAGACTGCAGGCACCCCTCGCCTCGTCATCTGGAAAATTGTCATCAAAGTTGCATTCGTAAAAGGTATTACACAACTGCTCGACAGACAGGAAGCTGGCGGCGACCAAAACTGCCTCTGCGGCGTGAAGGAGAGCAGAAGCGGGGGTAACTGGTTGTCGGGACGACACTGCATAGAATTGGAAAGGCGTATTAACTCTGGGACCACGGGAGGCCAATGCGGAGCGATGCAGCACGAGATGGGCGCGAGAGACACAAACCGGGACGACCGAGGGGGGGCAAGGAAGAGAAAATATCGAGGAAACCTCTCAAGCCTTGGTTCCCTTGACGTTTTGCGACAGCCACTGCAAGCCCTCGAAAAGCCCCTCACCAGTCGTCGCAACGCTTTGCAGGTTAGCGCTTGGCCCAACAGATTTGTTTGTATGTGTACTCACCTTGGGTGGACATACCACGAACGTTCCCGCATGTTCAACAGCCCCAGCTTCTCAGTGACCTCTGCCGGGGACATTGCTGCAACGTTAGCGTCTTTCGCCAGTCCAACGTCGGCAAATGTAGAGTCATGCATGACTTACCACCCTGAATGTCCTGCTTGTTCGCAAACACCATCAACAGGCAGTCCCTCATCTCGCGGTCGGCGAGAATGCGCTCGAGCTCGAGTCGTGCCTCGTCGATACGCTCCCGGTCGGCCGAGTCGATAACAAAGATAAGGCCCTGCGAGGGGAGATGAGCTCCGAGCGTCTCGACGGTTGCGGGGGTTGGGTCACTTACCTGTGTTCCGGTGTAGTAGTGCCTCCAGAGGGGACGAATCTTGTCCTGACCTCCGACATCCCAGACGTTGAACTTGACGTTCTTGTATGTGACAGTCTCAACGTTGAAACCAACGGTTGGGATGGTGGTCACTGACTGGTTGAGCTTGAGCTTGTAGAGGATGGCTGGGGGAAGAGTTAGTTGAGTCCTCTTGCTTATCACGGTATCCGGGGTCGTTCCAGCGGAGACGCGCGTGATGGGTGATCCGTATGTCGGCTACTCACTAGTCTTTCCGGCAGCATCAAGACCCAACATCAAGATGCGCATCTCCTTGTTGCCAAAGAGGAACTTGCCTGTGAGTGAAATGTAATGAGCGCGAGGTGAGATAGAGGTAGGTAAAGGAGGACGCGATGTCAGCTCTTGGCCCGGGGGAGGAAGGTGGGGGGTGTGAACGTACCGAACGTCTTGCTCAATGATCCGCCCATGATGTAGAGGTGGAAGGTGAGGGTGAGGGTGAGGGTGTGGGTGAGGATTAGTGTGGTGAGGGATGTGATGGATGGCGAGTTGGAGTGTGGACGCGAGAAAGAGGAGGAGAAAGCGCGTATGTCCGAGTGTAGAGTGGCTGGCAGAGTGATGCGCGGGGTAGAGCTGCGGGGCAGGACAGGGGTTGTGGTGGCGTGGGCGCGGCGCGCGTTGAGCAAATGGCGTTTACTAGGTCGTATGAATGGGGGGTATTGCGTCGGAGGATCAGAGGAGGAGGATGGAGGATGGAGGAGGAGGATGAAAGAAAAAGAGAGTGTAACGAGTGAGAGATGGGATGGGACAGTTGAAGAGGATGGAGAGGATGGAGAGGAGAGAGAGGAAGCAAACGACCCCCCCGGTGATTTGGTGCAGGGGCGGCGGACGCGGCGTGTCGCGCTGCTGCTCCAGGCAAAGTGGCGCCAGTCTCCAGAGTCTCCTCTCCCTCCCGTCCCATATGATATTACCCTTTGGGCACCCTTCCCTACAATCCACTCATCATCAACCTCCCCCCACCCCCTCTTAGCCCACCTCCGTAAGAGGACGCGTCTCAACTAGCCATGTAGCCATGGCCATCTACCCCTACTCATGCATTATTATACTTGACTACTATTGACTCGTCTTGGCGATTTGCGAGCCACGTACCCATGCAAAGGGAGACTGTCCAGAGGCACTGATGTGTGAATTGATCCCGTCCATTACTGGTAAATAACAGAGTGGGGCAGGCCACACCACGTGGTGGTCGAGCTCTCCCGCCACCCAAATCTCTCCTCTCGGTTCCGATAAGGGTGACGCGTTCGACACAACCCACCTCCAATTGTCCAAAACCCTCTCGTTTCCGCTGCCGACTCGATCTCTCATCTCTCTCTCTCTCTCTCTTTTCTTGCATCTTGCATCCCTCTTAACCCTCTTCTTGCATCTTGATCCCATCGCATAGCTGACAGGACCTGCTCGGCACTAAGAAACCCCCCCATCATCATGACCGACGTCGACTCCCCTGCACCGTGAGCATCCCACATGCCCAAACTCTCAAGCTCTCAATTGACTCCAGTCTCCGCCTCCCTGCCATCCTCCAGAACCCTGGAAACAAAGCCCTCCGCCAAGTAGAAGCATTCAACGCGCAGCAGCGCGAGCGCGCCGCCGCCCGCCGCGACGCCAAATCAGCACCAGAGGAAGCGCATAAGCGGGGCAAGCGCTTCGTGCGCCGCATGAACAACGGTGCGGCCCGCCAGAGCTCCACTGATGACAGCGGCGCACGTCGACAACCCGCACGCCGTCCTGCCCAAGCGCGGGGACATGATGCCTACCGTGCCCCTGCATTACCACCCGCTGCGCCCGTCGTTCCCCTCCGATGCGTTGGAGCGGAGCACACACATCCCCTCCGTGTCGGCGGCACGCGCCGATCCTTTGGGCGCCTCGTCCGCCCATGGCGCGTTCACCACCTCGTTGAAGGGCACCAGGGCGATGCTGCGGCGGCGCGGCCGCCGCGCCGAGACGATTGTGCCTGTGCTCGAGAACGCCGTGCGGGCTTGGCTCGGGGGCGAGTATGACAAGCCGCCTGGCGGCGACTGGGCTCCCATTGACCCCACGGTAGTAGATTACTCTGACGCGGCGACGGGGGAGGGCCAGAGCGGTCCCAGCCGCCTTCCTCGGCAGCACCAGGTCACGGATGTCCCCGAGCTCCCCATCGTCAACGGCAAGGTCAGCGCCGTCCTCGAGCTGAGCCGCAGCCCGGCCCACCTGTCCTGGACTGTGCCAGACAGCTTTGACCGCCTCGTCGTCCACCTCGTAGCGCGCTACTACGAGCTGATCTCGTGGAGTGGGTTTTGTCCACGGTTAGTCACTGACCGCAGGCGAAGATCAACGGACGGCCACAGGGCAAGTGGTGCGCCTGACGCACATCGTGCGGCCAAACATCGTCAAGCCCAAGCCTCCACCCGCCTCCCATGCCCTCCTTACGCCCGAGACCAGCGATGTCTCGGGCGTGTCAGGCTCCGACACGGAGCACCTCAGCGCCGAGTCGGACGCCTCGGACGCCGCGACCGAGGTCGCGCACTCGGACACGGAGAGCGTGATCGGCGACGACGACACGCGCCATGCCGGCGACGTGAGTGCAGCGTCGCAGTCGCTCAGCGAGCGATGGGCCGACGACGCGAGCGACGGCGGGGCGCATGCGCACGAGAGCCTGACAGAGCGGCTTGGCGCGCTCGGGCTGCACCGCACAGAGAGCCACGGCTCGTCGGCGTACGCGTCCTCCGAGGGCGGGTGGACCGACGGCGGCGTGGACAGCATCGTCTTTCACCCCGAAGAGAGGTGGCCCGAATCGCCCGTTGCGGGCACCGCATCCCTTCCCCAACTCAAGGGCGGTGCACCGCAACGCCTGGGCGGTAATGGGCCGCTGGACAAGCCGTCATTCTTCGAGTATCTGTTTGGGGAGTAAATAGCTGGATGCATCAACAACAGGAGCCGGAATGACAGTGGGTATGCGCTGACGGAGCGAGCTGCCGTCGCGAAGAGTCTATGGTCGGAGAAGCGGGGCCGAGTCGCGAGAAGATGGATGGACGCTAAAGGCGCGTAACGGCCTTGCGGTCGAGCGGGGTGCCTGTGGTCAGCGCGCACTCGCATCACCTCACCGTCGGGGGCAATGCCGTTCTTCGCAAGGATGCGGTTATGCCGGATCAAACGCGCGCGGTCGAACGTGCACCGCTCCACCGCCCTGGGCATCAGTACCGGCCGCCGGCCGCTGCGCCCAACTCACATGATTCGCCGCACCTCCTCCACCGCAGCCTCGTCCAGCCCCATCCGGTTCTCGCCGCTCCCCTCGCCCATGTTCGCCTCGAGGTCAAAGTTGGACGAGCTCATCCCCGCCGCCGCCTGGTCTTGGAACGAGTACGTCTGCAGCGGCTGGTAGTTTGACAGACGCGCGATCACGGATGTGGGGAGGTACGGTGCTGCGAGCGAGTAGATCCGCTGGCGGAAGTAGAAGCCGACTGGGGTGAGCGAGCACGGCGGGAGACGCACGGAAGGCGACGAGGAGGATGACGGAGAGCGCGGAGATGTGGAAGATCATCGTAAGGAGTGTGGCTCGTGGCCAGAAAGAAGTAGAGATCAGAGAGATGTTGTCGAAGTGGGCGACGTTGTCCCCCAAGTCCCGCCGGCTGTGCCACCCAGCTTATTCGATACCCCCATGTGCCTAGATACCAAAAGTTCACCACTGAGCACCATTGACCGTCAACAATACCAACTACACCATGGCTACACTCAAGGACCAGCTGCGCGCGCTGCAGGACGACGAGCCGAAGTGTGGGTTTGCGTTGGAACGGGGCTGACGAAAGCGCTGGATCCCGAGAGCGCGTATGCCGACCTCGATGGGCACCAGCTCGGCGCCGCTGACCGCGCGCATTATGAGGATGTTGGGTGAGTCTGGCCGAGGCCGAGCTGATCATAGGCCATCACGGCTCCGTGCGGCTGCTGGGGTGGATGCGGCGCAGACGCTGTTGTCGGACAAGTACGGCGGGAAGGCGAGCAGCCGGATGAAGATCTTCGATGACGACGATGAGGAGGAGGAGGAGGAGGCGGACGAGGGTGAGGACGACGAGGAAGAGGACGACGAGGATGAGGAGGAAGAGGACGAAGAAGATGAGGATGAAGAAGAAGAAGAAGACGACGAGGAAGAGGACGAAGAGGACGAAGAGGAGGAGCCAACACCCAAACCGTCGGGCAAGGCACTAGACCCCGTTGGCCAGCTGCGCGCATCGCGGTTGAAGGACATCGAGAAGGGACGCGGCATCAAGCGGCAACGCGTGAGTCAGACAGCCCATCACATCTGACAATAAGGACCTCTTCGACTCTCTCCTCACGATGCGCATCGCGTTCCAGAAGGCCGTGCCCTCGGCGTTCTCCCTGCCTCCGATGGACGAGGTCCACGACGACCCCGAGCACGAGATCGACGCCAAGCGCTCCGACGTCCTCTCTTCGCTCGCAGAACTGAACGAGACGCTCTTCTCCTTGCGCGAGCTCATCTCTCTGCCCGGCGCCGAGGCGCCAGCAAAGAAGCGGCGGGTGGGCGAGCCGTCCGACGGGGCCTACTGGACCGCCTCGGCCGCCGACAGCTTTGCGCTCGCGGATGCGGCGCACCCCGCTCTAGTCCCGATCCTCTCGAAGTGGTCGACAAAGATCCAAGCCGCCTCGCTGTCGACGAACAAGCCCGGCGGGTCCAAGTTCGCAGCTGCGAAACAGACTGGCGTGGTGGACGCGATCGATGCAGCACTCTCTTCGAAGCGCGACGCGCCAAAGCCGCTCCTCGAGGCCGAGGAGACGGCGTATCGCGGCCTGCTGCGCGAAGTGATCGAGTCGCGCGGCGGCGGGGACGTCATGGCCCACCGGCGCGAGAAGAAGAAGAAGCGCGAGGCCGAGCGCGGCGGAAGCAAGGGCCGCAAGCTGCGATACACTGTGCACGACAAGGCGGTCAACTTTGTCGTGCCGATTCCGTTTGAGGGCGGCTGGGAGGAGGAGCAGGTCGACGACCTGTTCAGCAACTTGTTCGGAGGGGCGGGGATGAAGGGCGCAGTCAGCGCCGCGCCAGTGACGAACGGCACGGACCTCGGGGGGCTGCGCATCTTCTAGACATGCATTACTATACTGTAGACTCGGTTGTTGTGTTGCAGCGACGCAGATGCATACGTGAGAGGTCTACGCGAGTCGGTGACACTGGTGAATGCTGCGTTGTCGATGATGCTGCGGGGCCCTTTCCGGATCCGAAATTACAACCTCGTTTTGAGATCGCGCCCATCTTCTTGCTGCCATAACCGTCTCTTCTCAACCACACCTGATGTCGCTTACCGACTACCTCGACGGGCTTCTCGGTGAGCCCGGCCCCTCAACCACCGCGCAGTGGGAGGCATACCTGGCCTCCGCGCCCGCGCCTGAGGCTCCATCGTGCGTCCAATCTCGCCTCCGCTGACGACAGGGACGAGCACATACTTCTCGAGCGCACTCCATGGCCGACGCTGCACTCGCTGCTCGGCATCGACACCGTCACAGATATCACAGAGGACGTGGGCCGCATCGCAATCGACGACACGCCTGAAGAGGAGGAAGCAGGAGACGCCAGCGCCCTCGTCGCCCGTCTCCATGCACACCTCTCGCCCGGCGCATACGTCCATCTAATGGAAGTGCTGGCGTCGGGGAGAAGCGACGAGGAGATCCAAAGTGATCTCGTGGAGATCCTCGGCTTCGAAGGCGAGGGGTTCAACCTCGTCGAGCTCATTTTGCGGCCTGGCGCACGGCGGGACATCTTGGCCGCAGAGCGCGGAGGGAAGGTATGTCGGGCACCCCTCTCACATGCTTACGCCAGCGCAAACCTCAGGCCTTGCAGAACAACAAGCGCCGGCCCAACAAGATTGACATCACCGATGTGATCGGCACGCCCGAGGACATCGAACGGCGTATCCAGGAGCAACTGAACCGTCCCAAAGCAATGTTTGCGGAAGAAGGCCGGGTAAGCTCCCTCTGCGATCGCGCTAACATCAGCAACGCGTACCCCAGTCGACGGAGCAGCTCCCAAACGTCTTTACAAGCGGCGGGGCGGCCACACAAAGCTTGAGCTACGGCGGCAAGCTAGCCCTCCCCGTCGGCACCGAGCGGGAGGCGTACGATACCTTCGAAGAGGTCATTGTTCCTCCGCCCGCCGCGATCCCGCCCAAGCTTTCCGAGCGCCCGATCCACATCTCCCAACTACCCGAGCTCGCGCGCGGCTGCTTCCCCGGCTACAAGGAGCTGAACCGGATGCAGAGCGTCGTCCAGCCGACCGCGATGGGCACGAACGAGAACATGCTCGTCTGTGCGCCTACTGGTGCGGGTAAGACGGACGTGGCTATCATGACCATTCTCCGAGTTTTGATGAGCCATGTCCGCTCCCATAAGAACGGGCCGCAGCACCCCTCAGGCTTCAACATCGACCGCGACGCGTTCAAGATCATCTATGTCGCGCCGATGAAGGCGCTCGCGGCGGAAATCACGCGCAAGTTCGGCAAGCGCTTGAAGTGGCTCGGGATCAAGGTTGCCGAGCTCACGGGTGATATGCAGATGACGCGCCAGGAGATCAACGAGACGCAGATTATTGTTACGACACCCGAGAAGTGGGATGTCGTTACGCGCAAGCCTACGGGCGAGGGCGAGCTGGCTTCCGTGAGGTGGCGCGTGTGAACGGTAGCTGACGGCAGAAAGTCCGCCTCCTTATTATTGACGAGGTGCATCTCCTCAACGAAGAGCGTGGTGCTGTCATTGAGACAATCGTTGCGCGAACATTGCGACAGGTATGTTGGGTATAGCCTGCCACGGCTAACCACAGGTCGAGTCCAGTCAGTCGCTTATCCGCATTGTTGGACTCAGTGCTACGCTGCCCAACTACGTAGATGTCAGCGACTTCCTTCGGTGAGATACTACCGCCCACGGGCTCCGCTGACCCCAGTGTGAACCGCTACCAGGGCCTCTTCTTCTTCGATGGCTCATTCCGTCCTGTACCGCTTGAGCAGCACTTTATCGGCGTGAAGGGCAAAGCGCGCAGCTTTACACAAATGCGCAACATGGAGCAGGTGGTGTTTGACAAGGTCCTAGAGCAGGTGCGCGCGGGGCACCAGGTTATGGTGTTCGTGCATGCGCGCAAGGAGACAGTCAAGACTGCACAGAAGCTGCGTGAGATGGCGATGGAGGAAGGCGAGATTGACGCTTTTGACACGCGGGAGCACCCACGCTTCCAGTTCCACCGTCGCGACATCGGCACATCCCGCAACAAGGAGATGAAGGAGCTGTTTGACTACGGCTTCGGTATTCACCACGCCGGTATGCTGCGCTCGGACCGCAACATGATGGAGCGCATGTTCGAGGATCAGGCTATCAAGGTGCTATGCTGCACGTCGACGCTTGCATGGGGTGTCAACTTGCCCGCGCACGCCGTCATTATCAAAGGCACACAGGTGTACGACTCGGGGCGCGGCGCGTTCGTCGACCTATCCGTTCTCGACGTGCTACAGGTGAGCTTTGCTTTCGTGTGACGTGACTCACGCAGATCTTCGGTCGTGCAGGTCGTCCTGGCTATGAGACCAGTGGTGTCGGCTATATTTGCACATCTCAAGACAAGCTCGATCACTACCTGGACCAAATCATGTCGCAGCACCCGATAGAGTCCAAATTTATTCCTGGCATGGTGGACGCTCTCAACGCTGAAGTGTCGCTGGGCACTATTGCCAATGTCCGCGAGGCGATAAGCTGGATCGGCTACACGTACCTCTTTGTGCGCATGCGTCGCGAGCCGTTCATCTACGGCATGTCTCACGATGAGCCGCGCGATGACCCACAGCTGGGTAACAAGCGCAGCGAGCTCGTGACCCAAGCCGCGCGCCAGCTTGCTGTTGCCAAGATGATCCGCTTTGACGAGCTCACCAACGGGTTTACCATCACTGACCTTGGCCGTATAGCCGCGCGTTACTACCTCCGCCACCAGACGGTTGAGGTATTCAGTGAGCACCTTGTCTCTGAGTGTTATGGCTGACAGCAGACAAGGAGTTCAAGCCCAACATGAAGAATGCCGACATTTTCGGCATGCTTTCGCAGGCCACTGAATTCGAGCAGATTCAGGTCCGCGAGAACGAAGTCGATGAGCTCACTGCCATCATGAATTCGGACAACTGTCCCTTGGAGGTCAAGGGTGGTCCAACGAACAAGCACGGCAAGGTCAATATTCTGTGAGTTGTCCATTCCCGATTCACCACTGACGCCAGACTGCAAGCGCACATCTCTAAGGTATTCATAGAAGACTTTGCGCTTGTCTCCGACTCGGCGTACGTGGCACAAAACGCTGGGCGTATCATCCGCGCGCTGCTAGAGATTGCCCTCAGCCGCAACTGGGCCAACTGTGCCTACCTGTTGATCGACTTGAGCAAGGCAATCGAGCGACGCATGTGGCCTTACGACCACCCTCTCAAACAGATGTCCCTCCAGCGCGACACGCTCGTCAACGTGCATCGCTGGGCTGATGAAACGGAAATCTCGGAATTGCGCGAGATGGATGCCAAGTCGCTCGGAGAGTTGGTCCACCTGAATGAGCTCCATGGAAAGGCACTTCTCGCGGCGGCCATGGAATTCCCAACCGTTGGTGCTCGCTACGCCCTACGGCCCCTTGCGAACGATCTGCTTGAGATCGCAGTGACTGTTGAACCGACCTTCAGGTGGAGCCAGAAGGTGTCAGGCTCCACTGAGCCATTCTACGTCTGGGTCCAGGACGCAGACGGCATGAACATCCTGCAATGGCGCAGCGTACTCCTCCGCCAGTCGACCAAGAGTGTGGTCCTCGAGTTCGTCATCCCTTGGACAGTCGACATTCACACCTCGCTTTCCATCGTCACGGCGTCAGACAAGTGGATCGGCTCCGACTCGCAGACTCATGTTGACCTTAACAACCTCGTAATGCCACGACCCTTCGATGACCATACGCCACTGCTCGACCTGCCGTTCCTCACCCTCTCTGCTCTCGACGACGCCGAGCTTGCTGACGCCTATCGCCCGGTGTCGATGCTCAACGCCCTCCAGTCCCAGGCCTTCTGGAGCGTGTATCACACGCACCACAACGTGCTCGTGTCTGCCCCTGTTGCAAGCGGTAAGAGCTTGCTGGGTGAGCTGGCGTTGTGGCATGCGCTCAGACACGCTCCGGGCGCGCTCTGTTTCGTCATTGTCCCGCACTTCCGCGCCGCCGCCGAGGCTGCCGCTCGTATTCGCGGCGTCGTACCAAGGAGTCGGGCTGTGCGAGTGACGCATGTGAGAAGCTCTGACGCGCTCGAGAGCGCCATCAGCGTGAATGGCGGACGTATCGTTGTCGCAACGCCTTCGGCTTTCGACGGCATCAATCGTGAGCGCCTCCGCAACCTTGCCCTGGGCGACCTCTCCACCGTCGTCTTCGAGGATCTTCACCTCCTCGACCCAGTGTACGAACTTGCGGCCGCCAAGATCCTCTCTGCCGTGCGTCCGGCCCGTATTCGCATCGTGGGCCTTACCTGTTCCCTCTCCGATCCCTCCGATGTGGCGAACTGGCTTGGTGTCGAGGAACAGTACCGCTTCAACTTCTTCCCTCGCGACCGCGGTTCGCCTGTCGTCGTGCACCTCAAGACTTTTACGACGCCGCACAGCGCGACGCTCCTTAAGACCATGGTCAAGCCCGTCTACGACATTGTCAAGGAAGCGCCAGGCAACGTCGTGATTTTCGTGCCCTCCCGCGCATCTTGCCGCAATGTCGCTCGAGACCTCGTCACACAGTCCGGCACTGCGATGGATCTGAACGGCTTCCTGAATGCGCAGCGTGCCGACGTCGAGCCGCTCGTGGCGGACGTCGAGGCTGCCCTACAGGAACCCCTCCTCCACGGTATCGGATACATCCTTCCGAATATGCGCGGCGCGGAAATCGCGCGTGTCCTAGAGCTCTTCGCCGCCGGCATCATCAAGGCCCTCATTGCTCCGCGCGACGCATGTTGGACGCTGCCTGTGCGTGCGTCCTCCGTGGTTCTCATGGGCGCGCAGTACACCCAGGTCGCAGGCGACGAGCGCACCACTACCAACTACAGCCGCCACGAGCTCGTGCAAATGCAAGCGTTCGCCGTGGCATCGGCGCACCCAGCTGCTCCAGGCGGACGGATGCACGTCCTCTGCCAAGCAGAGCAACAGACGGCAATCTCGCGCCTGCTAGCTGATGGTCTGCCGCTCGAGTCTTCCCTGCCCTCTGTCCTCCGGCGCGAGGCCTCTCCTGCCCTAACAGTGGGCGGCGGCAGTGTATCCGAGGCCATTCGCGTTTTGGAGGGCATGTTGGAGCCACGACCTGCGCCCCCACCTGTAGCGGCGCATCGCCCACGCGTGCCGGATCTACGCAAGCGCGACGCCATGGACATGCTGGGCTGGACCCTATTGGGCCGCCGCGTGCGTTCGAACCCGATATTCTATGGTATGATGGAGGGCGCTGAGGCTGCGGGTTTGAGTCACTTGATCGACGAGTGGTTCGCGCCCCCTCCGTCTCCTCCTAAGGCCAAGGTGGAGCGGAAGGATAAGGGCAAGAAGACGGAGCAGGAGGGCGACGGAGAGGTTCCCATGCCAGCGGCGAGGGACTAGTCAGGCGGTCGAGATATCGAGGGGGACGATGGACAACAGCATATTAGCTTGGCGAAACGAGATCGAGTGGACTGTCACCGGCTCATCGACTCAGAGTACCAGAGTTGACCAAATCGCCAGCAATAAAGCGATCCAAAAATGGAGGATCGGAGGATCAGAGGGGCGGCATGGGCGCGAGAAGCAAGTGTAGGGGGCATGGGATGGAGCTAATGCACGATCTGAGGATGTGTAGAGCTGTGTCTTCAAGCCCGCGTGCCCGATCGATTCATTCGCCTGTCCGCTGTACTCCATCACCTTCCCTCACCCAAAGCTCACTCATTTGACCATTTCTTCATTTTTCTCTTGTTCAGTTCTCTCCTCCTCTCTTCTTTCATCTCACTCCCTCGTTCACAACACAAACTCCACTCACACACTCTCCTTCATCACCACTCTCATCGCAGTCTACACCGCTACTTGCACAGTCCCACACTCACTCACCCTTCTTACTTCATATCCCAACTCTCTCCCTCGAGCTCCCTCCCGCACCACCATCTCGCTATCCTCTCTCACTCGCCCAAGATTCTTAGTTTGAGCCTCGGCCTTCACGTCATTCTCGGCCATGCATCTCCCACACATCCTCGTCGTCCTCACCCTCCTAGGCCACGTCGCCGCCCTCGGCATCAAGTTCAACGTCACCCTCGCCGGCTACCATTTCGAGGGCACGCTCGCCATCGGCCTCGGCATTCCCGACTCGGTGTGGAAAGAGGACCCTGCGCCCTTGGGCAACAATTCCACCGATCTCTCCTCGGGCGACCCGACTGACGCCTCGGAGCCGTACGGGCGCGTCTCACCCCCCGCAATAGACGCTCCCCTCGCGCAGATTTCATCTAGTCTCGAGGTGCGCGACGCCTCGCCGGACGACCATATTCCTCCTCATTGGAACCACATCGACATCTGCCGCCGCGGCGTCTACCGTCTCGACCAGAAGAGGACTCCACCCGCGCCTCGTCCCGATAAGCGCCGTCTCCCCAGCCGCCGTTACCTCAGGCTTGCTGAACGCGATTCTGACAATACGCTCCACGCATCCCCTAGTCCCGCCCGGAGTCCCGAGAGACCACCTTCCCCGAACTCGAAGCGCCCGTGGCTCATGGAAAACGCCCAGGCCCAGAACGAAGGAACGGGCGGGGGCGGCCCCATACGCAATGAGGCTAGGAATACGGAGGGCGTCCACGTACTCGAGCAACAGCGAGAAGTTTTGCCGCGCAGGGCCGCCAACGGCAACTCGCACACTTCCGAGAATGAAGGCCCCGGTTTCGAGACGACCGCCGATCTTGGCGTCGCGCAGGCCGAGGTCGAGGTGCAGGAGGACATTGAAATTGAATTTGCAGTCGCCGGCATCACCATTGTCGAAATCGACATTGGCGACGACGACGCTGGGCGCGAAGATGGTGCCCCCAACGTCGAGGTTGGCCGCCAGCTTGCCCCTCTCGCTCGGGGCCTTGAACTCACCGCAGCCCTTCCGTTTCTGGGAACTAGGGTCGAAATCGAGGTCGACGAGGATGCGGATGTTGAAATCGAAAGCCCTTTCGCTGATATCGAGGTCGAGGTGGAGGACGATGATGAGGTCGAGGTCGAAGTAGAGAGCGGCCCGGCCAATGCTGAAATTGAGATCGAGGACGACGAGGACACGGATGACGAGGATGACGACGCTGATGACGATGATGACGATGACGATGGTGAAGATGGGGATGATGAGGATGGTCATGACGAGCAAGATGAGGACAAGGACGAATCCGAGCCGACCCATCCCGAGCGCCGCTTGGCTTGGAGCAAGCGCGCTGCTGATGGTCAGGAGCCCGGCGCCGACGGGCATTCGGACAGCTACAGCGCCTACGATTACGACGAATCAACCTCGGGATACTCGGTTCCAGATGTCAACTACGCCGGCTATACTACCGACAATGTGCTGGCCAACAAGCGCAATGCGGACCATAGTCGTTCCCTTCTGAAGCGCTCTACCTCTGACCGCGCCGTCGGCGGGGGCACAAAAGACACGGATGGTTCTCCGGATCCCCCTCACTCCCACACTGCTCGTCCCGGTGCAGAGTTTGGTACTGTCGCCACTTCCGATGGTGGTAGTCCGACCAGCGACATATCCACTGGCTGCAACGAGGGGGAAATTCGCTGCACGCGCTTTGGCTCGTGCCTTCCTAAAACGGTCAAGTGCTGCAAGCACGGTGAGTCAGGCACTGTCCGTTAGCTGTGAGTCGGATTGATTGTAGGCAAAACCTATTGCCCCGAATCGTTCTACTGCATCAACAATGGCCAGAGCTGCTGCCGCGTCGGCAAGTGGTGCCCTCTTTGTGAGCATGTGATGGTTCAGCTTAATTAACGCCAGATGTCACAGGCACCATAAAACGCGGCTCCCTCGACCTGGTGAACGTTGTGAAGGCCGGCGACTCACGTCTCGGAGACTGGGCCTTCCTCGTTGCCATGGATTTCAACCTGTGATCGTGGCCGTCAGCCACGACACCGGATCACTGTTTATTTTCGAAGAAGATAGGAGGGAGAAGCAGAACGTTATATAATGAAGTTGCAGAACTCGGGCGCTGTATCTCTGTGGCACGTTCGTCCCATCCAGTGCCCAAGATCTATGTCGCAGAGGTAGCCCATGACTTTTAATGGAGGTCAGTTTCAATGTTGGCGCTCTGTAGCTGCGATGTTGTCCTCACGGCGGCGCGCGGCAGTCTACTGTACCTGGGCAGAGAATTTACTCGGGTATTGCTTCATCACATTAAATTCTGATACATCAGGATATAGTATGAGGTATGTACGTAAAGATATTCCAGCGTGCTGCATTCTGCAGCTTAAGACAGTGCACGAGAACGTGACAGGTCGTTCATCACTCAACAGTCATTCAAAGGAGGGTGGAGAAGGCGACGAGCGCGGCAGCGACCGCGCCGCCCGACACAGCCAACGACGAGAGGGCCTACCGTCAGTCTCTCACACGTCTGCGTTCGTCCCTCCTCACCCCGCTGCCGATGCCGAACCTCTTGGCGCAGTACCGCTTGTTCGTGGTCATGTTGAGCTGCGCGGCCTCGGAGAGCTGCGTAGTCTCGCGCGAGCACTTGTAGCACTCTGCGACCTGGTCCTGTTTCTGCCATGAGCTGCGCCCTTCCGCGCACGCACCTCGCACAGCCGCTTCTCGAGCGCCTCGGGTCTGCTCATACACTCAGCCACGCTCTTGCAGATGTCGTCTACGCGGATCACGCAGCTGCTGCAGCTCTCCACACCCCAGGGGGCGACGGGGGCCTCGGGCGCAGCGTACGTGTACGTCTCGCCGGCGTAGGTCGTGACGAAAAAGCTGGGAGAGGCGGAGGCGGAGGCGGAGGCGGGGGCGGGGGCGGGCGTCACCGACGCGTTTGGGGCCGCGGACGACAGCGTGCCGTTGTCGAACTGGCGCGCCGTGAGCTCGGCGCCGAAGTCGAGGCGCAGCTCGGCCGGGAGGTACAGGCTGCGAGGGAAGGGCGTGGCGGCCGCCACAGTAGCTGCCATCAGCGCGGCCGCGACACACCTACCGAGGAGGAGGGTGGAGGCGAGCATTGGAGCATGGGGATGAACGCCGAGGCCGTCAGCTGTTCTTAAGTATCCGCGAGCGTGCAGCTGGTCCGTGTTCATGCCGGCGCGAATAAGCGGAGCGCACGTCCTGAGCGCCGACCTCTGCCGCCAAGCCGATGGCGCACGGAGCCGTGAGCGCGGCACCCTCGGCTCTTGGAAACTTCGGCGTCACGAGCCCGCCGAGGCAGCACCGCTATCTCGGCCGGCGCACGTGACCCCTCGCATATCATCCCCAACCGCTGTCCCGTTGCCAAGACTGTGAGCTGTGCAAGCCCCGCGGGACGACTCAATTCCCCGCCTCCACCACCGCGACTGCTTTCCGGACGATCTGTTCCTGGCCTAAACGCCACCGCCCATCGCCGGACCTGAGCCTCATCGACAAGGTCACGTGCACGAGTGGCGAACCAACTTCCTCCGTCCGCCGAGCATGCGGACTGTTCATCACCACACGGTGTTTGAGGCAGGGAGGGCATTGAGAGGTTCAGTGGCGTCCTTGTCACTGATGGAAGCGGTCCGCCGTGTGCTGTATATTGCGTAACATGCGGTACATATGCCGCCACTTGGTCTGCATAACTAGCCAAGCGTTCAGGCAATTCGCTGGCTAGACCCAACGCCAAGCGTCCTCCGTCATCGTGTGGCTCTTGCCCGCACAGCCTTCATCCGAACCCCAATCAGCTCCTATCTACTCGCGGCCAGCATGCCAGGACAATAAGCTCCGCGGCGCCCACAACCGCGGCCACCACCTCGACCATGTCCCTCGGCGAGACCGCGGCCTTGTCGTCCGTCGTGAACTCTTCCGTAAGCTGCGCTTGTCGTCAGCTTCCCACAAGCCAAACTCCCGAAACTGACCGGCAAAAATGCGCCGCGAAGCGAAACTGCTCCACTCCCATTTAGCCCGGCGCAGCGTATCCAGCGCGTCGAGCTGACTCCCCGCCCCATGCTTCTTCGCCAGCTCGGCCAGCTGCTCGCGCCCATTCAGCTCGACCCACCAGCTGTCGAAATGCGCCTCGCTGTTGGTGGGCTGCACGGGGCCGAGGGCGTGGAGGACGAGGAAGAACGACGCCTGCAGGACGCGGTCGACATGGTCGTACCGCCGCGGCTGGCCGGCGGGCGCGTCGCGCACGATCGAGTCCTTGATCGGCTCGCCGTGGCTGAAGATCGCGTGCAGCATCGCTGACTTGGCACCAGGTATGCGGCCTGTGATTTTCGCAATGGCGGCTTCGGCATCACGCAGATGTGCGGCGAGGAGTGGGGGTGGGTGCTTGGAGTAGTCTGCGTCGTTCGGGGCCATGTTGAGGTGCTGGAGGGAGAGTGTCGCATGTCGGGAAAGAATGTGCTGCAAAGAAGCAATGGGAGTGCAGGCCGGGGCGCTTGAACGTCATCAATTCGCACGGCATCGCTGTCGTCAGCAGGCAAGAGGCAAGAGGCATGACGTGAACATACATACACATTGCGTCAAGGTAGTTCTCCAGTGCGCCAGACAGGACACCTTCACAACTCCAGCCTCGACTGCGCTTTCCACGACCATCTCAAAGTGGGAGGGCGTCTAGTAATTGGTGACGTATAATCGTGCTTTAAGTGGGTGTCAGTGACCATCCATGTCCATTCCTGCGTCATTCATAAATGCTAGCATCGGCACAAGAGCGGCCTCCTCCACGCTCATCATACATGGCCCCCAGACATCTTTCCCCACCCCGCCAGCTCGGGGCCCAGCGCCTGCCCTCCGTCGTTCCGGAAAAATGCGACAATCTCATGCAGCGGCAACGCCACACGCACCTTTGCAAACCTTGGCCCGGCACTAGCCGGCCCTGCTTGGGCGAGCAGACCGAGGGCGCGGCACTGATGAAACGCGCTCCTCAGCAGTGTGAGTGGCCAACGTGCGCGCCCACTTCCAACGAGGCGCGAGCGAGCAAAGCGGGCGTACTCGTCCTCGACCTGAGCGAGGGAGAACTCGGTGCGCCCGGCGTACGAGAGATGCTTGGCAACAATGAGCACGCCAAGTGCAGGGGCCGGGAGGCCACGCAGCTTTGCGGCGACCTCGACCTGGCCAAGTTTCGCGCCCGCCCTCGTGGGCCCAGTGCTCCACCCGCCCAACTCGAGTTGCGCGCGCACACTCGCTGCCACACCGGGCACAGAGAGGAAGTCGAGCCGGCCGCTCAGGACGGCCGTGAGCGGCTCGATGAAGGGGCGGAAGAGGAGGCGTACGTCTGTTGTGAGGGCTGCCATGCGGTCGAGGGTGGCAGAAACCGTGGGGTGTTCCAGCAGCATGTCGACAGCAAAGGCCCAGTCTTCTTGCCACTGGCGCATGTCGCGTTCCTTTGCGAGCTTTGCCTCGTCCCACGAAATCAGGGCTGAACGGAGGACAGCGCGCCATCCACGCCCTCCCGGCACGAGAGGCGAGACGACGCGCCAAATGCGATGCGAGAAGCGCGACTTCACGCGCTTTTCCAGGAGCAAGATGGTGTCGATACGAGATGTGAGGCCGACGACGCAAATTCCTCGCGGCGTGCTCTCCACAGGACCTGTTTGACAGGATTGTACAACGTCAAGGAGGCAGTAGAGGAGGGCCTGGCGGGCATGTTCAGTGAAGAGGTCAAACTCGTCGATGATGATAATGATTGCGCGCGGAGATGGCGCTTGGAGAAGTGCCAGCAAATGACTGGGCAGCGTTGTGGGTGCGTACGCGATATCGCCCGCGTCCTCCTCGACAGCCTCCTCTTGATCCTCGAAAGTCCGATTTTCTCCTTCCGCAATCTGGCGGCCCATTTCGCGGATGGCGCGGCGATCATCCGTTTGCGCTAGGCCGGAGAGCCTAACGACAATAGGCGCGTCCGCGCCAATTGGAAGATACCGGAGCGCACGCTCGACAGTCTGGCGTCAATTGCTAGCCAAAATTGCGCCGTCGCCCAGGGCATGCAAAGGACTCAGGAGCCTTGATCGGCCACTGCTTCACTCACCTTCGTCTTGCCAGTACCACGTGGCCCCGTCACCAATGCCGAGTTGCCTTCTCCCCGCTCGATTGTCCCCTTGAGAAGCGACACCAGACCTTGTAGCGCCTCGTTGTCCTCCTCGTTCGCAAAAGGAAGTGGCTCGCGTTCGGTGCCCGTGAGAGTGGCAAGGATCTGCAACACGTGTTGGCGGGCGCTTGCAGGAAGCGGGGCGATGGCCGGGCTCTCGGCCCGAGACTCAGGTAGGGGCACGTCTAAACGCACGCCAGCGTCCTCCTCGACTTCCGGCTCCGGCTCAACTTCGGCAAGCGCCCCATACTCGTCCTTCTCGTCTGTATCTTCCGTGTCCTCTGTGTCGTCGCGCCCGTAGGTACGCGCCGCCACAACGCGGCCGCTGCGAGTGGTGCGGGGTGCGTGCGCGTCGCCCTCGAAAGTGAAGTTACGAGCCTCGCGCTGTCGCCGCAGGCGCTCGTTGGCGCGAAACGCCTCGCTCGAGACAGTGTCGGCGTGGCTTTGGCTGCCGAATGCTTCAATGTCGAAAGATGGGAGAGACGTGCGCGGCTTCTTCACACTTCGCACTGCCGCGAGGGAGGCTGCCACTCGCTTGCCGGACCGCGGCGTCTCCTCGGCATCCTCCGCCGTCTTCTTGACAGGTGTTCGGGATGGTGTCGCCTTCTTGGCTGGAGATTCGGTACTGGCTGGGGTCTCCTTCTTGGCAGTTGTACGAGTTGCGCGTATCGCTGCAGCCTTGGACTTGAGAGAGCTCTTGGGCGCAGTATCGGGGCTCGATGCAACCCTCTTCTGGGGCGAGGCCTTCGCCGCGCTTGTTGTGTCTTTCGCAGTCCCCCTGGGCGTACCCCGCTTACCGTACGTAATGGGCTTTGCCGGTGTGCGAGTCGTCCTCCTCCTTGTTGTTCTGCGCTCCTCCTCAGGCGAGCTGGGTATTGGTTCGTCCGCCATGTTGCTGCTAGCGAGGAGGTGGGTGAGGAATGCGGATTTTAGTAATGCAACAACAAAGTTGGAGCGACGTTGACTTGTCTTCGAGACGCGTTCAGGCACAAACACATTCCAGGCACCGCTAAGTGGGAGGCGTATTCACCCTCACCCCGACGTCGTTCATCTACAGTGGATGCGCGAACAGGGATTCACCACAACACATTAACCATGGACCTCGACAAGCCGCTTGAAGACATGATTCCGAAACGTGGAGGTCGCGGAGGAGGTCGCGGTGGTGCGGAGCGCAAGCCCCGTCTTTCGCGCGACCGCCGTGAAGCTGCGCCGTACGCGGTGAGTTTGGAACAAGGCACAGCTGACGATAGCGTCCGTCCCCGCGCTCGACGGAGGACAAGTGGGTGCACGACGCGTACGAGGGCCGGGCTGGACGCGGCGGACACGACCTTCGTGACCGTCGCCCTCCAACGGATACGCCCGTGAGCTCGTCGCCGCGGATCGAGATATCGGGCTTGCACTACGAGGTCACCCCCGAGGACCTCAAGGTACGTTGTCATTCCTGCTCTTCTGACAACAGACCATCTTTGAGCAGGCCGGCACGATTGTGCAAGGGCCTAACATTTCCGTAAGCGTCTACCTCGGCTGGTAGCCCCAATTGCAAGCCGAACACGATCAATGAACTGAGCTCACGCGCCTTCCTATTTGTTTGCTCACGTGCGTTTCTACAATGGACGGGCTAACAGGCAGTAGTACGACCGCTCTGGACGTTCCACGGGATCTGCGATTGTCGAGTACGCGACGCCGCAGATGGCCAAAATCGCGATCAACAAGTTTGACGGCGCGATGACAAAGGGTGCGTGGAACCAGCCAGGAGGGATTTTAGATCTCGAGGAAGCGCGAGAATGCGAGGCGCTGACAGCAGGCCAGACGATCGCGATCAAGCTCATCGCTCCGCCGCGCGCTCCGAAGGCTGACAAGGCTGAGTCCTCGCTCCTTGCGCGCCTCGGCGGTGGGTCCCTCAAAAGCCGGATCGGCGGAGGTGGCGGCGTTGAGAGTGACTCGCGCTCGCGTCGCGATGAGCGCCCGCGGGACCGTCCTCAGCGCGGCGAACGCGCCGAGCGCGGTGACCGTGGCGGAAGGGGCGGGCGTGGCCGGTGCGTGTCTACTTCAGCCTGCCTTTGACTTTCTGAAGCTAACGTCAGCGGAGCTAAGCCCAGGGCGGAGCGCAGGAAGCCGGCCAACGCTGACGATCTTGACAAGGAACTTGACGGGTTCATGGACAAGTCGGGGGACGTCAGCATGGCGTAGACAACGAAGCAGAGTAACCTGTGTGCCAGAATGCGAATGCAGGCACCGAGGGGCTTGCTCACTTCTGATGTCTGATGAAGTGCGATGTCCGAGGCGAAGAAGCCTCACAATCAGAGGATGATGTGGCGGATGGTCCTCGCCTACTAATGATCGCCATCATGTTGTGCGCCAGTTGCATTGATTTGCACCTATGTGCTGATACTCACTCACCTCATCACAAATATAACCTGTCTGTGTGCGCATGCTCTTTCTCCCCATCTCTACATACATCCGCCTCCTAGTTCATCTCGCCATCTTTCTCTCCATCCATCTTTCCATTCATCGCTCTGTCCTGCCCACCTACTTCACCATAACTTCAGCTGTCAATCTCTTCATCTCTCCAGCTCTCCGCCCCTCACTCTCTCCCTTCTCCATCCCTCCATCTCACCCGCGCCGACGTCATGACCATTTTCAAGACGCGTGAGAAGTTCATTGCGCGTGTCAACTATCAGCACGTACCCATGATTCCCCCACGTCCACCAACGCCACCCGAGATCCCAGCAAACCCGCCCACGTTGGAGCAGCAGCAAGTTTTGAACCTGAAGGATGGCGATCAACCAAAGGAGACGCAGGTGGTCAATACAGTCACGCTGCAAGAGTTCACGCAGGCGCAACAGGCGACACGGGACTCCCGCCGTTCTGTTCACAGCTTCCGCCATGCGCCTATTACAGAGGCGCGGCCGTCGGCTCAAGCAAACCCTCACGCTCGCCAAACACCCAATACCCTCAACGCGAACGAGACACACACAACACAGTTTGCCTACAACACGCACCTCTCTCAACAGTACGGATGGGGGCAGCCGACCCACGCTCGTAGCCCTGGCGCGCACCACGGGCAACACCATCAGCGTGCGTATACGAACTGGGCGCAGGCGACCCAACCAGCTCCGAGCACCACAGAACGTCAGCATGCCTCCATGAACTGGGCCCATCAACCGGCCCAGGTCTCGAGCAATGCAAATATGTATCCGCACCAGCAGGCACATGCCCCCCAAGTTTTTGCGTCGCAAGCTTCCGCCGCCCCTCCCACAATCGCTCAGCCGGTCGCTGTTGGCGGGATTTTTCCTTACCGCTGTGGCCCCTCGCCGCAGCCGCCCGCCCCGCGGGCCTCACAGCCGCAATATCTCGCTGTCCCTCAGGCTCCAGTGGCTCAACACGCCCCAGCCACCCAGCCCGTTCACTACTACGGAACGGCCCCGTCGTGGAACCCCACTTACCAGGCCTTGCCGGCGCAGTACCCCGCCTACCAGCAGGTCCCAGCAGCTCAGGGGACGGCAGCCCTTCCGCAAGCCCAGACTTATAGGAAGCCTTTGCCGCGGCCCCCCGTTCCGCAAGCCTCATCGCAAAGCTTCGTCGCATACTCTGGTCAACGATATGAGACGCCCTCGCCTTGGCAGCCCTCCCTGCAGGCAACGCAACCGCAATACCCCACAGCCCAGCCCATGGCGCAGCAGGCTCCGCAATACCCCGCCGCCCAGCCCGTGGCGCAGCAGGCTCCGCAATATCCCACAGCCCAGCCCATGGCGCAGCAGGCTCCGCAATATCCCACAGCCCAGCCCATGGCGCAGCAGGCTCCGCAATATCCCACAGCCCAGCCCATGGCGCAGCAGGCTCCGCAATATCCCACAGCCCAGCCCATGGCCCAGCAGGCTCCGCAATACTCCACCGCTTATCAGGCCCCAGTAGCTCCCAATCCGTTAGCCTCTCAGCAAGCCTACGCTGTCCAGCCTATGGCCTACTGTAGTAGGCCCTTGCCGCAGCCCCCAACCCAGCGGACCCACGCCGTCCAGCCTTTCGCCAACCATCAGTCGTCCTTGCCGCCGGCGGCAGCTCCTCAGGTCTCCTCGCACGCCATCGCCGGCCAGTCTGTCCACAACTACGCGATGCCCTCGTCACAGGCGTCCTCGCAGCAAGCATCGGCCACCCCAACCGCTTATAACTATGACGTGCGCCCGCCGCACCCGTCCAGTTCGCAAGCCTGGCTACAGGCACCCGCCTCTCAGACCGCTCACAGTTATGATATGCCCTTGGCGCAACAGTCCGGCCCGCAGACTTGGCAGCAAGCATCGGCCACCCCGACGGCTCACACTTATGATGTGCGCTCGCCGCACCCGTCCAATCCGCAGATTTGGCAGCAACCCCAGTCCGCTCACGGTTATAGTACGTCTTCGCTGCAGCCGCCCGGCCCGCAGGCCCAACAGCAAGAATCCCCCGTCCAGCCCGCCCAATACCATCAGCCGACGTCGCCGCAGCCGTCCGCTGGGCAAACGCCAGTGCAGACTGAAACAGACCCTGTCCCACAACGCTTGGAGTTGCCCTCCACGTATCACGAGCTGCGTTCGATGACTACCGACTCCCGGACCCAGGAGTTTTTGGGAACTTTGGAGGCACTGCCGAGCGTCGAGTCCCTCGTTGGCCCCCGACACTCGACCTCGGTGACGATGAGGATGGCGCAGTATCTCCTTAGAGAAGAGGAAGAGGAACAGCGTAGGGGGATGGGAGGACCGCCTGCAGATTAGTAAATATTGTTTATGTTTATAAAGGCATGTGTTATATGGTATGAGCAAAGGATACTCCGGCTGCTTTGGTAGCGACGCTTGCTTGGGCCCGGAGGAAACAGGCCGCGCACGTCTGCCGCCCGAGACAGGAAGCTGCTCCTCCCTCGCGCCGGTCGGCGCGGAATCCGCGGTGGACGGAGGCGATGTGAACCGAGGACGTGACGAATCGACGCCCGTGCGGGCATGCGCCGTTTCAGTGTCCTCGCGGTATCACAGACGTGTGTGATGTGTTGGTGGCGAGTCATTGTTTCCATCAACACTCCAAGTATATCGTGCTGGTAAGTCGTAAATCTGACGCCCATCGCACTCATGACCAGCGTCACCAGCGACCCCCCGTCGGCTTCCGACACCAACACAGCTCCCAAGCTCCTGAGGGTCGCCGAGAACGAGGAGCCTCAGCTTCAGCCTGCGCCTCAACCCACGCCCGAGCAGCTCGAGCCAGCCCTCCAGCCCGCGTCCTTGCCAGAGTCCCCCAACCTCCTCCCCCTCGACCACCCCACAAACGCGCGATACCTCTACGCCGCGCGCGCCGCCATCATGGCCGCGGACGCGTACTCGCACTCCCTCTTCCGCACGCGGGCCGAGACTGTCCCCTCGATGAGTATGGGCCCACCCCCGCCACCGACACAGACTCTGCACACGCAGACCCAGCCTGAAGACCAGGAGGTGTCTTGGACCCTCCCGCTCTGCCCCGACACGGCGGGGCGCTGTGAGTCGGGTCCGCGTCCGGGGGACGCTGACGCCAGCGTACTGCCTCCCCACCATGTTTAATGGGATCGTGTGGTGCATGCGGTGCCGCGGGAGAGTGCGGGTGTAGGACTGTGCTTGTAGCTAGATGAGGAGGCGGTGAATGGGGCTGATGAAAGCGGCGTGATATGAACGGTCAAGGGTGAGCGATCAGTGAGATGAGGTGAGCCAAGCAAGCATCTGGTGGCGTCAGTACAGGGCGTGCAAAAGGACGACCGCGTCCGAGGTCAGAAGAAGAGGAAGACTGCGGCTTGTCTCTCAGATGCACCATGCTCGGTGCCGCCATGCCTGAGTAGGAGTTGCGGCATTGTTATTGTTTTTGCGACGTAAGAGGTACGTGAAAGGGTGAAAGAGGAGTAAACACAAGAGGATTGTAACGTTGTGGTTTGACCATGGGATGGGTTGTGGCGATCAATCCAGAGGGGGCCCACCACTCCACCCAATTAGGTTCCGCTGAGCAAGTTGTGTATTTGTTGTGGTCGCCACCAACGCCGCGTGGCCGCGTTCCTACCTCCACAAGCGATCTCGCTCTTCTCCACCTTCTCCACCGTCGTGCTCTCTCGCGACGCTCCGCTCCTTGCTCGCTCCTCGACGCCCCTCGCTCGCTCTTTGCTCCTCGCTCTACATCTCTTTTATCCTGCGACTCCTCCGTTTCCTCTCTTTTTACTCTCTTCTTCTTCATCTTCATCTCTCCTCCCACTCTCATTCCCTCTCTTCTTTCGCTTCTCTCTCCCTCTCTTCATCTTCCATCCCTTCACTCTCCATCCTCGCTCCATCAACTCATTGCTCACTCCTCCTGTCTCCATCACTGCACTTGTTTGCTTCCCTCATCGTCGCCGACACACGGCCGTCTTGGGCCTCGCGCCTTGTCTCCCTCCCGTCCTCACTCGCTCGAACTGTTGTCAAAACAACCCTCCACTATTCACTCCACCATCCAACCCCTCCCCCGGGACAAGACACTCCCATAACGTCCCCCAGGCGTAAGGCCGATCAACGTCGACGGCTCATACACCTTTGGACATCACGCATCCCATCACTTCCCCCACACAGTCTCCTGTATGCTCGAGCTTATGTCGAGCCACGACACAGACTTCACCCGCAGGCTCCGAGCCGTTGCCTCGGCCTCGCCAGGCCCATCACGAACCAAGCGATCGCACCATCCATCCCGAGATTTTGACCGCGATGTATTTGGCGAGATTGAACCGCCAGCCGCGCGAGGTACAAGCCCAAAGCTCAAGGAAAAGGGCAAAGCCGTCGAGCGAGACTATGGAGACCGGTATGTCAACACTGCGTGGCTTGGTCTGACCGCAGGTTCATCCCCACACGCGAGGAAGCAGACATTCACACAGCGTACTCGCTCCTGACCGAGGATGGGGGATATCACAACGGACTGAACAAGCCGCGCACACGCGGAAAGAATGTCGCCAGCTTGAGCTCGGATGCAGAGGCCCGAAGGGGTGCGTATCTTGGCTCCTCCATCGTCCATGCGAGCAGTATGCTGACCCCGGCAGAAGAAGTGCACAACACCTTCTCTCATCTTCTGAAGATAGAGTTGTTGCCCGGATCCATCACTCCGTCTCGATCCACATCGCCAACCGGCAGGCCGTCACCATCTCGCCTCGGGCGTGGGCGCAACGTTGTCACCTTCACCACATCAAATCACCAGAACCTTCCAGTGTCCAACGCTCCACAATCGAGCGCTGGGACGACCCCCTTGCACCATCACCCACCACCCGGCGTCACGGGCGATCGAGCAGACCGAGAAATGTCACCCGCTTCGCACCTTCCTCCGCTCCCCTTGCACGCCCCTTCCACCCCCACATCAGGTCACACACGTCCACCAGGAGCCGGGCCGAGCTCCAACCAGGCTCGCGCACACCAATCGCAGGTCGCGCTCACGTCTGCAGCCGCCGGGGCAGCTACCCCACCCAGTCGCAAGATCGCATACTCTCCTCCACCAGGTAGAGCGTCGCCGTCAACGCCTTCCAAGAAGCGTGTCTACACTTTCTCCTCACCCGCGTCAAAGAGGATGGCAGAGCTCACAAATGGCAACAACCTCGACGATATGGGTCATGAGCGGTATAGTCTCAGTCCTGTGGGGCGTAGCACTCAGAGCGTCCTCCTCAGTCCACGCAAGAGCGTAAGACAAATCTCCCGAACCCCCTTCAAGGTCCTCGATGCGCCCGAATTGCAGGACGACTTCTATCTCAACCTTGTGTCCTGGTCGCAATCCAACGTTCTCGGTGTTGGGCTTAACAGTTGCGTTTACCTGTGGAGCGCACAAACCAGTAGAGTCACCAAGTTGTGTGACCTGGTTGCCTCGCAGGGTGAGGATGGAGGAGATCATCCGCCTGACTCTATCACTGGATTGGAGTGGACGAACAAGGTAGGAGATTGGTCCAATGTCGTCGAGCTGACACTAAGGGGAGCACCCTCGCTATCGGTACCGCTCGCGGAGTCGTCGAGATCTGGGACGCCGAGTACTGTAAGCGTATCCGAACAATGACTGGTCACAACGGACGAGTGGGCTGCCTCGCATGGAATCACAACATCCTTTCCTCTGGTTCGCGGGATCGCACCATCCTTCACCGAGATACGCGCATGCCACAACACTACATGCGTCGCTTGTCTGGACACCATAAGCAGGAGGTGTGCGGTCTCAAGTGGAATCCCGATACGGATCAGCTGGCTAGTGGTGGCAACGACAACAAGCTGTACGTCTGGGGTGGTACGGACAATCGTCCCACATGGCGATTCGGTGAGCATCGTGCTGCCGTCAAGGCAATTGCTTGGAGTCCCCACCAACGAGGCGTCCTTGCCAGCGGTGGAGGTACCGCCGACAAGAAGATTCGCTTCTGGAACAGCTTGACGGGAGGCCTCGTGAGCGAGTGGGATACTGGGTCGCAGGTGAGTCAACAGTCTGAATCTCGACATAAAAGTGATAAGAGTTGACACGCAGGTATGCAACCTCATGTGGTCTCGCAACTCGAACGAGATTGTCTCCACTCACGGCTACTCGGCTGGTCCGATCCAGAACCAGATCCACATTTGGCGATATCCCTCGATGACCCAGGTGGCCACGCTTACAGGTCACACGTTCCGTGTACTTTACCTCGCCATGAGCCCTGATGGACAAACTATTGTCACGGGCGCTGGTGACGAAACGCTTCGATTCTGGAATGCGTTCCAGCGGCCAAGCGGAGAAGGTCGCGTCAACCTGTCGTCTGGAGGCCCAAGTGGCCTGAATCCATTTGCCAAGTTGCGATGATCATGATGAAGTTGAAGAGGTGGAAAATGGTATCTCGTTATAGTAGTCTGACATTCCGGTTCTCGTTCCATGGCTTATTAGTCGTCCACCTGTATTTAGCATTTATGACTCCATACATCCATGCATGGTCGTGTCTCATTGAGTGTAAAGTTGCGGGGTGTCGAGTTGTCGGCTGACCTGCAGATCAGTATAGTTGAGGTCCTGGGGGGTCCTGGGTGGGGACCTTGGAGACGAGTTGGTATCCAAGTTGATGCAATCAAGGACGACTGGTTGCTAGCGTTATAGAGTTGTGAGTGATGGTTATAAAGTGATCAGCAGACGATCAAACGAGGTGGAGGTGGAGGTGGATCGTACTGGAGAGGGATGTGGAGGTGGAGGTGGAGAGCATGGAGAGGGAGAGAGTGATCGAGAGTCAGGGTGCAGGCACCACAGGGTCTTTGATTAACTGCTGTTGCCACTCACTTCACTCAGGGTGCAGCATCAGCGGCAGTTCAACGGCAGCGACGCGATCCGGGCAGCGAGCAAGCGACTGCAAGCGACTTGGATGAGGTGGGCAGCATGGGCAGACAGATACCTCCTTCGACAAGCCAACTGTGGTACAGTTGAACAGACGTTTCATGCTCTCAACTGGCGCAATCATGGTTTGATCCATGCATCAAGTGATCCAGTGGTCAATGCCAAGAGGTGACTCGCTTGATGATGTGGAGGGAGGCCGAGCGAGGAGCGAGGCCGAGGGGTACCGGTGACCGTGCGCAGATTGCTCGTCACCACTTGCTGCGCCCTCCCACGCATCCGCGCCGCCGAGCTTGCATTTTCCTTCAGACATCCACACCGATCATTTCCCTCGTCACTAGCCTCACTCTCCTCCATCCCATATCTCACCCACTCTTCCACTTCCATCCTCTCTCTGGCGTCGTCAACCATTGCTCAAAGGAGACAAAGGAGAGGACCGAGGTGAAGAAAGAGAGGATCAGATCAAAAGGACAGTCGGGTCCCGCCCATCAAGGCACCGATCCACAATCCACAACCCACGGCTTCACGTGCAGCCCTCCTCCGATCCTCCTCCCTCCTCCTCCTCTTTCTCCTCCGCCTCGGCTCTCATACCCTCCTCCTTCTCGCTCCTCCTCGGCGACCTCGCTCTCGTACTCTACAGTACTCCTCCGCCAAGCCTCCGGCCCGTTCCCCCGCTTCACCTCACCACACACCCATTGCTCCTCGCTTCCATCCCACCATCATCATTCAGCAACCCTCTCACCTCGACACTTCTCCATCCACCCCCTCCACATTCATTCTCATAAACTTCAGTGGTTAGTCGACTAACCTGGTTACCCCTTGTCTCGCCGCTTGTTCGCAGTCCCCATGACTGCGAGCTTATTCTAGGCAGCCGACACTGATACCTGTCCCTTCAAGCAACACCGAGACTCCAAATTCCAACCCAACCCGTGACATCACTCACTTTCGACTCCCCGTCGACAACCCCACCCACATACTATCCAACGTTCTTCCTCACTTCCCGCTCACTCTCACTCTCACTCTCTCTCTCTGTCCAACTTCTCTCTCGCTCTCTCTCTCCTTGCCGCCCTACCCCCTCCTTCCATCGACTGCTCTCGCCTAGCTTACGGCCATGGCCCCATTACCAAGCAGCGCAGGCCAGGGCTATGTCCCAGGAGAGTTCATGACACAGCCCGACCTCAACAACCCAAAGCAACCGAGTGTCGGTGACCCGCAACATCCCACCAACCCCGCTTCCAGTCCCCATGTTAACAACTTCTTGCCCGGCGCCACACTAATGGCGTCGCCCCTCGAGGAGAAGAACTTGGGAGCGCCGGGTATCATGGGTCCTGCGTCAAGTGACGCCGGCTCCAATGGCACTTTCAGCCCCGCAGGCAGCCAGCCTTCACTGTCCGGCGACCACCTCGGTAACGGGCAACAGTCCATCGACTCTCTCCACCTCCCGACTCCCGGAGGCGAGGGTCCCGATGGACAGTATCCCGGTGTCGTGGGCGGGTTGGGCTTCGACGCCATCAACCTCCAGTTTGACGATTCAATGGCAGGCATCTTGGACCCCAGCGCGCAGGCGTCGTACCAGGCTTCCTCCTCGGCGGCCCCTAACATTGCGCCGTGGGAGCTCGACATGCCCTCGCCCGCACCAGCGCCTACACCTAGGCAACCATCGGTCGCCGCTGTCAACGTTGCTCCCTGGGAACATGAGCCTCCTTCAGCACCACCCTCGCAAGCCGGACCGCCCGAGGCACCACCTTCCCTCCCCCCATCGGCTAGCTCGTCTTCCCCTTCGGACACTAACGCCGCCCCAACGCCTGAGGCGATCGCGCAGGCTCAGCAGGAGCGAAAGCACAGTCACTTCCCCCGCTTCCTCCGCCGACATGACAAGACGAACGAAGACGACGATGCCAGCTCATTTCAGAACTACAGCATGGCCCCTGGTTCGAACGCTTCGATTCGCTCGACATCCACATCCAGTCTGTTGGCAGACGGCGCCCAGACGCCGACCAACAACCGCTCCCAATCGTTCAAGGGCAGCCCGCGCGCTGCATCGCCACCACCCACGGTCATGCCTGGGAGAGCAACGAGCATCGCCAGCACCGGCGGGCATGGTCATGTCGACCATTCACACACCTCACGGCTGCGACCGTTTGGGAGTGTCGCGGCAGGCATGTCTGGAGCCCCCAATGCCCAAGCTGAGGGGAGCGGAAAGAAGGGAGGGAGGCTGTTCGGCGGACTCTTCAGCCGCAAAGGTGGCCGAAGCACGTCCAATCCGACACAACAGCATCCCGAGCCTCCTCAGTCGAGCGGCAGGAGGATGACTGGACAGTCGAGGATGTCCGTGTCAACGACTGCCTCGTCGCTGCGCAAAGAGAGTATAGGGTCGACGCAAAGTACCGGCTCGCAGTGGTCCTCATCGTCCAACACTCCGCCTTCCACAACTGCGCGCTTACCTAGCTTCAAGTCTGATGGTGGTATCTCGCCCTTGCACGAAGACAGTGAGCCAGAAGTCGAGCGCCCAGACACAGGTATCCACCTTGACACAAACTTTGACGACATGGACGACATTGTTGACCAGAATCTCAAGGGTGTGCGCCCCAACGCTTTGGGATCGATGGTTGCACACGATCCATCGACATACAACCCACTAGGGGCGTCAACCACAAGTGCCATGGCAGGCACTGGTGTGCCCCGCAACGTGCTGGAGACGAGCAATGGACAAGGCCTATCCTCCGGACAAGGTGCTTTCAGTGGACCTGGGCCCGCCGATGTTTCGCCGGGCGGGACACCATTGTCGCCGTACCAGGTGTCGCCCAAGCACTCTTTACAGGCATCTACAGCGGCACGCCGCCCGTCGCAGCTTCGGAATGTGAGGATACACTCGATAAGCTCAGAGATCAGCGATGTGTCATCATTAGGCGGGCCTATAGCCCCGTCATGGGCGATGGGCATGACAGGCGACCCGACCATTTTCAACAATCCGTTCGAGCGACAGGGCTCTATTACGTCTATCCCGGAGGGTGGCATTGCACCCATCCGCGAAGGAAGTGTGCCGCCTTCCCCAGGAGCATACACTGGTCTCGGAGGCGACCCACCCAGCCTGAGCGGCAGCCTCCACGGTGCTGTTCCAACTATCTCACCGTTCGCGGGCGTGGCCGCAAATTGGGCTGCTCCCGAGTCATGGGGCGTGGAGCAAGATGACGATGCAGGCGACGAGGACAGCGAGTCTAGCAGCGGCACGGAGGGCGACTGGGCCCACGACGGCGACCATGTGCAGACTCCTACGGCTGAGGGCGCACTCTCCGACGCGGAGGGTGATGGGCCTGGCACTTCACCCGTAAAGCAGCGGGCAATGAGCATCTGGCCTCTCAAGCGTGGCGCCGGCCATGGCGAGGACAAGGGTCCATTGGTGAGACTGATGCTCTCGGCACCGACTAACCACAGTACTTTACGCGCATCTACCGCGACGACGGATCTCATGACATTCTACAGTTCCCGCTGCACTTCACTGTGACTGAGGTCATCAACACTCTGACAGGTGGGCATGGCAGCAAGAAGGTCCAGACCGCGATGAAGCTATACATCCGTGAACGAGGGCAAGATCGACAAATGCAACCATGGGAGCGGCCTATGGCACTGCAAACACGACGCCTCATACAGGCCGGATACACCGATCACGAACGGCTGGACGAAATCGGCAAGGAAGACATGTCAATCCTGTGCCGCTTCATCTTCCAGAAGCCAGTGCTGCCCGTCATGAACCCGGAGGAGGAGAGCTCATACGAGTCGTACGAGTTCATCGACCTCTCCGGCCGCGACCTCCAGGTCATCCCGATCTTCCTGCATCAACATGCTGACCAGATTATTATCCTAAATGTGTCGCGCAATCCCATGACGGATATTCCGCTCGACTTCATCCAGGACTGCAAGAGCTTGAAAGAGTTGCGCATGTCCAACATGGCGCTGAAGCGTGTGCCAGCCAGTATCCGCATGAGCACAACGGTCGCGAGGCTGGATCTGTCCTGTAACCGCATTGCCGACCTCGAAAGTTCGCAGTTGCACAGTATTGCCACTCTCACGTCGCTCAAGGTGCAAAACAACCGCTTGAGCTCGATCCCGTCGTACTTCTTGCAGATGACGGCCCTCAAATACTTGAACATTTCGAACAACAACTTTGAGGAGTTCCCCACGATCGTGTGTGAGATGAGCAACCTCTTGGACCTTGACGTGTCGTTCAACAATATCTCGGCGCTGCCCGACGACATGGCCAACCTTCGATCCCTCGAGCGTCTGATCTGTATCGGTAACGAGCTCACCGAATTCCCACAGTGCTTCAGCACGCTTCAGAGCCTACGCGTGCTGGACGTACGGCGGAACAAGCTCACGGACCTGACGCCGGTCTATGCTCTGCCAAATCTGACGACGTTGCGCGCGGACAGCAATCACCTTGTAACGCTCGATACACAGCTCGGATCCAAGGTACGCGACTTCAGTGTGCCGCACAACTCGATTACGCGGTTCACGCTTGCTCCGATTGCTGGCCAAGTTGTTGCGTATGCCCTCACGCAGCTCAACCTCTCGCACGGCAAGCTGTCGGGCCTGGACGACCAGGCACTGGGCGAGCTGGTCAACCTCACCGAGCTCAATCTCAGCTTCAACCAATTTACGCGCCTACCGTCGACGCTCGACAAGCTTGTCAACCTCGAGGTGTTCCTGTGCACGGACAACATGCTTGCGTCGTTGCCTTCGTCCACGCTCGGGCGGATGCAGAAACTGCGTCTGTGCAACATCCACAACAACAACCTCAAAGAGGTGCCCGAGGATATTTGGCTATGTGGTTCGCTCGAGGTTGTCAACGTCTCCTCCAACTTGCTCGACACGCTCCCCGACCCACCCGCTGAATGGTACGAGAAGCTCAAGGCGATCCAGGCTGAGAGCGACACCATGCGCAAAATGTCGACCGTGTCGGCGCTGACCAATGTGTCCGACCGGTCACAGATGGTGCCCCCGGCCGGGACGTCGCTCCGGCGTCTATACCTCGGTGACAACCGGCTGACGGATGACGTCTTCCACCAGGTGCAGCTCTTCACGAATCTCAAGCGTCTCAACGTTAGCTTCAACCAGATCACTGAAATCCCTCCGTACACGTTGCGCCACTGCGCGTGTCTGGAGATGCTGTTCCTTTCAGGCAACAAGCTTACGAGTCTTCCTTCCGAGGATCTCGAGATGCTCACACAGCTGCGCGTGCTGCACCTCAACGGCAACAAGCTGCAGACACTTCCCTCCGAGCTCGCAAACCTGAAGCACCTCGAGCACCTTGATGTCGGTTCAAACGTGCTCCGCTACAACATCTCGAACTGGCCGTATGATTGGAACTGGAACTGGAACACGGCACTGCGATACCTCAATCTGTCTGGTAACAAGCGTCTCGAGATCAAGCCGACGGGCGCGCAGGACCTCGGAGCGCACAATGCGCAATATGGCGCGACGACGCACCGCCGCGACCTGTCCGACTTCAGCTCGCTCACGCATCTGAGGATACTGGGACTGATGGACGTCACGCTGCGTATCCCGCTGCTTCCCGATGAGTCGGACGAGAAGCGTGTGCGCACATCCTTCTCGGATATCAACAACATGAAGTACGGCATTTCCGATACACTCAATTCGATCGACCATCTGTCCATGTTCGACCTCGCCGTGCCGCATTTCCGCGGGAGCGACAAGGAATGTCTCTTTGGCATGTTTGGAAGATTTGCGCCACAGGTGCCGTCCGGCAAGATCCCGAGATTCGTTCAGCAGCACATCTCCGTCGCGCTCATGGAGCAGCTGCAGACGCTCAATCCGGAAGAGGCTGTGACCGAGGCTCTGCGACGGACATTCCTGTTCATGAACAAGGCCGCGTTTGACACTCTCTCCACCCTCGAGCAGCGCAACCGCGAGATGAACGGCATGGTGACGACTCACCGGTCCAACCTTTCCTCGCAGTTGCGAACGGGCGCGTCCGGCGCAGTCGTGTACGTTGTCGACAAGACGCTGCACGTTGCCAATGCCGGTGACATTCTCGTCGTGCTCTCGCGCAAGGGCGAGGCCGAGCTGCTCGGCAAGCGGCACGACCCGACCGATCGCGAGGAGACGGCGCGTATCCGTCGTGCTGAGGCGTGGGTCTCGCCCAAGGGTCTCGTCAACGACGACAAGGAGATCGACATTTCCCGCGCCTTCGGCTTCTACCACTCCCTGCCTGCCGTCAATGCCAGTCCCGAGATCCGGACACGACAGCTGCAGGAGACGGATGAGTTCATTATCATCGGCAACTCCGCGCTGTGGAAGTGCACGTCGTACCAGACGGCTGTGGACATTGCGCGCACAGAGCGTGACGACCCCATGATGGCAGCGCAGAAGCTGCGCGACTTTGCGCTGTCGTACGGTGCCGAAGGCAGTATCATGGTCATGGTTGTCAATGTCTCTGACCTCTTCGGCCGGCCTGGTGGGCGTGGGCGTGCCTTCACGGGCGGCCCTGCGGACGACGCGCAGGTCGCGCGTCGTCGTCGCGGTGGCGAGCAGGAGTTTGGTGATCGCACCCTCAACCGGCTGCAGCAGGAGATCGAGCCGCCGACGGGCACGGTTGCGCTCGTCTTCACTGATATTGTCAACTCGACAGTACTGTGGGAGACCAACCCCGGCATGCCGACGGCGATCAAGATGCATCACAACCTGTTCCGCCGCCAGCTCCGTCTCGACGGTGGCTACGAGGTGAAGACGGAAGGCGACGCGTTCATGGTGTCGTTCCAGAGCGTGACCGCGGCGTTGTTGTGGGCCTTCAACTGCCAGATCGGGCTGCTGCACCTCGAGTGGCCACGAGAGCTGCTCGACAGCGAGGACGGCAAGGAGATCTGGGACTCGAACGGGACCCTCATCCACCGCGGATTGCGTGTGCGCATGGGCATCCACTGGGGCACTCCTGAGTGCGAAAAGGACCCAATTACTCGCCGTATGGACTACTACGGACCTATGGTGAACCGCGCCGCGCGTATTCAGAGCTCTGCGGACGGCGGACAGCTTATGGCATCGCAGGACGTGATCACCATCCTCCGTCAGCTGCGCGAGTACATCGAGTCGTCCGATGACCACAGCCTGGATGAGCTGCCGGCCGACACGAAGCGTGAGGTGTCGGAGCTGCGTCGCATTGGTGGCATCGAGGTCAAGGACGTGGGCGAGAAGAAGCTCAAGGGCCTCGAAGTGCCCGAGAGGCTGTCGCTCATGTTTCCCAAGTGTCTTGCAGGCCGTCTCGAGCTGTTCACGGGCCTGCGCGCGAATGCGCAGGTTACGGAGCAGAAGGCATACGCGTCCGACAAGAGCATCGACGAGACGCGTCAGTTGAGCGTTATCGTGCTGCGCCTGGAGGCCCTGTGCGCGCTCGCCAACACGCCGAGTGGAGACCGCACCCCGCTGCCGCAGGAGCGCGTTGGTGGCCCAGGGCCACGTAAAAGCTTGAGCCTCGCCCCTCCAAAACACACCCCGCCAAACCCCCACTGGGGACCGCTCATTCGCGACAACATGACCGAGGATGAGCTTGTAGATGTGATCGCGAGCCTGACGACGCGTATCGAAAATTGTCTTTCTACCTTGGTGAGTCGGCAACAGCAGCTGCAATTCTCAGCTAACCGCAGTACCTCAAACATCTCGGTGGCTTCTCGACCGTACTGGCCGCGCTGGAGCAGGCGACGCGCATCGACAAGACGATGCTCGTGCATGCGCTGAGCCTTATGAACGGCTCGATGACATAGATATCTGGATTGTGACTGTAACAGAATTATGCGTTGTTGGACTAGGCGTGGGGCAGCGCGATCGAGCGGGTGATTCCTCTGTGCTCATATGACCTTGATGACGACGATGGTGAAGACCGTGGAGCTCTGGTGCTGCATGCATGCGCATGGTGAAGCGCAACGTCGTTACAGGCACTAGGCACTTCACAGTGGCCGTGGCAATCGAGACAGCGACGGAGCACAATTCACAATCTGTCCCAAAGAGGGCTCATGAGGTGTTTCGGGAGATCCGTGTCGCATATCCGCATGCCGTAGCACAGGTCTCGCCACCTACCAGCTCATGCACGCCTCTGTCATCATCGCTCTGATCTGATCTCGGACCACGGCCGCCGTCCAACCCACTCCGCTCCGCGCACACCTCCGCTCCGCTCGTCTCCCCGCCCCCCGCGATCGGCGCCACGCGAGTGCCCATCCGACGAACCCGGCCACCCCGGCCAGACAAACAATCTCAGCTTCACCCATCACTCCCGCCTGATCTCTGCATCACCCCAACTCCACGCCCGTGGACCGCAAGCCAGCACTCGCTGCAACGCCTGGCCAACGAACTACCATGACGGCCGCGAGCGCCGCTCTGCTGTACGTGCCGGCTACATGCCCCTTTCTCCCTCCCGCCTCCCGTCCCCTATCCCCAGCTGGTGCACGCTTGCTGCGCCCGCGCCTCGCCCCTCCCACGCCTCGCTCCCCCGCGCCTTCCGGTTTTCGCGTCTCCGCCCGCCGCTCGCCGCTCACGCTGACCCCAGCCCGGCCCCACTTCTTTCGCCCACGCCGGCGTCGGTATCGTCCCTCCTCGAGAGCGCGGACGACGCCCGCGCCCATCTCATACTCGGGCATGCGCTGCGGTACGCCGTCTCGCACTCGGACGTCGACCTCCTCGGCTGGCTCTCGGGTTTGCAGGGGCAAGGAGTGAGTTCGGCCGACACACGTCTGTGCGAAGGAAAGGCGAGCACAAGGCGAGGCGAAGGCGAAGCTGCTGCGCGCGAGGGTGAGCGCGTGACGCGCGGAATGGCGGTGCGCGGGGCCGGGCCGCTCGTCGTCGGCTGGTCGATCTGTCTTGCCGCGTGATCGCCCCCCCTCTTCACCACAGCACCCCTGTGCTGGTCTCAGCTTGGCCGCACCTTGCTTTGCAGCAGCCGCTGACTCCAGGCCGATGTCCTAGACGAAGAGGTCGCCACACTGGAGGACGACGACGGGTGGGGTGTCGTCGGCATGGCGATCCAGAGCTCGTGTGGCCAAAGCGAGAAAGAGGAGGCCGTGAGATTGGTCGTCGGGCGATGGGGTGTCGACGCCGGGCCTCGCGCCGGTCGAGACCGACATGGTTGGAGTCCACTCCACCTCGCGGCGCTGCTCTCGTCCCCGCAGACCGTGTCGGTGCTGCTCAACCGCGGAGCATCGCTGTCCGCCGTCAACGATGCCGGCTTCACCCCTTTCGACCTCGTGACGGGCATGGACGGGCGCGACGACCTCGCCCTCCTGCTCGACCCATGGGCGGGAGGCACGCCGCGCACGCCCCCGTCGCCGTCGTCATCGGACGACGCGTCGAGGATTGACCCCGAGCGCCGAGCACAGATCCAACGACGAAGGATACGCGTCGCCACCCGCGCAGAACGAGCACGAAGGAGACGAGAAGCAGCGGGGGCGGCCGCCGAGCGCGAGCGCTGGGTACGCGCGCGCGCCAAGCACATCGGGGTGGACCCCACAGTGCTGTTCCCACCAAACCGGCCTGGAGAGGAAGAAGAAGAGGAAGAGGAGGAGGATGACGAGATGGAAGTGGACGAGGTGCTGGGTGGTCTGCCTGGCGATGTGCGCGCAAAGGTGAGAGTCGTCGCGGCCCAAGCTGACGCCAGGTGGACATGGACGCGTCGCTTCTCGTCTTCTCTCTCCACCAGCTGCCCGTGCTGTTCGATGTGTACATCACCTCGTACCCCCCAGTATGTCAACCACGGACAAGACGTGCACTCCCCGCCAACGCACTGTACTTGTACGCCCGGTTCGCCCACTACCGCTGCGACGAGACGTGGCTCGAGGAGTTGTTGTGGGGCGCAGTTGAGGCCATCGAGGGTGTCGTTTATGTGAGCTCCGAGTGTCTGGCGGCGACTGACGGCAGGGGAATTCAGAGGACCTGGCGTCACTCGCCTTCTGGGAGTATAACCTCACGCTGCTGTTGTATCTTCTGCGGTCAGATACGGACCTGGCCGAGGCGTGTATGTCTGCTGGCGACGACTTGCTCGTAAACTTTGAGGAACTGATAAATGCCATTCATGGTGAGTGCGACGTTGCGCCTGGGCTTATCCTAGTGTTCATTATACGCATCGCCGAGCGCAAAATCGACGAGATTTTGGAACCAGCAATGCTCGACTTCGAGGCGCTGGAAGACTTTGACGGCGTGCGCTTCGCCGACGAGTGGAATATATTCCGCTCGTTTGGGAGGAAGACGGCGGACAAGCGCGAGACTCCCCTGGCGGCAGCAGTGTTCAGCCCCCCCACGACACCGTCTAAGAGGGGAGACGGTGTCGAGTCACCACTACGCACACATCAGCGCTCGATGTCGCGACCAACGTCTATACAGGATTTGAGAGCCACTGTGGTGGCCGCCAAGGCCGAGGCCAAGGAGGTCATAGCCAACGGCATCGGCAAGGCCCAGGCCGTGCTAGGCGATAAGCCCAGCCCGCGCAAGGTCGCCGACATTCTCACTAGCGTTCTGCTCATTCTCCAATTATATGAGGTCAACCCCGCGTTCAATGTGCAGGTGTTTTCGCAGACCTTCTTCTGGATCTCGAGCGAATTATTCAACCGCATCATCACGCGCCGCAAGTACCTTTGCCGGACCAAGGCCGTGCAGATCCGGATGAACATCACGGCGCTTGAAGACTGGACGCGCGCCAACGGACTCCCGCCACACATCGCCAGCCGCCACTTCGTGCCCATCATGCAGCTGCTCCAGTGGTTGCAGTGCGCCTCGCAGATCAAGGAGTTCGACATGTTGATAGGCACAGTACAGAACCTGCGCTCTCTCAACCCTCTCCAAATGCGCCGCGCCGTCCGCGACTATCGCTACGAGGTCAACGAGGGGCGCATGGCTGACGACTGCAACCAGTATCTGCTGCAGCTCGTGCGCGACTGGGAGCAGCGGCGAGTGCACATAAGCGTACAGCAGGCTGAGGACTCTGAGACTCCGACTGCAGCGAGCCGGGACGACCACGCCATGCCGATCGAAGCCCTGTTTGACGGCTCTGTATCTCTCGCCGAGTGGATGCCCGAGACTGGGCCGGAGGCAATAGGCGAGCTGCTCGATAGCCGGCACATGCTGCCTTTCTTGATCCCCCAAGACACAGAGTTCCTCCTCGCGCGGCCACCAGCGGACGCGGCATTCTCTAACCTCATGACGGAGAAGCCACCTTTGCCAGATGGTTCGATTCCCAGCCGTCCACTGTCCGTCGCCAGCTACACGTCCACCAAACCGATGGGCTGGGAAGCACCTACGAAGAGGGAGATCTCAAAGTTGCCAGAAGACTTTTTCTCATGGATGAAGCAAAGACAGCACGCCGCGCAGCTCACAAGAGACGCGACGAGACAGCGCGAAGACACGAGCCGCATGCGCGACGACACAACTCCGGGACCCCCTGTAGTACCACCTAAAGCGGCAGCGCGGAACAGTCCAGAGACAGCCGCGGTGTCCACCCCTGTAAGGGTTCCTGATCCCCAGGGGCCAGCGACGCCGTCGACTCCGCTCGGGTCTGTTGCCGAGGATCGCGAGGTGACGCCGAACGCCGGACAGCGAATGAGTGCGACGGATCGCATGGCGCGCGTGGTTGCGCACGCTTTCGTCAACAGTCCACGCACACCTCTGCCCCAGCAGTCGGTGCAAATTACGCCCGCGGAGAGAGGCCTGGCACGTCGCGCATCGCAAGAGCTGCGTTCGTCTGACAAGCCTGTGCCCGCGCGGGAGAGCATAGAGCTGCGCTCTTCGTCGTCGCTGTCCAACAGGTCAATGGGCGAAGCACACCAAGGCTCACCGCACTATGAGCTGGGGCGGCACAGGCGCGAGAACGGGTCGATCTCTAGTATTTCAAGCGTGTCCTCTTCGCCGGAGAAGAAGCGATGGTGGCCGCAAATGGCGATGCCGAAGCAGTCGCCTCGCGTAGTCAGCAGTGCGAGCGACGACATTCCCCTGCAGCACCTCAAAGACGATGTGGTGCCTCTCGGCAGACTGAAGAGCGGCCGGCAGGACTCAGCAGACACGATCCGCGCGCGCGACGAGATGCGCGCCTAGACTGATAGATCCATGCATGCAGTTAAGGCGTGGGCGGCGTGGACGGTTGGTCAGGGCGGAATATGTCGGCGTGATCGGTCAGCGTTGGAGGGGGCGGAAGGCTGTAGCGTTAACAACACGACGCCCGATTTCCCTACACCGCACTTTGCCACCAGACTCCTCTGGTCCTCCCACCGTCCATCCCATTCTTTCCATCCACTTACTGCCAGCCATTACCACCAACTCCGCGGCTCCTCCTCTTCCTCAATCTCAAGCATTGTGACCTCCCGTTTCGTGACCTCGGGTCCGTCGTCGACCAACTCACAACGCGCGTGCGCAACGCGCGCGTCACATCGCGCCTCCTTCCCCTCCACCCATCGCTGTCTATGAGCAATGGATGACGGACGCGACGAGGTCGAGGCCGTCAAGGCGGCTCTCGGCGGCGTACGAGTTGCCAGCGCCTCCCACACACCTGTCTCCGGGCATCCGTCGCCCGCCCTCCGCCCCCCTTCCTCGGCGTCTTCACCGTACCTCAAGCCGTCCCTCAAACAGTCGCCCGCCGACCCCTCCGCAACACTAGATGCGCTATTCTCGCCCCAGTCTCCCCGCCGCTCCCCACCCTGTGTCAAGTTCGACCTCGGGTCCCCCGAACCAGAGCCGGAGGCGGAGGCGGAGCCAGAGTCGTCTGGCATTGTGTCCCGCGCGTCGTCGGCGGGACCGAGCAGGCGGAAGAAGGAGGCGCCGCCGCCCCCCACCCTCATCCCCGATCTGCCGTTGGCGTGGGATGATGCGCTGGCGAGCTTCGACTCACTGGAGCGGTGTGTGTACGAGCGAAAAGATCTAGGGTTGAGCCGCGAGCAGGACGACATGATGGTGTGCGACTGCACGTTCAATCCCAGTGAGTAACGGTGACCGCGTTGCATGCGCGTGGAGGATGCGGCCACACCAACGCGCCGACGGGCGACCGGGCGGCGCAGAGACAACCGCCTTAACCGCGGAGGGAAGGTCGGAACTGACGGCAGACGACCCATCAGGGGCGTGCGGGCACGACTCGGACTGCATCAACCGCGCCATCTTCATCGAGTGTCTCCCAAAAGAATGCAGGACGGGGAAGCACTGTCTGAATCAGCGGTACGTTACACACTCTCGCGAGACCCACGCTGACCGCAGTCTCAACAGGCGTCAGTATGCGCCCGTCGACATTGTCCTCACGGAGAAGAAGGGTTTCGGCCTGCGCGCACGCGAGGATCTACCAGCGTGAGTGACACGACAGGGGCCTTTGTCCCAGCCAAATCTGACGGCAGCGGGAGCCTCATCTACGAGTACATCGGCGAGGTGGTCGTCGAGAAGACGTTTCGCGAGCGCATGGCCGCATACGCTGCTGAAGGCATCAAGCACTTCTACTTCATGATGCTTCAGAAGGAAGAGTACATCGACGCCACCAAGAAGGGCGGCATCGGGCGCTTTGCCAACCACTCGTGCAATCCCAATTGCGAGGTGCAGAAGTGGGTCGTGGGCCGACGCATGCGCATGGGTATCTACGCCAAGCGCGACGTGCTCAAGGACGAGGAGATCACGTTCAACTACAATGTTGATCGCTATGGGTGAGTTGGAGCAGCAGTTATTCACTAACGGCAGTCACACCGCACAACCATGCTATTGCGGAGAGTACAACTGTGTTGGTACCATCGGCGGCAAGACACAGACGGACGTGGGCGGCATGGATGACCTCCTCCTTGACGGTGAGTGGCTCGGACGGCAGTGCTGACGGCAGCTTTGGGCATTCTGGACGATGTCACTGCTGGTGGCATGAAGGGCAGCAAGAAGAAGAAGTCGAGGCAACTCGATGTGGATTACAACGTGAGTTAGAGGAAATGCAAAGCTAACGCCAGCCCATCCTGAGACCCATTGAGCCACCGGAAGCACCAAAGGTTTCGGCCGCCATCCGTCAGTCGTTAGAGAACCCGCCCATGCTCAGCAAACTTCTTGACCGCGTTGGGGTGAGCTCCGCGGCGAGCGGACTCGACTGACGTTCAGATGACTGACGAGCCCGCGGTACATCGCCAGCTCATGCGACTGCACGGCTTCGGTCTAATGACGATCATCCTCACAGATCAAGCGCAGGATAGAAACATGGTCTCACTGGCACTAGAATGTTTGGAGAAGTTCAAGTCGACCATGACATATCGCAACAAGGTCGAGGACTCGGGCATTGAAGATCTGGTCAAGGTCCTCGCCGACGGAGAGGACGAGCAGATCGCAACCATCGCGAAGGACTTGCTGGCCTTCTGGTCGACGCTTGAAATGTCGTACCGCATCCCCCGCGTCCAGAAGTTGGAGTCACTCGACGAGGAGGACAATCAAAACACAACCACCATAGCGGACCACGACGCGATGCCCCGCCGCCATTTCCACGTGGACGACTTCATCAACACGCAAACAATTACTTTCAAAGCCGCGCCCGTCCGCCAAGCGTCCTTCGCGCCGCCAGCAAGGCATCGTCCGCCACCTCCCCCGCCTCTGCCGAAGCCTGTCGTTCCATCTCACGCCGCAGAGCGCTCCAAGCTCGATGCCATCATCGCGATGGCTGCGGCCAGCGCTCAGCCCATTGCAGCTCCGCCCCCCGTGGAGACTCCTACTCCCGCGAGGGTGGAGGAGCCTAGAAAACGGCAGAAGACAGCGCATAATTTCACGCCCGAGGACGAGGCCAAGAAGGAAAAGCGCCTCACGAAGCTCGTCGGCGAGGTGGTTGTCAAGAGCATGTCAAAGTACAAGGATCAGATGGACCACGACACGTTCAAGCGCTACGCCAAGGACGTAAGCACCACGCCATGACTGTCACTGACCGCAGTGCACCAACCTGCTTGTTGACAAGGAAAAGCGTGGGCGGTCGTACCAAAACCACAGACATCCGCAACTATCGGAGGAGAAGAAGGCGAAGATGAAATCCTTCACGAAAGACTATGTGCATAAGCTCCTGCGGAACCTCAAGGCCAAGGGTAAATTACGCCGTACGACCTCATCAACGTCAACACAGGCGAGGGATCACTCTCCCAACACACCAGCGATGACCCCTTCGCGCATGGGCATAACGCCATGGGACACGCCAGCGAAGGGCGAGAGTTCGGCAGCGAGCGCCACGGCTTCCACCCCGCACGGGAGCGTCAATGGCGACGCCCTGCTGGACGAGATGTTTGGCGAGGACGACATGGATCTCGATGAGGGCGGTGCCCCTTCTCTCGCACCCGACGCGACGCCCTCGACATCCACACATTACGTGGGCACGCCGCTTGGCTCAACGCCCCCACCCAGCAGCCCGCACGTCAATGGCAATATGTCGGCGCCCTCCCGCGTCGGTGACAAGCCGGTCGTGGTCGACCATGCCAACGGACCATTTCTCTCGCGCGGCCCCGTGCTCGTGGACCGCTTCGAGGGGTTCAAGAGCAGCCGGAGGCCGAGTTAGGTGGACTGTCAGGCGTGGTGTGACGTGAGCTCTGTAGCATGGTGTGACGTGAGCTACGTAGCCTGGTGTGATGTATGTCATGCCAGCAGCCTGGTGGTGACCTCCTGAATACCAGTTGAGCATCGTTCCCAACTTGCGAGCTAGAACCGTCTCGTACGCGTCCAGTACCACGCACCCTCGCACCGCGCGATGCGCGAAGCCTATGCCATGCATACATACCCTCTAGTCCTAGTAAAGAAGATTCCCGTTGCCCATATCCGCATTGCTTGCCTCAACTTCAGCCTTGCGGTTCTGCGAGATAATGTACTGCAGCGAGAAGGCGTTGTCGTCGCACATCTTAGCGACACTCGCCTCCCAGTCCTGCAAAGCCCTGAACAAGCCACGGAGCACGGGCGCAAACTCGCCCTTGCGGTCGCGCATCAGCCGCCCGTGCGAAGTTAGCAGCGCAGCGGCCCAGACGAGATCGAACTCGACGTGCGGCGACGACTCGGCGTGCTCAGCCACGAATCGCACCATCTGCAGCGCGTGCGGGGGCGGCAGTTGGCGCGCGACGAGGCGCACGTCCGAGGGCGGCACGGCCTCGTAAACCCGTTGCAGGAGCGGCTTCTCGTTCAGGCGCAGCGCCATAACGAGCGCAAGGAGGTGGTCGCCGTTCTGCAGGGTGGCGAGCACGCTCTCAGGCGTCAAGTCGAGCGCGAGGTCGACGGGGTCGAACGCCGCGCCCTCATCCAGCGAGTAGAGGAGGAGACCTTCGGTCGAGGCCGCAGCCCACGACCGGCCCGTGGCCGAGAAGCGCACGCAGTTCGTGCGCGCGTCCCGCCGCGTCCGCCGCTTGCTGAGGTCGCCGCGCTGGGCGCCCGGCAGCGTCGCGTCCGCCGCCAGCCGGTCTTCGAGGTCGCTCTCGTCCGCCGCGGCCGCATCCAGCGAGTCCAGGTTGCCCGCCTCGGTCATCTTGCGCGAGTCGAGCAGCTCCTGCGTCCCGTCGAGACTCAAGTTCTCCGAGATGGTAAACTTCTTGACCATGACTCCGTCCGCCCGGTCGTACAGGACGACATACTTGCTCGCACCGCCAGCGAGGATACACCGCCCATCTGCGGTCCACGCGACCGAGTTGAAGTACTTGCTCGAGGCGTTGTTCGCAGCCGTGCGCGCGTCATCAAGCTTGCGGCCGCCCGAGATGTCGCGCCGTCCTTCAATAACAGACTTGATCTCGGAGGACTCGATATCGAGGAACGACAGCTGCCCGTCAAGAGTCGAAACGCAGATCTCCTTCCCGTCCGGAGAGTATGCCAAAGATGTCGCCTCAGATGAGACGGTGACTGGCTCGGAGGCGCGGTCGCGCCCGTACACACCCCAGATGCGCACACTGCGGTCCCACGAGCATGAGGCAACCCGGTCGCCAACGGGGGAGAAGGACAAACCCGACACAGGCGCCGCGTGCCCGCTCAGGATGTCAAGGAGCTTGCCGGTTTGCACGCTCCACAAGTAGATTTCGTACGAATCCAATGAGCCAGCGGCCACCACCTCGCCTGATGGGTCGACCGCAAGTGAGCAGAACTGCACCGGCGTGGGTGATGTAAATGTCCGGAAGTTGCGGTAGCGCACGAGGTCAAACGCACGCACGGTACCATCGAGCGAGGCACTGAAGAGAACCTGGCCCTGCTTGGCGAACTCGACAGCAGAAATGGACGCGCTGTGCTCTGAAAAGGTGACGAAGCAGAAGCCACTAGCCGCGTTCCAAAGCTTGACCTTGCCGTCCTCACCGCCCGTCGCGATTGTCTGCCCGTCCTGGCTGAAAGACAGCGTGTTCATGTCGTAGTAATGCCCCTGCTGCTTTAGGACGTAGCTCTCACTCTGCCATTCCCAGACGAGGAGCTGGCCAAGCTTGGCGGCGCCGAAGGCGAGCCACTCGCCACTCGGTGAGACAGCAACCGAGCTAATCTTCTCGTTCGAGATTGAGAGGGTGTGCACAGCTGTGAAGTCTGGCATCTCCCATAGCCCGAAGACACCGCTGCTGAAGCCGACGATCAGCAGCGAGGTCTGCGGATGGAACGTTGCAGTCGCCACCTTGGTGCCGGCCTGGTTGAAGTAATGGCGCGCTGATACTCCCCATCGCGTGTACGCGGCAACAAACTCGGCCGCCTTCTCCGCCGAAGCCGAGGTCGACGGAAGGTCAAGAATGTCCATCTCGACATCGCTGTCGTCGTCGGCAATGGTCTTCTTCGCCGCCCAAGCGAACACGGCACCATCCCTTGAGACGGTGTAGATGGCCTTCTCATCTTCAGAGAACCAGGCGCCCAGAACGGCATCGCGGTGCCCTCCAAAAAGCTTGGGCTTGAAGCCGTCGAGCGGGTCCGTCGTGTACAACCGCGCGGTCATGTCGCGGCTCGTTGTGAGGAAGTACTTGCTGGTCTTGCTCCACGTGATACTGATCACATCGTCCATGTGTCCTGTGTACTCGCGGTGGAGGATGAACGGGGCGAACTCGCGCGCGAGGTGTGTCGGGGTGTTCCAGACCTGGACGTGGTTGCCGTGCGTGATCGCGAAGTACTTGCCATTCGGGGAGAAGGAAACGGCGGCCACTGGCTTACGGAAGTTCATGTGATGAAGCACAGTACCCTTGCGGAAGTGAACGAGGAGTGCCCGGCCGTCTGCGGTCAGCCAAGATACCAAGCACTACAGCGAGACGGCGCAAACGCACCCTCATCGATCGAGATCAGCACCTGCCCGTCAGGTGACAGCGCAATCGCGGCGACATTCTTGCGGTTCTCGAACGGCAGTGTCCGGCTCTTATTGCTGTTGTTAGCTCCTCCCTGGATCGCAACTCACTTGACGAGATCGAACACGCTCACGCGGTTGCCGACGGGCGAGAGAACGCTGTTGCCATCGGGTGTGAAGGCAACGTTGCCCTGTCGGTACACAGTCCCGCAGAGGTTCTGGAACACAAAGTTCGACTTCATGGCAAGCGTACTCGCCGGAGCCGGGTGTGCGAGAGGTCGGGACGCGATGGAAGAGTTGGTGCAGGCAGTCACTTGGTCCGGTTGAGCCAACTTTTGAATTGAGAGACTGGAGACGGTGGCAAATATTCTACCGCACGTGGCCTCCACCTCCACTTTGAGGCAAGTGTCAACATTCCTCGTCATCTGTCGGCAATCGGCCATGTCGTTCATCGACGAGGACAAGGACGAGGACGAGGACGCAACACCGAACAGCATCGGAGCGGCATCGGAGCGACGGTGGAAGCTTTTGGAAGGTGACCAAGGTTCCCACGCTCATTATACTCACAATTTCATTCTCTCTCCCCCTCGCCCTCTCTCTCTCTCTCTCTCTCTCTCTCGCTTTCACTCACTCTAACACACCCTCACACACACTCTCTCTCTCACCCGCATTAAGACGCAATTGACCATGGGCAAGGATAAGGTGCGTCTCACGTCGGCCACTTCACATACTCATCGCAAGGAAAGACGGAAGCTTCCACCGCGCACCCCGTCTCACCCCCCGTCGCACCCCCCGTCGCGCACTCCGTCGCGCACCGCCCCCCTCCCAAGTCGCAGCCAGAGCGCCGCGCGCTTCTCCGTGAGTCTCGTGATACTCAGACGCTGATAGTAGCCTTACGTGAGCAGGGATATCAAGCCCACCCCAGCCCAGCTGGCTGCGGCTGAATCCCGAGTGACGCCCGCGAGGGCGATCTCACGAGCAACCTCGCGCGCAACCTCGCGCGCAACCTCGCGTGTCTCTCTGACGCCGGCCGCGTCTGAGGCTACGCGATATTGCACGCCGCTCTCTTATCGCCCGATCGTCCGACGCGCCGCGGACTTAAACCGCACGATGACCAACGGACCTGTTGCGTTCCCGGCCGCCCTGGGAATGCACCTTGACTTCACCTTAGCTGAGGTCAAACGGATTGTTGGCGATCGTGCGGGAGGCATTGGCGGCGTCTTGCACGCCATTTTCGATCAGAGCACAACTCTGGAGGCCGCACTCGGTGAGTAAATGTTCCTGCGCGGCTGATGCGAGATGGGCCGACGCCAGCCCGACCCCACGTTGCCCGGATCTTACAAACGAGCTACACACTCGTTTTAACTACGATCAAGGCCCTTCCTCGTTCTGAGGGCGGACAGGACGCTCTTCGGGCAGTGTGGTGGGCGACGTTCATCCCCACCTTGACACAGGTGGGCGGAAGCGCGCTCATCGACATTCCGGCGGCGGACGCGGCTCGTGTTTTCGAGGTTGCGGTGTTCGCGTTGGCTCGCCCTGAGCCACTAGCTGCCGTTGCCAACCACCTCAGCGCCCAGTATGGTGTTCCGGTCACCGCTAATGACGTGCGCGACCTCGTCGAGGCAGTAGTTGGCGCTTCGCGCGTCCTTGTTGCCGAACGCTGGGGGAAGGGCAAGGGAAAGAAGTACTGACGCGAGAGGAGGAGGCGACCGCGTGCGACGTCACGACATTGTAAAGTGAACATTGACCCAAGAGACGCGCAATGCATTGTATAAAGTACATGATGAGATGCTCTAATCTGGCCTTCAGCGCGCAATTACCCAAGATCTGGCACCATGGGGGATCCTATCTCCCGCTCAATTCACATCCCGGCCGCGCTTGGCTTCGACGCCTCGGACACCAGCTGCCTCAGGCGACAACGCCGTACTCGGCGCGGTACGCCTCGATAGCCTTGACCTGCTCCTCGTATCCCCCACGGGCCTTGAGGTACGTGATAATGTCCCCGATGGAGATGATGGGAAGAACTGGAACGCCAAACTCGGCAGCGACCTCCTGGCTGGTCGAGGTCGAGCCCTTGCCGCGCTCCTGGCGGTCGACGAGCTGCACGATACCAACGAGCTGTGCGCCCGGCTGCTCCTTAAGAATGGCGATGGCTTCGCGAATCGCCGTGCCGGCCGTCATAACGTCGTCGATGATCACGACCTTCTTGTCCGCCATGGGCGCGCCGACGAGCGTGCCGCCCTCGCCGTGGTCCTTCTTCTCCTTGCGGTTGTAGCAGTAGACCTTGTTGATGCCCTTGTTCGCGAGAGCGACGCAGGTGACGGCCGCGAGGGGGATGCCCTTGTACGCGGGGCCGAAGAGGACATCGAACTCGGGGATCGCGGAAAGCGTGCCGGCAAACGCGTCGGCGGTCGCGGAGAGAAGAGCGCCGTCGTACAGGAGCCCGGCGTTGAAGAAGTACGGGGACTTGCTGGCCGTCAGCCTGGACATTCGACGACGGCGGCAGGTCGCACCTACTCACCGGCCAGACTTGAGGGTGAACTCGCCGAAGAGGAGGACCCCGGTGTTGATCGCCGTCTCAATAAAGTTGGCCTTGAAGTCGGTAGCAGCCATTGTGAGTAATGCAGGAGAGATGAACGAGCTCAAGTGCGGATTGCGTCTCGGCCCGCTATCCGGCGGAGATGGGTTGAATCAGGCACCAACCAGAGCTGACGTGGGATGATACATTTGACCCCGATAAATCGTGAAAGTTGAGCTGTCATGATCGGCCTCAACTTTAACGCCGACGACCTCGAGCTCAGGGTTCACAGCCATGGTGGTCCTGGACAGTCTGCCTCCGCTGGGTGTGTCGACTACAGCGGCGTGGGTCCTTCTGTTTCTCGTCCGACAACTCAGTGAGTCCTCACGCCGAGCACCCCCTTCGACATCGACAGCGACGGCACAGGACATAAGCGGCGATGGACAGGGCGCACATTGGGCGACCGCAGCGGCGGTGTCGCGGCGCATATCCCCCTCCCCATCGACAAATCTTCGGCATCCTTCCAGCGACCACTCCGCTGCAGCATTCGACGGCGCTTGGCAAATACATGCGCCAGACGAACTTTCGGCGACTGCGCCTGCATCCTGTCCATCCGCGAAGCCTGTCTGCCCCGCTGTCCTTGTCCTGGAGGTGCTCCGGCACTTGTCACACGTTTTAGTACTAACGACAGAAATGGGTATCTCTCGTGACTCCCGCCACAAGCGCAGTGCATCCGGCGCTCGCCGCGCCCACTAGTGAGTGGCTTGCCTGTGCGGGCTAGCAGGGGGTCAAGTGTGCAGATTCGGGGAACGGTGTGATGGATTCGGGAGAAGAAGCTCTGCCGGCAAGCAAGCGGAGGGAGGGAAATCTGCGCACTTGTCCCATTACTGCCCTGCACCAACTCGATGTTCCCGTTGCAATATACTGACAGGCAGCCGCAAGAAGCGCAAGTTCGAGCTCGGCCGTCAGTCGGCCATGACCAAGCTCGACACTTCGAAGCGTATCCACACTGTGCGCACCCGTGGCGGCAACACCAAGTACCGCGCCCTCCGTCTGGACTCGGGCAACTTTGCTTGGGGCTCCGAGGCCATCACCCGCAAGACGCGTCTGATTGCTGTTGTACGTTTCTGGTCTACAAATTTGACCATTTGACGGTTTGACCATGCTCACACACAGCGTTACAACACGACCAACAACGAGCTCCTGCGTACCCAGACCCTCGTCAAGTCGGCCGTCGTCGAGGTTGACGCCACCCCCTTCCGCCAGTGGTACGAGGCCCACTACGCCCAGCCGGTCGTCCCCGCCAAGGCCGGTGCCGCCGCCCCCGAGGAGGAGACTAAGAAGTCGAACCACGTCCAGCGCATCGTTGCCGAGCGCAAGAAGGACGCCAAGATCGACCCCCACCTCTCCCAGCAGTTCCGTGCCGGCCGTCTCCTCGCCGTCATCACCTCGCGCCCCGGCCAGTCCGGCCGCGCCGACGGCTACATCCTTGAGGGCAAGGAGCTCGACTTCTACCTCAAGAAGCTCCAGACCCGCAAGCAGAAGCACGCCGCCTAAGCGGTAGTGTGAGGGGACGCTTGTACGAGAGATGGATTCATGCTCATAAAACGCATGTTCGCGAGGGCGGCGGAGATGCGACCACATCAGATTTAGTTGGCCGGGGGTGCAGTGGGGAGTGTTTGCAGTCAGGTGTGCGGGGAGGTGCAGGTGCAGGTGCGGCGCCACGGTTGAGGTTGTGCCTGGGTGGCCGTGAGAGGATTCGGTCGTGCAACAGCAGGCCTGACGTCTTACGATTTTCTATACTGAGGCGGCTCACTTGTGAACATGAGGGGCGCAGAGACCAGAGCAACGCGCTTCTCTGTCTGCCATGTGTCCCTACGCCCTCACATCTCCGGCGGCGACGAGGTTGAGGGGCGCGGTTCACTCCGTGGGAGACTTGGGTGTGACAGCTACGTGGGTCGACGTAATTGCCAGTCAATTCTGGTTTATTTTGAATGTGGCGGAGAGACACGGTCAGCAATGACTCACAGAGTGGATGCGCTGTCACAAGACCTTGTCCGCTGGAAGACGGCGTCGCTTGCACTCTGCCGATGGAAGAAGTTCCCGAAACTTCGAAGCATGTTGGAGTAGCCTACCACGACCCCTGCATACTCGCGTCCCCAATCACACGCTCTCCCACCATCTCTCATGCTCTCACACATGCATCACTCGGCCTTCGCCAGCCCGTCGCTAATACTGTGGACGATTAGCCGGGCACGGGTTACGTAGCGCTGCACCACATACAGTCCGTCTCGGTATCTCATGAGAGAGTCTGGCGTCAAGTACCGCAGGTCCATGCGGACCGCCTCGTACGGGCGCACGTTGCACACATCGCACGCACACAACCCGCTGCCAACAATGCATCTCAGGGAATAAACGATGCGTACAAGGGCGCACATTAAGGCAGTTACGATAGTAAGCTAAAGAGGAGAGAAAAAGTCCGTTCACCCGATGACAAGCTGTTCAGCCCGTGGAGGGCTTAGACGGCAGCAATGATGGCAGCAGCGATGGCGCCAGCCGCCACGACAGGGGCGACAAGGTGAGCAGCGCCAGAAGTGCCAGCAGAGGCCGAAGCGAAGGGGTTGGCCGAGCTCGAGCTGGAAGTGAGCACGGCTCGCCAAAGCGAGGAAGCAGCAGAACCGACTCACCTGGGAGGAATCGAGACGTTGGGAACATTGTTGTTGACCGACCGGGTGGCCGAGGCTGCGCCGCTAGAGGAGAGGGTGGTGGGGGCGATGCCCTGCTCAATCTTGAAAGCGTTGCTCTTGGCATACTCCTGCGCCTCGTTGGTGGTGTTGACGAAGCTAATGGTGTAACCGTCACCGGGGTTGAGCTGGGGGAGGAGGAGACGGTACTGCTCGTTGGCCGAGGGAACTAGCTGTTAGTGGAGAAGGAAGGGGCGGCGTACCCTGCTGAGCAATCTCCTGGGGACCGGCCATGCCGCCGCCCGAGAGGAGGACGCGGAACTCCTTGGGGTCGGTCTGAGGCTGAGTGAGAGTCCAGTTGAGAGGGACAGTGTCGTTCATGTACCATGTCGCGCCGGCCGAGGGGTAGAGGATGGCAATCTCGGCTGCATGTGTGAGCGGGGAGCGAGAGTGGGCGGGGGAATGAGAGTAAGAGGGTGGGAAGTTGGCGGCGTGCGGGAGTTGTGGGACTTACCAGCGGCGCCGGAGAGGAGGGTAAGACCAGCGAGGAGAGCGGGGAACATGGCTTTAAAAGACGACGGCGTGTGAAAGAGAGAGAGAGCGAGATGGAGAGATGAAGAGATGAAGAGACGAAGAGAGAGATGGAGCAATGCGAAGATGAAGGCGAGCGCGAGGTGACGGGTACGAGGGACAGGGCAGTCGGACAGGGGGCTAAAGGGATCCGTGCGCGTCCGGTGGCCGGTGGGTTCAGCCGCGAGCCGCGTGCCGCATGATCGCTTGATCCCTACATCCGCTCCGCCACGTGGCTTTAGGCCAAGACCAAGTGCAATGCCTACCGCACCTCTCGCCACCTCTATCATCATCCATGTCATGTCAATGCATCGTGTTGCTGCTCGTCGTCCAAGGAGGTTTCCACTGCATGATCGCATCACTACCATGCGTGCACGTCCTGGACCCATTGCAATGCAGCCCAAACCAACGGACGGCTAAACCGGGCGTTGCTCATGTTGTGATACGAAATGAGGTGTGATCGCCGTTCTAGGCGCGCCACCTGAGCCGGCTCGCTGCCCCGCCTCGTCCAGTCCATGTCCGCGACCTCGCGCTCGCCGTTGACATCCAGACCTCTGTCAACAGCAAACAGTGTCGTCTTCATCCACAACCATCGTCATCCATCACGCACACTCTACTGCTTGTGCCACCCCCCGCCTCGCCTCGCCCGCACATCCGTGCGCCCTCCACTTGGTCCTGGTCTTCTGCCTCGACATAATTCCTCATCTCATCGCGCGCCACCACCATGCTCAAGCTCAAGCCGCGCGACTCGCCGCGCGCACCATTCAGCTTTGCGACGGCGCCACCCCCGGGCGATGATGGCCCCGCGACGAGCAACAAGTTTCCGCACCCGCCCGGTGCATTCTTCACAGAACGCGACATGCACATGTACGGCGCTCAGCCGCTGGGCGAGGAGCCCGGCCGCGGCGTCGTGCGGTGTACCCGCTGCGGACGCTCTGTACTCGAGTGGGCCGCAGGAGAACACCAGCGTGAGTGGCCTCGTCAACTTCGCAGCTGGCATGCTCGGTGCTGAGCTCGGTGGGCCGTGTGATGGCCACCACTGGGGCTGCCATATGGCCCGCCACTCGGCTAGAGTTAGGCAATTTGGTCACCAGATGCGCGCAGGACAGTTATCCAGCAGCGGCCAGCTAAGAGATAGAGCATCTGAACTGACCCCAGGTATCTGCTCACACGTCCTCGACGGCGCTCCGCTGACCGTCAAGAAGGGCGTCAAGAAGGTGGAGGGCAAGAAGCGGCGTGCCTCGGAGGGTGAGCATCCGCCGTCTCCTAAACTGATGATAGTGTCAGATACCCCGGACTCGCCGAGCAAGAAGAAAGCGCGTGTGCTCGAGCTTGACGATGAAGAGGCCGATCCCGATGCCTTCAAGGGTCTGAAGAAGAGCGATGTCAAGAAGATCCTCAAAGAACGAGAGCGACTCAGGAAGCGGGCAGCGAAGGAGGCCGAGAAGGCGCAGGCGGCGGAGCGACGGCGTGCACGGGGTGAGTCTGAACACATGGGCCGTTGGCGGTCCGTGATAATGCCATGGCATTGGTGGCGACCAGGCTCTAGTCGGTGGCGGGCGGGCAGGCGAGGGGGTACCGGACTGCCGAGCGGAACCCAGTATCTCTGCGCCCGCGCCCGTCCGCCACATCCAGCCCTGCGCATTGTGTGCGCCCAGTGACTGTGACTCCATCAGTCCCTGCTTTTGGTGGAGCGGTCTTGGAGGGACAGGAGTCGTACCGACATCTGTGATCGCCTGTGGCACGGCAAGCACCGCGCGGACGGCAATTAGAGGATGTCGACGTCGCGTTCGCGCCAATATTGATCTTGGGCCTGAGATCGTGCCACACTCCCTCCTTCTCCGTCTCGAATCCCCCACGCTGACAGCAGCAAACAACCCGCTCGACTACGACCGCCAGTGCGGCGTGATCAACGACAAGGGTCTCCCCTGCTCCCGCAGCCTCACGTGCAAAACGCACACTGTCGGCGCCAAGCGCGCCGTGCAGGGCCGTACGCGGCCGTACGACGAGCTATTCCTGGAATGGCAGCGCGCACACAACCCAAACTTCAAAGAGCCGGCGCCGAAGCGCGAGGCAAAGGTCATGCCCAAGGTGGTCAAGAAGAAGCGGGTCGTGCCGGACGAGGAGGGGCTGCGGGCAGACGAGGACGGACGGCGCGAGATGGACGAGCTTATCCGCGCTGCTGCGCGCGCTGGCGACCGCGTCAAGCTTGCACCTGCACCTCGCCCTCTACCAAGTCCATGGAACACGACCACATACGAGCAGCTCTCGATGGGCGACCTCCTCACCAAGGCGCTCGCTGCCCGCCCCAGGCCTGCACCTACCAGTATCGCTCCTCAGAGGATTGGGAGCCAGAGCAAGCCCGGTCCCGCGATTGTGCTTCCCCAGACTGTCACTGCCTGATTGTATCTTTATGTAGCTATACCCATGCACTGTCCACTAGCAGCCAGTATGGAGATGGGCGACGGTTTCGGATTGTTAATTTAACCACCGTCTCAGCACATCGGACGTGAGCGTAACAGGGGGAGCGGCTTGGGCTCAAACCACAACACCTGTACGGCGACGGCACGCTCAGCCGTAGCTTATAATACACAAGCTGCATGGCTACTACACTGTCGTACATCTAGTCGATCTGCATGGGCTCGGCGGCTGCTGCGTTCAAGCTGCGACGCGAGCTGCGTGTGGCGAGGGCATGTGGCGTTGTTGGTGCGTTCTTGCCAGAGTGCACGCGCGGGGGCGGGGGTGGAGGAGGCGGAGCTGGTGCCACCTTGGAAGGCTGGGGCATGGCAGAGCGTGCGTGAGTATTGGGTGGACGCTTCACGATCGCGTTGGGGTAGAGCGGATTGGTGCTCAGCGCGAGGGGAGGCAAGTCCTCAGGCGCATTAGACAGGTCAAGACTATCGCCGACAATGCCGGCGGGCTCGGATGTGTTGCGTGGCCGATCATCGTCGTGCATCATGGCACTCTCGTCGGCAGCGAGCTTGGCTTTGCGCCGCTCGAGAGCCTCCGACATCGGCACCGGCATAGGAATCACGTCTTTGTGTCAGCTTGCTTCATCGGTGCAATGCAAAGGAAAGCGGCTCAGGGAGAAGATTACACGTCCTCGGCCCCGGAAGGGCCATCTGGGCGATTCTGACGATATTGGGTTTCATCACAGCCGTCGAGGCGACCCACCTTTCAAGAAATCAAACTCCTCGGAGCGTGAGACAACATTCGCCATGTCCTTGTAGTTGACGATACGACGTTTCTCGAGACGCGCCTTGGTATAGCCCTCCTCCATGAAGTGCTTGACAAAGTATTCCTGCCATCAGCCGTTGTCGGATATCACGTTGGCTGCGAACTCACCGTCGCGACCGAGATCAAGAACGTCGCCTCGGCGCTCATCATTTCGAGATCCTTGTCGGACTTGATTATACGCTTGACGCGCGCAATGGGAAACATTGTCGTGCCCATCTCCTTCTCGGCGAGCGATTGTCGTGACTTAATGACTCGCTTCTTCTTGACTGGGGCTGACGAGTGAGCTGACATGTCATGCAGCAATGATGCAGTGAATGGACTGGGAGAGCGCACGAAGGAAGAGCCGAGCACAAGCTGCTTGTCCTCCGGTGCGAGTACGCGTGGAGGCAGAAGAATGTTTAGATTCAAGAGGAGAGGAAACGAGTGAGAAAGGAAGGTGTGCGCGGGGGAGTGGGCGCCCAGATCGCGAGCATGGGCCGTTGTGAGGTGACGGGCCACTGCATGTGCGGGGTACTCACCATCGAGATCAGCGGCATCGTCCTCTGAATGTGGTGGGTCTGCTGGTGGGAGTTCGTGTTCGTAGTCGACCTGCATGGTGGCTTGTAGGGGAGGGTGAGAAGAGATGAGATGAGATGAGAGGATGAACGCGCGAAGAGTTGGTGAGGGGAGACGCGTCAGTTGGAGCCCATGTTCATCACTTGACGGGATCAAATCTTGACGTGGCTGCCTTGTTTGTAGCGCCCACGTGAGAACACGCGTCATCACTCCGGGTTCTGGATCCTGGAGGTCATCTCCGACGTTGGATGCCACTTTTCATGTCCTATTATTAAGAGTCTCTCGATCACTCAGCGACCTTGTGCATCCTCTCCTGGTTTGTGAGACCCAACTTGGGGTTCATGGGGGGCTGAGTTGTCAAACGAGTAGGAGTGATTGCACCTCCCTTCTCATGATGGTACGGTGGTGTGCACCCCACAAGATTGGCACCCCCAAGTGATGCTGGCTTGACGCAGTGACACAAAGCCACCTTCCTCCAGTTATGTGAGAGCAATAGAGCAACTCAAAAAGCCTAGCATCAGTTTCTTCGTTTCTTCGTTACTGACTCTTGCTGCTCTTCCCTCTTCCTCACTGATCACTCCTCAAACTGATCACCAAACTGTCCTCGACCGTCGCCGGCCCTCCTCGTTCTCCACATCTTACACCGCACACCATGACACAGCGCAGATTCGATATCCACAACTCTGCCAACGCCGCAACCCCCCGGCCCGTCTACAGCACCATGTCAAGGCTCCCTCCTCGCTATCCGGACCATCGCGTTGTTCGCACGCAGGTGCTGCACAATCCTAACATCTACCCCAATTTATGTGCTCTTATCCCTCCTCCCATGGCAGCGATCGGCCATTGGAGCGACCTCCAGTTCCCTCTTTCGTCGGCCCTTTTCTTGGAGGTCCACAAGATTCTCGACTGGGGATTCAAGTCGAACAACAACCTCGCGTGCAACTGGGCCAACTTGGCGCTTGAATTTCACGAAGGATGGGACGGTACGACGGAGACGGTCACGCTGGCTCCCCACCGACCTAACACGGTGATCGGGTCTCGTGCACAGATGACCACATACTACCGAGTGAAGAAGGAGATGTGCGTACCTTCCTCACCACCGCTGACCCAGTCACCACAACTGGCTCCGTCTCCACCTCGGCGTCCCCACCAAGGAGATCAGCCAGGAGGACATGCAAGTGTACCAGCTTCTCGAGGGTGAAGGTGGCAACGAAGATGCCGACCATGACTCTTTCATCGAAAACAAGTCGCGCAAGATGCCTAAGCCTCGCAAAGTGGATGCAGCGGTTGGCGAGAATGACGAATGTGCGCCGAGACTCCCGCGTATTGGCCGCCGTCGCGCAAGTCAGTTCCACCATTGCATCACTACTCGACGCTGAGCCCAGGTGTTTGAGCTCCTTCCCCTCAACGAGAAGTCATCTGGCCGCCTCCTCAGTTGTCCCCTCGTCTTTTGCTGCGTGTCTTCGTTTTACATAATTTATCTGTATCTTATCAGTCCCTCCTCCAGCAGAAACAAACGCGTGCGCACCTAGCACCGCCCAAAGACCAGAAGAAGCTCATGCTAGCAACCCTGTGTTTCTGAAGCTCATGCTAGCAACCCTGTGTTTCTTGCTCTTTGGCCGTCGTCAAGATCTCGCACCGCAGCAGTAGAAACCACGCAAAGCCCGATGACCTCATCCGAACCGCGAATAATTGATCCTACTTTGCCTGCGCTCCTGGGCTTTGGTATTGCTCAAGACGTTGGGGAGTTCAGTTACATCCTGTGATAGCTGTGATCACGGCTAGAGCAAATTCACCTGCGCATGTCCTACCTTCGCTCGTCCACTCCGCCCCTCGTCCAAGTAGCGCTATTGATCTCAATTCCTCTTCTCCCACATCCTGTCAGAGCTTGCCGGAACTCCGCTACCATATCCATCTGTCTTTAACAAAAAATTAACTTGCATTGCCCAGCGCTTTCCTGACTATAACAACGACCCCACCGAACCACAATGCGCCCTCATGCCCTCGCCCACTCGTAGCCTTGCTCCCCGGCTTTGGCAAGAATGTCGCTGCCCACCACGGCCGTGGGTTGCGCCTGCAGGGCACGGGACGGGCCTGCCGGCCGCTCGAACCACAGGCGTCAGTTGGCCACGAGGATACATAGACAAGCGAGTCATTCCGGCACTCACCCGTATTGCCGTTATTGTCGCCTCACTTCCACTGAAGAAAAAAGTTGTTCCGGTTCCTCTTCCCGCGCAGGCGTTCTTCGATATAACAACAGTAAGTACATAACGTAGAATCACCGGCGCTCGAGGGCAAGAGCAACACAACCCACATCGACTATTCGGGCTGCACAGCTGCCCCACTTTTTCGTGTGTCCATGGTTGGCTGGGCAGGGTATCGATCGCATCGAAGCTTATCTCCATTCCGCACGCGACCCTCCACCATCCCTTCACTCGATCACTCGAACCGCGTCCCACATCGTTCCACATCTGTCATTCCCTCATGCCTCCAACACACCACCTTGCGGTGGTTTAACCGGCAGGTTAGATCTCGCTTCATATCGCATCCCGAGCACAGAGCTCAGCACAGCCTTGTTCACTCGGATGTGGACATGGCAAGTGCAGATCTCATCCCACAGGGCCTATCTGCGCACAGACAAACGCTGCCTCCCAGGGTGGTGTAGATCCACATCCCCACAAGTCTGATCCGCGGATATCTCGGGAGTCTGGTCCCTCCATCGTCTGGCCTCAGCAGCATCGCCCTCCGTCACCGCTCTACGATCGCGAGACAGGAATACATGGACCTCTACAGCAGCTTCTTGCGCTCGCCAGGGCGACCGAGCTCGACGACCTCGCTTTCAACGGTGGCGATGCCGTTGCGCCGCATGCGCTCGATAAGGACCATCCCGAGGCCGGTGGAGGGCGTGAGGAAGCCGCCTGTGCGCGCGAGGGGCGGCAGCTCGGTGCCCTGTGGCGGGGGCAGGATGAGGGACAAGCCGGCCTCGGCCATCAGCTTGCCCGTGTGCCAGTATCCCGGGTCGCCCTTGGCGGCGTACTTTGTGATTACGGCGTAGCGACCGTCGTTGGAGCGGGACACGGTCGTGAGGCGCGTGTGGCCGCGCTCGCAGCTCTCCATGCTGGGACCTTCGCCGGGCTGTGGGATCCAAGCGGCGAGCGCGTCGCGGATCCATGCCGCCGACGAGTACAGGCCCAGGAAGAGGAGCAGGATGCCGCCGTACAGGTAGGCGGTGACGACGTTGGTCACACGGAAGGGAGACATGTTGGTCATGGCCTCGGCGAAGACGGCGTCCTCGCCATGCCGCGGCTCCTTCAGTGCGTCAGCCTTGACTTCGTCGGGACGCCCTCTGAAGACGACGGGCGACAGGCGCGAGAGGAACCACGACCGGCGGATGGTCGTCACGTTCAACATGCTGCCGGGGTACCAGCCGCCGATGGAGGGCGCGCCCGCGACCTTCACGGGCGGGCGGTAGACGAGCTGCATGGACGGGTTCGGATCCTTGCGTCCGCTCCACGAGCTCGGCACGAGACACCACTCGCCTTGCATATGGTCACCGCTCGTCCCCGACGCCGCCACTGACGCCATCGTGCCGCCTGACACGCCGCCGGCAATGTCGTAGAAGTTTGTGGCTGCCGCAATGGTCGTCTGGCGCCCAGCGTGCGCCTGCAGCGTGCGCAAGGCGTGGTAGACGTTCAGATCGCTGTGGTCAGCGTGTGTCGAGCGTGCGAGCGTCGCCAAGCGAAAGCGAAAGGCGGGAGAAGCAAGTCGGCTTACCCGGGCGCAGCCTCGAATCCACACATCGGGATAATCACCGATCCCGTCTTGCTCGCCGCAAAGTCGTAGTTTGGGATTATGCGGGCAAGAAAATTGACCTCTCCGCACAGGTCGAGATAGTGCGTTCCGTGCTTGATGCAGGCGCTGTGGTAAGTGACAGTCAGAGGAGAGCGGAAGCGAAGCGGCGCAGGGACCAAGCGACCGAGCGTCGAAGCATCACAAAAGTCGTGGGGAGCACGACACGATGATCGCGAATCGCGAGAGCAGAGCGACCGTCCCCACACACACAGAGCGCGGTGGTACGACGCCCGGCGGTCGGCACCCACTGATACGATACCGCCGCGCACACTCACGTGATGAGCGTTGTCGCATTGTGCAGCTGGTACGGGCCTGCAGTGAGCCGTCTGTTGAGCTGCGCTCGCGAGCAACGTACCAGCGAGGTTTAGGACGACGTCCGCGCGCTTGCACAGCGCCTCGACGCCGCCCTGGTCGTTGAGCTTGAGGGGGAAGATTTCGCGCTCCGCGTTCGGAGGAAGCAGGTCGTTGACGGCGGTGAGCTTGTCAATGTTTCGTCCCGAGAGGACGAGGCGGAACGAGTCCGCGTCGGGGTGCGAGGCGAGGTAGGGGAGCAGGTGGTGCTTTGCCGTGTATGAGGTGGCGCCGTACACCACGAGGGTGGGTGTGTGGGATTTTGGCATGGCTGGGGTTGGAGATGGACAGTCGAGATGGACAGGCGATGTCTAGAGATGAGATATGACCAAGAAGAGAGCAAACGAGGAGCACAAGGAAAGATGGGGAGATGGATGAGAAGGATGTGGGGGACATTGGGGGAAATATGGGAGCCGGTGACGCGAACATAGCAACCGTTTCGCGGATCCGCCGAGGAACGACGTATGACGTCGCGGCCCGTTCCTGATCAGCGCGCTTGGACATTTGCACGCTTGCTATGTCGCTTCGCTCACTGCACTGCATCCTTGGGCCTCGAATCCTCCAATAGAGAGGTCCACCTCGATGCGCTCAAAACAGAATACAACATGCATGTGAAGCCCTCTCAAATCCCTCAGAGGGTCTGTGGGCTGCTGCAACTCCTCCTGTCTCTTGCCCTCTTCCAGCTCTCCGGATGGCATCATTGTCCATCACCTCGACCTGTTGGGCTCGGCACCAGGGCATGGCCAACCCCTTCCAGATCTCGGCTCGACCCTCCGGTACTCGGATCCGACCTGCAAACTACTCCTCCTCGCGACGACGCGCGGCACGCGGGGCAACCATGCGTGCGCGCTTGTTGCTATCTTCCGGCACATGCACGCGATTGGGCACCTGCTGGGCGAAACCCGCAACCGTGATATTGTGCTGCCGTTCGAGGACTAGTCCGACATCCTTCGCCTCGACCCGAGCGCTGCGGCGGTGCGCGGCGAGGCGAACGGCATCACGGGCCGCACTCTCAATGAATGAGTCGAGCACTTCGCCGAGTAAGTCGTCAATTCCAAGCTCGACTTCGAGGCCAGGAGCAAGCTCGCTCATATATTCGCGCCACTTGCGGCGCCTACGCTGCGGTTCGGGTTCGGGCGGCGGAGGAGGCGGACGGGGCGGAGACGGGGGTCTCTGAGGGATGACGGGGGGCGGTGGAGGCGCATGCAGAGGCTGTGAGCCAGGCTGGGGCTGAGGGGGAAGAGTGGGGGTTGCAGGGGTCGTGGGTTGCGAGGGCTGCACCGGTGCGGGCTGTGATGTCGCAGGAGGCGGAGCAGGAGACGCTGGCTTGGGGGCAGGGTGAGGGTTAGGTATCGTTGGCACATTTGGCAAGGAAGGCGCCACGGGAGGAGTGGGGCCGGCAGCCTGTGGGGGTCTTGCGGACGGTGCGGCAGGGAGTGTCGGGGTAGCAGGTGTGCTTGGAACTGCCGGGGTGGCGGCGGTAGCCAGAGGTGCAGGCGAGCCAGACGGCGTGCCCGCAGATGGCCCCACCGGAGCCCCTGGTGGGGGAGGGCGCACGGCGCCAGGCGTGGCCTTCTGGCGGCGTTGATAGAACTGGTAAGATTGAACAAAGCGAGCCCTTGTCGCTGGGTCGGCGTCGAGCCGGCGGTTTCGTTCTTCGGCAGTCATTGCAATGAACTCCTTGACCTCTGCCAGGCTCATATATGACGGCTGAGGCTGAGGGCTTGCGCGAGCGCTTGTCGCGGGAGAAGCGGCTGGTGGACGCGCCTGCGCTTGTCGCAATCGCGCAGCGACGCTGGCAATCAGCGCCTGGTCGGGCTTAATGCTACGCGCAGCCTGGATGCCTTGCTGGATGCTCCCAAGGAAGGCTGCCTCGGTCGTAAGCGGCTCGTATGTCCCAACCTTAGTGGTGGGGTTCAGGAGCTCGGGGAGGTTGAGAAGAGGATTCGGACGTCCGAGACGTGCGTGGTAGATGATGATGTCTTTGGCGTAGGTGGAGATCAAGCTGCGCAACTATTGTTAGGAGGAGAGGTATGGGAGGACATACGGGCGACACCTGGTTCTGAGGAAGCTGGTTATTTCTCACGCGCTGGATGAGCGCGGCCAGGTTCGAGTAGATATTCTCGAGATTGATACTTGGTGCGGGCCGCACGGCAGGCGAGCCTGACGGCGATGGCCTCGCAGAGGGTGGCTGCGACATGGTCGGGCCTCGTTTTGCGGTTTGGATGGGATGGAAAGCAACACGAGAGGGTGGATTGTTGTTGGACAATGGCAGTGATGCTGTTGTGACATTCTGATCCCGTTGTCTCTGTGACGGTGGCAACTTATGTGGCCCTCCTTGCAACCTCCACCGTGGATGCATCATCCTCCCTCAACCTCCTACGCGTGTCTCTCAACTGCTCTCCACACCGTCTCAATCATAATGTCGGCCATGGACGTCGACTCACCCACCGCAAAGGACAAGAAGCCGCGTTTCGAGGTCAAGAAGGTGTGTGGGTCACTTCTGGTTGCACTCCACGAGGCGCGCCATACGACATCCATGGTTGTGTTGGTCATCGTCGCAAGGAAGGCCGCCAGCGGAGTAGTGTGGAGCGTGTGGGCTCCGTGCATCCCCTCCGGGCTGCCCGGGTTGCGGGAGCTAGCCAAAGCACACCTGTTGGTGACGGCGGGCTGGTTACAAACGTGTGGTGTCCGGGACACGCGCGTGGTCGTGCGGGAGTCTCAGCATAACAGGTCATGGATCTCTCGTCTCATGATGATGACAATCGCGCGTGGCGCGCTTCATCGTGCTCTCAGTCACTCTGTGCAAAGGAGGTAACGGCCGTTCTTGCCAGCTGTTACATGTATGCGTGCCCGCTGGCTGTCAAGCACGCTCGCCATGTCACTTTCCCTGCCACCCGCCTTGCGAGGACTTGACAGTCAATTCCACAGTCATTCCCTCCTTCATTTCCCAGCGACTGTGGCTTGAATGCTGACTCCAGTGGAACGCTGTTGCCCTTTGGGCGTGGGGTGCGCCACCCTACCGTTCTTGCTAACCTCAGACATCGTCGTCGATAACTGCGCTATTTGCCGCAACCACATCATGGACTTGTGTGCGTATCGATCGGTGTCCTGCTACGCGGCTGGAGCAGAGGCTGACCCCAGGCATCGAGTGCCAGGCCAACCAGGGCGCCGAGAGCGAGGGCTGCACCGTCGCGTGGGGGATCTGTAACGTGAGCGACTGATACTGCCTGAGCTGACAGCAGCACGCATTCCACTTCCACTGCATTTCGCGCTGGCTCAAGACGCGTCAAGGTGCGTTCGCTAAGAGTGCGACAGGAGCTGACCCCAGTCTGCCCTCTCGACAACCGCCAGTGGGAGCTTCAGCGCTATGGCCGGTAGTATACCAGTTCTCGTTTCTTCTGTACATTTGCAATGTGTATTTCGCACTCCAACTGGTATTGTGGACCGCTGCATACACAACAATACAATATTACGCGGGACCATTCATGACGGTCTTGAGGCTCGCGAACACCTGATCCGGTGTCAATCCGAGTGTCCACCACTCGGATGTCAGGTCCAGCTCCTCCTCTTCACCCTCGGCGTCGCCCTCCTCAACCTGCTCCGTCCCTCCGTCAGTCTTGAAGCGTTTGCCATTCGCAGGGCGCGCCGCGGCCTTGCTCTCTCCCCGCCGCCGCTTGCTCAAGAACGCAAGGTACTCCAAGCTGTGACTGGGGGGTGAGGGGATCTGCACCGCGCCCTGCGGGAGTGGTGGCCCGCTGAACCACAGCACCTGGTGGCGCGCATCCTGCTCGAACAGCTTGGCCGTCTCGGGTGGGAGGAACTCGCGCACCGCGACCTGCTCGAGCACCTGCGCGCCGCCCGTCACGCTTGCAAACGTGCGGTCGGGGAATGTAGGCGCCTGCTGCGACCGCTGCTGGTGCTGCCATGACTGCTGGCGCTGTTGCGGGTGGCCACGCTGCTGTTGTTGCACTGCCGGTGTGGAGGGAGTGCGCGACGGCCCAGGCGTTGGTGTCGGGCGCTGGTGTGGGGTCGGTGCCTGCTGGCTGAAGGAGGAACGGTTGGACGGATGGGGCGGGCGTTGCTCAGGCATACGCATGGCTGGTGGAGCAGCGCGACCGTACGCCACCTGCATGTCCATGCTCTCGTTGTCGTCGGGCATCGCTTGACGCTTCGGCCGTCCGATGCTCCCTGGACCCTTGATACCTCGCAGCAGAGGCGATTTCACCAAAGGCAGCTGGATCTTGTGCTTGAATGGCACCACATTGGTGAAATAATGCAGGAGGCTTGCGCCCTCAGGCTGCAGCTTTTTCCAGTCCTTGACTTCGAGCAGGAAGTGTGCCTTGTCAATGTACCGTGAACGCGCAGTGTAGAGCGGGAAGCCAGGGTGCCACACCTGCGGCTGTGGGCGGCCCATCTCAGCAGCGCTCCACGGCTGGACCGCCACCTTCTCGATAACGTCTTCAATGGGATGGTCACAGAAGTACACTATCGTCAGCCGCAGGTTCAGGGCTGGCGAGCTCACCAGACTTGACCACCTCATTTTCAAAGTACATCTGCTCGCCAATGTGCACTGTTTGCTCGGGGCGGTAGTACCAGCATACGGTGACGTGATGGGTAGGGAATCCTTGCGTGGGGAGGAACGTCTTGAAAATGTGACCGATGATCGGCTTGGACGCGTCATCTGGGTTGATGAGGTGCACATACTCGCCAGCACGATACGAGACGCCCTTGTGACGGGCCTCCTCTGTGAAGATGCGGTCCTTGGAAGGGATGCGGTACGTGGTGATGCCCTGGTTAGCGACTTCTGGTGGTGCGCCAGCGCGGACAGCGTCGTGCGCCTCCTGCACAGTCATGGTGCGTGGATTCCCGGGGCCAGATGGCAAGGAGGCGAACAGAGTGGACGACGGCATGGGAATGGGAAGCTTGAGGGGGAAGGGGGCCGTCAAGGCATTGTAGAGACGCTGGAGAGTGAGTACCCTGCCGTATTCGACTGGGCGCCCTTCGAAGAAGCGACGAGCCTTCTCGAACAGCTTGGCCATCTCCATGTCGAATTCGACAAGCACGGAGTACCGACCGTTGCGTGCGTTTGTGAGAATCTGGCTGAACGCTGGGACGGCCGTCGCTGGCGGCGATAGGTATGGAAGGTTGACATGGGGAGGGATGTTGGCGAAAACGGATGACAGAACATTGCCGCTGTTTGTCAGTTGGTATGCCCCATCAAGGCGACTCACGAAGGGTCTTTGTAAGCGGCGAGGGCCTCAGCGACGGCGTGGATGCGCTGCTTGTAGCTGGCCGGGCCGCCTACAGAGCGTTCGTAGTCGGGTGATCCTTCTCCCCACCACCCGCTCCCAGGATGTCCTCCAGGTGCTGGATCGCCTGGCAATTGGGCACTGGGTCCTGGCCATTTGGGGAAAGAGGCGTCGGTAGCTGCGACGACGGCGTTGTTCTCAGCGCTGAGGCCGTGGTATCCTGTAGGGCCAAAGGGTCGCGCTGCATGCGGGGGCGGAAGGTGCTGTGTCGACTTGACCGGAGAGGTCATCTTCGCTGTCGCAGCAACTGCGGCGGCGCGCGTCCCCCGCGTCTCCCTCGAAGCTGGCGAGGCTGTAGGAGGCTGTGGTGGTGGATGAGAGGCGCTGCCGCTCGCAGCAGGGGGGGCCTCGGGTTTGGAGACGCGCAAATGTATGACTGGCGGTGCGTCGACGGCCGGTAGCTCGCTCTTGACGACCGCTGGTGACTCGGACGCCGAGCCAGAGGCAGCAGAGGCTCTCGCAGCCGCGGCCTTCATCTGCTTCCTGCCCTTGTGATATGGGTCGAGGCTGGTGAATGGCCCGTTTGCCACACCCTTCCTCCACATGTCAAACATCATTTCCTGCTGTCAGCTCGCGCGCAATGGCGAGTGAGGCTCACCTCGTACTGCTTGGCATCGTTCCAGACCTGCGAGCCCTCCTCGTTGTCTGTGGTCAGTCAGACTTGAGGTTGTGGACTCACAGTGCATTGCATTGAGAAAGACCAGGTGAAGCTGCTTGAAGAAGTCTTCCGGGTGCATGTAGTAGATTTCACTCAGGCGTGACTGGTATTTAGCAAGAGAGCATGAGAGCATGAGAGCATGAGAGCAGGAGAGCAGGAGAGCATGCGAGCATGAGTGCATGAGAGGAGCGAGAGGATGTCTGCATCCATCTCTCTGTCCGCTAGGACGTAATGTCGGGATGCAAGATTGTGCGGGGCGATGAAGGCGGAGGAAGGTACGGGCGTCGACGAGGGTATGAGGCGAGGTACTCACATTGATCATGTTGAGACAGATGGGGTCTGGGATGGCTTGGTAGTAGTCGGCATAGTCTTCTGCGTCGGGGAGCTCGATAAAGATCTCTGCCATGCGCCGCCTGTTATCAGAAAGTGGAATAACTTTGTTGCAGTGAGCGGATGTGAACGCACCCTTGACTCTTTGCCTTGAATACGGCATCAAGCATGTCGCGGCAGGCGATCCAGAGGGGTTCGTCGAGACCGCGACCATCCGACTTCTTGCCTGGATAGGATTGGGGGACGGGGCTTGGAGGGCTCTGAGCTCGCCCCGGGCGTGGGTTGCTCTTGCGGGGCATGTGGATGGGAAGAGGATGTTGATGGATGGAATGAGTGGACGAGTGGAGGGACGCGACGACGGCGAGCAGCGCGACTGAAATGGAGAGCAACACAACCTCAAGCTTCGACACGGAATCAAATTCGTCCCCTCAGTGAGACAAGTGCCACCTGGCCCACCCAACCACAGCCCAGTGTTGCTCTCTGTGCTTCCCACGCTGCCCATCTGCTTCTGACGAGTTTTCTGGAGTCGAGTTGATGCATCTGCATGACTGTTGCTGTTTCTTTGCATCGACTTGAGTGGAGGTAGCATCCCTCGCGTCCCTCCAAGCCCCAACAGGGCGGAGTGACCCTGCTCGCGAATGGACTCATGATGTATTTGGTTCCAGGTCCAGCCGCTGTTGAACCTGGCTTTGACATGCTGTAAACCGTGCGCAGGCGGGCATGTGCAGACGAGGCTTGAGAGGCTCGGGAGAGAAGCTGCAGACCTAGTGAGAATAGACGCATGCTCTCAGCTCAACTCATGACCCAAGAGAGGCTCGCTCGAGCTCAAAGAGAGAGGTGCGGCTCAATCCCGACCAGTCGTCGTGAATTAGATCATGGTCCCTGCCTCCCGTCATCGTCAAGGGCGGGCTGCGGGTGGCATGCAGGCATATGCATTCTGATAAGATAGGCAGTTATATATATACATGGGATCTAGACGCCTTCCACGATATACTGTAGCGAAACGTCGAATGCCCAGCATGTAAGCAACGTACACTATACGCCTGTTCTCCCCATCTCGCGGAGGCAAGAGTCAAGTGCCATTTCATTCTGCCCAAACTCCGCATCGCAAGTCGACCAACCGTCTGCGTTTTTGCTCTTGGAACAGAACTGCTTCTGTCGTCACACATTTGCCTTCATAGTGTAAGGAGCTGGCAAACTATAGCAGGGGATTCTTGTCGCTGATTGTCCAGATCCAGAGAGGGAGGCGACTATCAGTGCGTACCGGAACGGCTGCAGCGCCGATGTCGACGGCCGAGCGCGCAGGGTGTGGCAAGACGAAGCAGGAGAGGAAAGGCTTCAGAAGTGGTTGGCCTCCACCTGCGGGCCGGCGATGCGCGATCAAGCGACAGCCAGCTCCGCAAACAACAACGGGTTGGTAGTGATCGGCCCGGAAATGCTTATATTCGCGTGGCCTCCATCCCTCCGTACACCTTGTTGTGAGTTTCTACCGTCGTATATACCAAACGTAGCTGATGTCCGGATGTGCAGATGCTTTCAGACGACACTAGCGCGTCGCGTAGAACGCGCGCCAGTGCAAGGAATATGAGCGGAGGCGGAAGGGGGTGCAGCCCATTAGGCGATGTCCGAGAGCAGCTGCGATTTCTATTGGATATCGGGTCATCTCACCCGATAGACTCGTTGAAAGCCACGTCGGCCGAATAGAGGGCCTGCCTGCACGGTGGCCCACCACCCGGATGTACTCACCCGTCACCAACTCGTCTTTGACTTTGGAGCATCCGGTATCATACTTAACATCCCATCCTCCATTCTCAATCACCAACAAACCTCACATTTCTAACAAAATGGCCAAGACGTACGCAACGGCCACCTGACACTGCTGACTCTCCAGTTTCAAGATCACCGTTCTCCCCGGCGACGGCATTGGTGCGTAGCCCAACCCCTTTGGTATCCCTCCCACGCTGACTCCAGGCCCCGAGATCATCGAGCAGGCCGTCCGCGTCCTCGACCTCATCTCCAAGAAGACTGGCCTCCAGCTCGAGCTCACTACCAAGGACTTTGGTGGTGCTGCCATTGACAACCACGGCAACCCCCTTCCGGACGACACCCTCAAGGCGTGCCAGGAGTCGGACGCCGTTCTTTTCGGTGAGTCACTAGTTAGCGCAACGCACAGCGCCTGTACTCCCCGTTTCCTGCTCCCGGACATGCTGACGTCTAGGTGCTGTCGGTGGACCCAAGTGGGGCACCGGTGCTGTCCGTCCCGAGCAGGGCATTCTCAAGCTCCGCAAGGAGCTCGGCCTGTACGCCAACATCCGCCCGGCTTCGTTTGCGTCCGAGAACCTGCTCCAGTACTCCCCGCTGAAGGAGAACATCGCCAAGGGCGTCGACATTATCGTTGTGCGTGAACTCATTGGTGGCATCTACTTCGGCGACCGCACCGAGGACAACGGCGAGGGTGTTGCCGTCGACACGTGCAAGTACTCTGTTGAGGAGGTTGAGCGCATCACTCGCGTGGCCGCCCGCATCGCGCTCGCTGCCAACCCCCCTCTGCAGGTCACCTCGCTGGACAAGGCGAACGTAATGGCCACCTCGCGTCTGTGGCGCAAGACATTCGAGCGCGTGATGAAGGACGAGTTCCCCCAGCTCCAGTACCAGAACCACCTGATCGACTCGGCTGCTATGCTCCTCGTCTCGAACCCCCGCAAGCTCAACGGTGTGGTCGTCACCGAGAACCTCTTCGGCGACATTATCTCGGACGAGACCTCCGTTATCCCCGGCTCGCTCGGCCTCCTGCCGTCGGCCTCGCTCGCCGGCGCCCCGGACGCGTCCAAGTCCATCATGGGCGTCTACGAGCCCATCCACGGCTCGGCACCCGACATTGCGGGCCAGGGCATTGCCAACCCCATCGGGATGATCCTCTCCGCCGCCCTGATGCTCCGCTACTCGCTCGGGTGCGCCAAGGAGGCCGACGCCGTCGAGGCCGCTGTCCGCAAGGTCCTCGACTCGTCCGCTGACGGCGGCTACGACTTCCGCACCAAGGACCTTGGCGGCGACAAGGGCACCCAGGCCGTCGGCGACAAGATCCTCGAGGTCCTCGAGACTCTCCTCTAAAATCGTGCGTCACGCGCTCGTAGATGTAGGACAGATAGGCAGAAGCAGCATGCAGCATGGTTGTCATAGAGCAGACTGGAGTGCGAAGTCCAGGGTCGGTCTGGGTGGGTGGCGTCTGGGCGCGTCGGGAATGTTAGCACGAACGCGACGCGCACAAACCTCCACTCGACTGGTGTTATCCTTTCCTCCTCGCCGCGATGATCAGGTATTGATTCAGTCTCTCGTCTCTTGGCCACTTGCTGATCGCTCACAACAATAATATAACATCTACAAGCGCTCTCTTCTTCATCTTACTCTCTGTCTCTCGTTACTTTCCCTCCCTCTTATCACAACAGTCCTCTCGTCACGACACCTCTCGTCGCGGTCAACGATGCCGCAAGTCCAGCCTTCCCGCCTTCCCCGCTCGCGCTCGACGCAGTCACTCCGACCGCCTGCCGCTGGGACAACATCCAGCGCGACCTCAGTGACCTCAACACCTGCTCTAGGACACCAGCGAAAGCCATCGCTAACCCGGCCACCGCGGGCGGGATTGCGGCACAAGCCGGCCCCTCTTCCGAGCCACCGTCCCTCCGGCTCGGGCACCTCCTCTATATCGACCAGGTCGGTGGTCCCCTCGTTGGGCCGTCTCCGACCAGCCCCGCGCCCGCCCACAAGTTCCAGCAACTCGTCTCTCTCAACCACCAAGGAGCCCCCAGCGCTGAGGCCAGTGCGGAGCCTCACGACGCTACGGCAGACTTCGACCGCAGTTGTCGAGAAGGGCAAGACACCTGCGCCCCTCACGGCGGCACGCACCGGGCCGGCGCCGAGCATCAAGCCCTCCGCGCCGGCGCGCTCGCGGCCCCGCGCGGCGACTTTGGTTGAGAGCCCCGAGACGCCACCACGCAGCCAGAGAGGTCCGGAGAAGCTCACTCCAAATAGGACCGGGGAGCGCGGAAAGCGCACGACATCTGAGGCGCGCCCACTTGTCCTTGCTGGCGCGAAGCGCGTCACCGCACCTGCTCGAGGAGAGGTGGGCTTGCGTGTGTGCTGGTATTGACTCCAGTCCGTCGAGTCGCTCCAGCCGCAGCCGAGTCCTCCGCCCAAGACGACCACGACGCGCTCACTCATCCGCCGCCCTCTATCGCTGGCTGACAGAGTGTTTGGAAACTCGAAGATCTCCGCGAAGGACACAAACAAGCACGCGCCTCCACCTTCACCCTCCCCTTCCTCAGCCCGGCAGCGTGAGCCTTGTTCTTCGCCGCAACAACTGATCCCAGTCCGCGCCCGACCCACTGTCTCCATCCCAGGAGATTCGGTTGAGGAGCTGCGCACCTCCCTCCGCCGCCGCATCAGCAACGCATCTCCCCCCAAGTCTCCTCCGCCAAAGTCAGCCTCGCCTACCGCCGCCAAGTTCTCCTCAACGGGCAGCAAGTTCTCCGCTCCCCCCTCGCCGGCGGAAAAGTCTACGTCCTTCAAACTCCCCTTCTCCAAAACCCGCACCCCCGCCCGATCCCAGCGCCTCGAATCGACGCCGGCACGGCCTGCCACCGCACGCTGCGCTCTGCCCGACACGCCTGCGATCTCCGCCTACCTCCGAGAGCAGAGCATGCGTATCGGCCACATTGGTGAAGAGGACATCTCGCTCGCGTCAAGTGGATCCTTTCACGCCCTCACGCCGCCGGGACACGAGAGCACGGACGTAGATTTCGTTTCTGCGATTGCGGCGCAGACTCACTCTCACCCGCGTACCCGGGCGGCGTCGCATCGCTTGCCACGCTCGCCACTCTCTCCGACGTCGCCTCTCAGTCCGCGCCGCGCTCGGCCCCTCGCAGCTGAGCTGCGTGCCGAGGTTTCCCGCCTCAAGAATGAGCGCGTGCTACTAGAGACGCGCATAGCCTCCCTCGAGGCGGAGGAGGGCCGCTTAACGGGCCTCGCGGAGGCGGCTCTGCGAGATCGCCAGCGCGCACTCGAGAGTGCAGAAGAGGCCAAGGTTGACCGCGAAGCGGCGATGTGGGAGGTAGTGGTGCAAGTTGCCGACGAGGCGATCGAGGAGGAGCGCGCTCTCAAGCATGCTATTACCGTGGCGCGCGCGATTGTCATGGCTTTGTAGGTGTCGCGAGCCAGAAACGATGGACGCAATACCGCTCACAGCAATTTTGGACGCAGTCATGTCATATGTGCATGTACACAGATGTAAACTAGATAATATGGCCGGTATCGGCGTACTTTTTCGGCCTGATGGCCTACTGGCGCGCGGCCTTGAACAAGTCGCGCGGCTTGCGACCCTTCTTAGCGGCGGCGAGGTAATCGCTGACCTGGAAGGCGACGTCGAGGCTCTGCTCGTAATTGAGGCGGGGGTCGCAGTGCGTGCGGTAGTTGAGGCTGAGGTCCTTGTCCTCGAGCTCCATCGAGCCGCCGATACACTCAGTAACGGAGTAGCCCTCGTCATTGAGTTCGCCAGTGAGCTCAAGATGGATGCCGCCAAGCACAGTCCCCTTCTCGCGGTGGATCTCGAATGCGCGGGTAATCTCGTGCATGACGTCGCTGAAGTGGCGGGTCTTGAGGCTCGCATCGGCCGTCGACGTCTTCGTGTTCCCGTGCATCGGGTCGCACTGCCACACCACGACGTGGTCCGTCGCCTTGACGGCGTCGATGTGGGCCGGGAGGTACTCGTCGACCTTGGCAGCGCCGTAGCGCGAGATGAGCGTCACTTTGCCGGGAACGCGGTCGGGGTTGAGGACTGGAATAAGCTCTCCCCTCCTTTGACGCAGACTCACTGTCGAGCATCCGCACGAGCTCGTCGGGCTGCATGCCCGGGCCGACTTTGACGCCGATCGGGTTCGCAATGCCGCGGAAGTACTCAATGTGCGCGCCGTCGAGCTGGCGCGTCCGGTCGCCGATCCAGATGAAGTGCGCGCTCGTGTTGTAGTAGCGCTTCGGGGGGAGGACGCCGGAGGAGGCGGGCGAGCGCTCGCCGCGCGCGATGGACGCGGAGCGGCTGGGTCCCGGCGTCGTGGGGCGCGAGGTGGGCGCCGAGACGGACGGCCCGACGAAGCCCGACGAGCGCGTGAACGCCTCCTCGTACTCGAGGAGCAAAGCCTCGTGGCTGGAGTGAGCATGCTACCAACGCAAACTCACCTGGTGAAGATGTTGACGGTCCGCGTGCCGCCGCGCTCGCTGCCGCCCGCGCCGCCCGTCGCGACTTTCATGAACTCGAGGCGGTCTTGGAGGTTCTCGACGACGTTCTCGAACTGCTTCTGCAGCTCGGGGTTGCGGACGTACGAGAAGCTCCACTCCAGCGGCTTGTGCAGGTCCGCGAAGCCTGAGCTGAGCAGCGTCCGGATGTAGTTGAGCGTCGCGGCCGAGTGGAAGTAGGCCGCGACGAGGCGGTCCGGATCAGGCGCGCGCTCCGTCATGTCATACCCGTTCACGTTGTCGCCGCGGAACGACAGCACCTCCTTCTTTACCGTTTGCCCGTTGTCGTCGGGCATGTCCACCATCTCGGTTGGCTTCGAGCGCGGCTTCGCGTATTGTCCCGCGATGCGCATGATGCGGACAATGGGGATGTGCGCGCCGTTCAGCAGGATGAGGGACATGATGAGGATGAGTGAGAGCTTGTGCTCGATGGGCGTCTGGTGTTAGCGTGAGTCATGTGCACAAGGGCGTTCCATCAACAAGGTGAGAGCTAAGAACAGCGACCAACTCGCGCACTCCGAAACCAAGCCTTCCCACTGGGCAGCAGCGGTGAGCTTGGAACGCTCACACACAAGCTCGAGGTCCACCCAAACAACCACGCGCCACAAAGGCCTGAGGCCCGAGAACAAAGCGTAGTCTTCGACGGCGACTCACCTCTGAACAGTAGTCGAACAACTCGGCGCAGTCACCTCCCTGGAGGAGGAACGCCTTGCCCGCAGCAACATCAGCCATCTGCTCGGCTAACGAGTCGATCTGTGGTCAGCCCGCGCCGTCCATCGTCGCACCTCCTGGGTCGACACAAGCGGGGGCAGGTGTTTGAGCTTGCGCACGACGCGCGCATGGTCCGCAGCGTCGGGATACGTCACGTCCTGCGTAATTGGCTTTTCGCGCCACGACGAGGGCGTCCAGGCTACCATTGTGTGGTGGATAGACGATGAGGTGGAGATGGAGATGGAGAGGGAGAGAGTCGAGTCGAACGGATTGTTCGTTGCCGGCGGAAAAGAGACGTGCGGGAGGGGGCCCACACAAATCACGTGGCTGCGGATCTCGGTATGTGAGTTCCAGTCAACGTGTACGACGTTTTCGTTAGAGCAATTCCAGCTCAACAAAGCAGGGCAGACAAAGGCATGTACACGGGCATCTTGGTACATAGCAACAACACAGCAAATTTTAGTTTGATAACCAAGTCCTAACCGAGCATCATCCGCAGCTCCTTCTCCTGAGCGAGGCGCTCCTGCTTTCCCCGCAGCTCCGAGCGGCGCTGCGCGATGGCCGCAGCGTCGGTGTGCCCCGCGGCCTTGATGGCGCTGAGGCCACTTGCGCGGGCACGCACTCCGGCACGGCGCGGCGACTTGTGCGCAACGGGCGCCGCACGCTTCGTGGGACTTGAGAGCGGGCTCTTCATGGATAGCTTGGCAGGTGTGGGCGAGATGTGGAAGTTGCTCTCGAAGAGCACGTTGGCGCGGCTGCTGGCCTCGCCGAACGGCTGAAGCATGCCCGCGATACTGGGGGTGAGGCCAGTCGTCTGTGTAGGCGGGCGCGGGAGCGGGCGGCGCGCGGGCTTAGCCTGGAGCGTAGAGGTTGCGGAGCTCGTTCCAGAGCCGGAGCCCGTGCTGGAGGCAGAGGCAGAGGCAGCAGGAGTAGAGGCGTAAGGCTTGACGGTTGCCTGCCGTCTCGCCAGGCTGCTCGCCGTGGGAGCGAGGAGTGTGCTGCTTCTCGTGCGGGGGATGCCGCTACCGCTCATGCTAGGGCTGCGCATGTCACCTGGGCTTCGCATATTCGAGATGGATGTTGCACGGAGATTTGAGTTACTAGGCGAGCGCATGTTCGACAGGCTGGGAGAGGACATTCCTGAGCGAGTTGTAACACTGGCCCGAAGCTCGCCGCTGGCGGTGCGCGCAAGATTACGGTTACCACCAGAGCGGGAGATGCTACCAAAGGAGTTGGTGCTTGCCTGCCTGGACAGGACGGGAAGCGCAGATGCGCTGCCCTTCCTTGAACTGGCGCTACCGTGATCCTGGCTGTTATCCTTGAGCGGCTGGAAAGACGGCTTCTGCGGCCCAAAGTCTGGGATTGCGCCGCGGCGCGTGCCCAGAGATGACCCAGTTGTTAGAGTTGATGAGGTTGAGGGAGGTGTTGGGCCTGTCGAGCCTGAGGCTGACCGACCGCTCGTGCGTGGAGGCGCCGAGCTCTTGACAGCGCGCATTGACAGACCTGGTTTGCTGCTCATCTTCCTCAGCCGCGAGGGCTCCACCTTGTCCTCCGGGACGTCGACAGACGGCAGGACATAGCTGCCCTCCGACGCAATACTGGCACGGCTTTCAACAGGAGGGGGAGTGGTGGACACTGGTGCCTTCTTCCTCAAAAATCCAAAGCGGCTGGTCTTGAGACCGGTGCGGCTCCCTGCCTTGCCAGGCGAGTTGAGGGTGCTCTGGGTGCGGGTGCGGAACATGTCGATAACGCTGGGCTTTGGCTTCGGCATTGTCTTGGAGCGCTTGCTCTCACGCAAAGTCTTCGCCTCAGCCGTGGCCTCGGGCACCTTCTCATCCACCTTGCGCTTGGGCGCTGTGGAGCTTGTAAGTCCCGGGTTCGAGGCCGACGTCTTCATCTGGCTCGTGCCCGAAGCCGAGCGACCCTTCGTGCCAGACATCGAAGTCAGGCTCTTCATCTTGCTAAACTCGCGCGCGTGAGCGGCCGCGTATCGGTCGTAACCAGCGGGAGCAGGGGCCCGCCCCGATCCCGGCTTCTGCGGAGCTGTGTTGGCGGCGTCGGAGCTCAACTTGCTGCTGGAAGCGCTCGCTGTACCACTCGCCGCACCACTGCGTGTGTAGATTTTGGACATATCGGCGTCCTCACCCTTGAGGAGCTCGGCGGAAAATGTCATCTTGCCGCCCACCTTGGCCTGGAGCTCGGCTAGAAGCTTGGCGCCGGCTTCAGAGAACTCGTCGCTTGAGACGACCTGCTTGGTGCCGAACATAAAGGACGGCGAGACAGGCGATCCGGGGAAGGAACCGGGCATCGCAGGCTCGGGAGTGGACCCAGCGGCCTGGCTCTCGCGAGGCGCGGTGGGATCGAATGCGGGGATTTGAGGGTAGATACCCGTTGCCTTGGATGCAGGGGACAAGAGGATAGGAAGGGAGGGGCGATCTTTGAGCGTTGGCGTTGGCGCCTCCCGAAGCGGACGCGTTGAGAGTCGCTCCTTGATGACGGCGACGGAGCTGTCACCTGTGAGGGGCAGCTTGTCGGTCTCGACGAGCACGGTCTCCAAGATGTTGACCATGCTCTCAGCAGGGGAGACGAGTCGAATGGTGGAAGGCCGGTGGTGACTATCCTCCTCGTGTATCCGCTTGGGTATGCCGACGGTGGATGCGGGGGAGGGACACAGGATCTCCTCAACCGGTTCAGGTTCATCAACATCCATGCCGGAACTTGTACCGGGGAAAACGATGTTGGAAGTGGGGCTCTCCTTGGACATCGTGCGCGACGCCGTTCTGCGGATGGAGGAGGCAAGGGAGCGGAGCGAGCCAACACCGCGTCCGATGGATGCGTACTTGTCGCCGTCGAGGGTTGCGCCGTTCGTTGCACTCTTCCAATTGGCTGGGTCGTCACTATCCTCCTCCTCCTCAACAAGGCTGGCGTCGTCGCTGTCGATCACCTCCCAGGACCCGCGGCGGGCCAGAGAGATAGTAGAGGGGCGAGACTGCTTAACCCTAGTAAGAGCAGGGGCTTGGGGTGGGGTGAGACTTTCGCCCATCCGTTCAGGCATGGGTTTGGATGGAGACTTGGTGGGGCTCTCGGGACAGCTCTGGGTCGCGAGGTCAAAAATTGCCTTTGCACTGGGCGTGAGGGTCTGGCCGACTGATATTAGCGAGTGAGGTTGGGCGGATGGGGTGGATGGACGTATGTATGGACGTATGTATGGAAGGATGGATGGAGGGATGCGTGGAGGACAGATGAAGAGAGGATGGACAAACAACAGAGATTGCAAAATAGGGGCCAGAGAACGATGATCAAGGGAGGCTGAAGGACGACGTAGGAGAGGTTCTATTGGACAATGCTGACTCACAGTCGTAAAGACGCTCGACCATTTCAACGTTCTTGCCACTAGCCTTGAGTCCGTAGCGCTTGGAAAGACTCATAAGCTGCTGACGCTTGAGGCTGGTAAGCGCAGCGGAGCTGCTGTCAGCGTTGTTGGAAGAGAACGCACTTCCAAAGAATGGCGTGTTCACTCAGTTCGTCCATAGTCCACGGAACCGAGGTCGGTTGTGTACTGGTGTAGTGGAGTTGTGATCAAACACTGCAGGTGACTTCGGTGTGATAGGAAGTGGATGATAGGGGGTGGGTGCGGGGTGGATGGAGGCTGGATGCGGTGACAATGGGTGTGTGTAAGGCAGGAGAAATAAGAAGAGGTGGGAAGAAAGAGATGTGTGCGGTCATGTTGTTGTGCTCATGTCCTGGCGCCCTGAGGCATCCATAACCAAAGTCAGTCGCGGTCATATCACACACACGTCATTATTATTCCGACTTGGTCCAAGGCGGCTTTACGGGCCTTACTCTCAGCTTAGCTGTAGCTCTGAAGCATACAACGTGCAAACCAGAGAACAGGCGTGCTGAATTGGGGATGCTAGCTATCTGCTCTCGCTTCGACGGAAGGTGATACTTCGAGTTCTAAGGTCGCACTGTTCGCTCGGTCTGAGAATGGCGGCAAAGTGGAGGCGGGGAGGTGGAGGCAATCCACGACGCGCGTCAACATGCTTGCCACCTCTCCATCTCCATCTTGACGTTCACTCAGCTACGATGAGCAACTCAGAGTCTTCTCCATACGCAGCTCGTTCACCCCCGGTCTCATTCGACGACTTCATGGCGCAGATTGACGCGGCAACGCAAGCCCATGGCGGCATCATGGTCGATGAGGAGATCTATGAGGAGCTGTTCGCATCTGTGCCGCCGGGGTGAGTCCTCCCCTTTGCCCTTGTGCAGGCACTGACGCCATTCATCTGGGACTTGTGTTTTCTCTGCTCGCTCACTCTCGTCTTCCACTGCTCGCTCGACCTACCACAGCCGCGGCGCCCGCCCAGAATTCATCGCCGCTCTCCCGCGCCCCAAGACGGTGCCACGCGGCGAGTCATGCCCTGTCTGTCTGCAGACCCTCGCAGCTATCGAGACGGAGGAGGAGTACGCGTTGGCCTCGGAGAGTTTCTTCGGGGACACGGAGGCGCTGGGGCTGCGGGAGCTGCCGTGTACAGCCAAACATGTCGTGTGTGCACGGTGCGCGAAGCAGTGGTTGACGCTGGTAGGTATTGGTGAAAAACAAGCCGGATCTTGGCTAACGCCAGAACAACACCTGCCCTCTCTGCCGCTCACAAGTCGACCCCGCCAACCCGGTCGACGCAGCAACGAGCGACACGATCGAGGCGCAGCGGCAAACCGAGCAGATGCTTGCGCTCTTCCACACGCTATTCGGACCGCGGCAACTCCCCGCTAGGCGAGAGGAGGGCCGCGAGGCCTTCTCAGGCATGTACTCGTAGCTATGTCCATGATAATGCAATGATGTCTACGTCCCACCTCCTACCTCGCACTCCGCGCAACCTCGACCTCGGGCGCAGGCAAGCCGCTCGCGCACTCGCGCCTCCGGCTCTGGCTCCATGCGCCGTTCGCAAATCGCCCCTCTTCGCCCTCCACCTGCTCGCCGAGACTCCGCAACCCGTTCTGGAGGAGCGCGGTGATCTCGCGCCGCGTGCTCTCGTCCGGATCGAACGCGCCAGAGAGGTAGTCGGCGTGGTGGTCCTGATGCTCGCGGAGGGCGGCCTCGTCGCTTTCCGCCCGTGTGGGCGCCGTCGCTTCAGAGCTGAGATGGCTTGGTGCGGCTGCGCGTGGTAATCCCGCCCGCCACGCGTCTACGATCGGCGCGACGAGCGGCGTCAGGCTCTCGCCGACGGTGATGGACACGGTCGCGCCGCCGCGCGGGATGAAGCGCGGCCACTTGCGGTACTCGTTCATGATCTGGTCGAAGCCTGGTGTGAGCAAGTGAGTGGAGGAGCGTGCCCGCGATCGCGCAGCCTTGCGGCTAGAATCAAAGCGGGCCTTCGTTCTCTGGCATACTCGACCCACCTGAAATCCATATTGGGATGATCTCCGGCATGACCTCCGAGTCCATGATAATGCGCCCACTGTCATCAGCGTCGCCTGCAACACACTCACACGCCCCACTTGAACCGGTGCATCCCGCCTTCGGGGTTCGACTTGGCCTGGTTCACGCGGCCTTCTGGAAACAGGTGGATCTGGCGTCAGCCCTTTCGTTTCGCCGGACTCACCCATCCCCCCTCCTCGAGCTTGCGGATCGCGTCGTCTACGCCGCGCTGGTATATCCCGCCCCCGCGCACCGTCTCGATGACCTGCCCGAGCCCGAAGAACTTGCTCAGCACGGGATTCGTGAACATGACATCGCTCGCGCCGAGCGTCCACCGGTTGTTGGCACAGGTATACCGCGGCCGCGCGAAGGGGAAGTATGTCGTTGTGGGGAGGACGGACCACATCATGGGGTCGTCGACGACCGAGTTGTGGTTCGCGACTAGGGTCAGCTGCAACCACCACGCAACACGCACTCGTAATCACACCCCGCCTCCGCTGCCACTCTGTACCGCGCCCGTGAATCCCGAGAGCCGAGTACAGCGTGTCCTCGCCAGAGACTCGCACAGCCGTCGTGGCGCGCAGGAACGCCTTGCTCGCCAACGACACGAGGGAGATCGTGAGCGCGCTCGCTAACGAGGCCCGGGGGGCGGCGATGGCGGGCGCGGCGAGCTTCGTGACGGCGTGTGAGGCGGCAACGCGCGACGCATGTGACGCGGCCTTGGAGGCGGCATCTCGCGCGGATGCCGCCTTGGTCATTATTTGCGAGGCCGAGGCCGAGGGTTGGGAAAGCGGGCGGGCCACCGCGGATGGTGTGGAGCAAGAGGGCGTCGGTGTGGCCGGCATGGAACAAGGACAGACCTGCTGTCTTTTGAGAGTATACCAAGGGCAATGGCGGGCGAATAAAGAAGCAATGTCAAGAAGATCAAGACGAGCCGAGGCCTTGACGATCGACGATCGGTGGAGGATCGGCGGGGAGATGGAGCGACGCGCAAAGTGTGCACGTTTCACCGAAATTATTGGCCACCGGATTCCGTGCCTGTCCGAACGTGCCGAGCATCAACAACAGCAAAGGTGGAGGTTGTCCACGCCAACAATGCGCGATCCATTACACCGTTCAGTCCACTTGCAGTCTATACGTGCAGAGTTTCCTCTGCTTTCATCGAGCCTATTACAGTGACAGAGCGGTATGCGCTTTGGCCAATGTGCCCGCGCCTTCCCAACTCGTCTCGAGGAAACAGAAATCATATATCTCCCTTCCAGATCGGCAGCGGAGCAGCGCCGGGATATACGCACAAGGGGCGGCTGGCTCACTCGCATCGATAGGCGCTTACTCGCGCTCAATGTAGGCAATCTCGAGGTCGGATGGGTCGGTGGGGACCGAGAGAATGCGGAGGGTGTTGGTGTGGCCAAGGCCGCCCTTCCAGCCCTGCACAGCGATAACGGTGGCCTCGGGCTTGACAATGCCGAGGTTGACGGCGACCTTGAGACCGTAGCGGATACGGTTGTCAACGTCGATCTGCCACTTCTCCTGAGGAACACCACGGGGCTCAGGGTACCACACGGGGTAGACGCCGCGCGAAAGGTGGAGCTGACGGGCGGTCTGGTCCTTACGGGTGACTGGATATCAGCTTGGGTTGTCAAAGAGGCAAGCTCACCGCAAATGATGGGGCACGAGGGGCGGTACTTGGCGATGAGGCGCGCCGAGACACCCGAGGTGGAAAGGACAATGATGGCGCCGGCATCCTGCTCCATCGAGGCGGCGACGGCAGCAAGAGCAAGCGTCTCCGCGGTCTCAGTGGGGCGAGGGGTAAGGGCACGAAGCTGGTCGAACAGAGGTGCGTACGAGATGGCCGACTCGGCGACGTATGCGGTCTCGGCCATCATGCGGACGGCCTCAAGAGGGTACTTGCCCTTGGCAGTCTCTCCCGAAAGCATGACACAGTCAGCGCCGTCAAGGACAGCGTTGGCGACGTCAGAGACCTCGGCCCGGGTAGGGCGTGGGTTGACCTGATGTCAGCTTGCGCCCCTGACAGTTGCAGTGGATCTGATTCCCGAGATCGGGCGTGAGGAGACACTCACAGTCATCGACTCGAGCATCTGGGTGGCGCAAATGACGGGCTTGCCGGCGACGTTGCACTTGGCGATCATCATCTTCTGGGCGAGGAAGACCTGCGAGGCGGGGATCTCGATACCAAGGTCACCACGGGCAACCATGACACCGTCAGTCTCGCGCAGAATCTCGTCAAAGTTGGTGAGGCCCTGCTCGTTCTCAATCTTGGAGATGATCTTGATGCCTGCACCCTCAGTGCCGAGCGCCTTGCGGATGTCACGGACGTCCTGGGCGCGGCGGATAAACGAGGCAAAGATCATGTCGACATTGTTGCGCACGCCAAAAGCGAGGTCGGCCTTGTCCTTCTCCGAAAGGGCGGGGAGGTCGACGTGGGTCTTAGGAAGGTTAACACCCTTGCGCGAGGACAGGGTACCGGCGTTGAGGGCCTTAACGCGGAGACGGGCGCCATCAATCGAGACGACCTGAAGCGACAGGATGCCGTCATCAACGAAGATGTACTTGCCAGGCGCGGTGACCTTGGGAAGGTTGGGGTAGTCCATGAAGATCTGGTCGGCGTTGCCCGCCTCAGCGAAGGAGGGGTCGGTGGTCACCCAGAACTCGTGTCCCGCGGGGATGGGAACCTGCGCAAGGTCAGTGCCAATCCAAAACGCTACCCTGGTGGTGACTTACGTCCGACTCGTTGGCCATGAGACCGGTACGGATCTCGGGGCCCTTGGTGTCAAGGGCGATGGCAATGGGGCGGCCAGCGGGGCTGCGCTTTGCGGCCTCGCGGGCGTTGTCAATGACCGACTGGTGGTACTCGTAAGAGCCGTGGGAGAAGTTCATGCGGACTGTGAAACGTGCGTGAGCGTGATGGGGGGGGGGGGGGGGAGCACGGGGCGAGAGCAATTGCAGGGAAGAGGGAGAGAACGGTGAAGAAAGGTTGCGCTCAGATCATTCCACGTACCAATGTTGAGACCAGCATCAGCCAGCTGGGTGATCATGTCAATGCTGTTAGTCTTGGGACCGATGGTGCCGATGATGGAAGTCTGTGATGGTAGTCAGATACAGTCAAAGAAGGCGAAGGCGGGTGGCAGAGGCCAGAGACGCCAGTGCGGGGGTGGAGTGGAAGGTTGCTACTCACCTTGCGCATAAACTTCTGGTCCCCAGTGGGGGAGTCGAAGTGGGGGTTGAGGCCGGCAAGCCATGCGATCTGGGAGCTCGAGGACTGGCTGTATTGCGAGTTAGAGAGGTCCATGAGAGAAGGGCGTCTAGAGAGGTTGGGAGACGAGGTTGTGGATGGGGAGAGGGGAGCACGTTCGACTGGGACGAGCATGATGATGGGTGTGATTGGGGGTGGTTGGGGGAGGAGTGAGAGTGAGGAGTGAGAGTGAGGAGTGAGAGTGAGGAGTGATGGGAGAGTGTGTGTGAGAGAGAGAGAGAGAGTGAGAGAGTGAGAAAGACAGTAAGGAGGAGGAGGAGGAGGAGGAGGAGGAGGAGGAGGGATGAAAGGAAAAACGTGCGATGGCTTGAAACGAGAAGCGATAATGACGGACATGGGGGGGCCGATGAGGGTGTGTCTGAGACTACGCCGAGTCTACTCACGAGGTCATTGTTGTTGTGGCAGAAACGGGGGTGTGATGGGGACGGCGTGTGTGATGGCGGACAAGGACGAGGCTGCTGCTGTTCTTGTTGTTGTTGCTGTTGCTGTTGCTGTTGCTGCTGCTGCTCGATTGAGGATGGTAGCAGTTGTCGTCGTGTCAGAGGAAGAAGAGCAGACGATGTTGAAGACAAGAGGGATGGAGTGACGCGTACAGAGTGAGGATGAGATGTAGAAAAAGGTGAGCTCTTGGGGGAGCGGGCGGGAGGGAAGGCATCACACACAGGCGTCAGCACAGTCACCATCCTGGACAATGACCTCAGGGGCGCTTCTCAAGCAGTGGGGGTCCTCTCAGCCAATCATATTCCTCCCCACGTCAGGTGCCGCCGGCAGCGGCATTCGTCTCCCTGACTGCCCATATCTCGATTCCTCAAATGCGGACCTTTCATGCCGCGCATGCCGCACTTCTGCCCCCGCTGCACCACGTGCTCCATCCCAGAAACGGCCCGATCGCCGATTACCCTTACTTTACATCTGTATTATGTGTCATGTAAACACTCCCACTGCCATGTGGTTCAGTGATAATACCCACGCGGAATTGCCTCCGTCCATCCCCCTCCTCGACTTTGTCCGTCGCCGAGAAAGTGGAAAGTCGGGAGACTGCTCCGGCGCATACACCTATCTCAACCACGCCGACGGCGACGCGCGCATTACTCCACAACGCCGACTGCGACCACCACTCCCGAGTGACCATCCCCTTTCATTGAGGGCATCCACCTCCTCTCTTCGTCCTCTCCTCCCCTTTCCTCACCTTCCCTCCCCCCCCCCCCC